TTGCTCGGAACTGCAGGAAGGGTTTTGCTATTGCAGGTTTTGACTGACTGCTGTGGACACTCCATTCAGAGGTAGCTTGGCACATTCAATAACTGATATGAATTGGTACTGACACCAAGGTCTGGTGTGAGTGATGTGATTGTTTGATGACATCAACATGAGTGTCCAGTGTGTCAACTATTGCTTGAGGTGATCCCCAGACTGCAGTGGACTACTGCCTTCAGTTCTATCTTTATCTGGACTGCTGGTTTGCTATGAACTGCCTTTGGATGTCAGTGAGTGGTGATATGACACATGTGCTACAATGAGAGGCAATCTACTTGATTGCAACTATGCTGACTGAAACTAATGAGTACTTATGCTTGAAGTAATAACTAGTTTATATGGTGTAGAGTGGATGAGGATCCACTCATCCACCTATGATGAGAAGGTATGCTTATATACATCCTTTGTAGTGTCACCTGTGACACTGCTCCAGCTCTCTCTCTCCAGAGAGTACCCTCTTCGTCGAGTACTATACAGGGGTCCCTGTAGCACTGCTCCTGTCCTTCTTGAGCTGTGTGTTGACTCCTTCGACACTGCCCCTCCTCCTCATGACCTGCTTGCTGGTGTCCTTGACACAGCTCTTCTTCCTTCGACCAGCAATGGTTCTCCAGGTCTTTATCTTGTGGCCCCTGAGTGGTAACCAGCTGCATGCTCCTGAGCTTGGTCCTCTTCTTGGCGATGCTTGGTCCTGCTCCTTGCATGTGAAGTTCACTGTACTATCATCCTTGCCACTGATCTCCATGGAGTCCACCACATGATCATGTCTACTACAGATCCTGGCAGAATTTGTGATACCACCTTCACTTGTACTGATCTCACTGAGATCTGTCATAGAGCCGATTCTATTGCAAATCTTGGTGAATTCTGCTGCAAATCCTACGATCTGCCTGATTCCCAGATTCCTGTGCTCCCTTCATATGAGTTGACGGGTCTTCTTCTTGCGCATCCAGGCCCATGACAGCAATGTGCTATGTATTACTGTTCTTGTTGAGATAGGTAGTAGAGAAGCCTCTATGACTTTTCTTGCCCAAAGATGTAATAGTGGGTTTGCTATTGCAGGTTTTGACTGACTGCTGTGGACACTCTGTCCAGAGGTAGCTCAGCACAATCAATAACTTATATGAACTGGTACTGACACCAAGATCTAGTGTGACTGAGATTGTTGGTGGTGCCAACATGAGTGTCCAGTGTGTCAACTGAGTGCTTGAGGTGATCCCCAGACTGCAGTGGACAACTGCCTTTGGTTCTATGATTGCAAGCTGGACTGCAGATTGCTATGAACCACCTTTGGTGTCAATCATTATCTGGACCACTGGTTCTATGAACTGCCTTCAGACATCAGTGAGTGGTGATATGACACATGTGCTACAATGGAAGCAACCTACTTGTGATTGCAACTTTGCTGACTGAAAACTAATGTATACCTATGTGAAGTGATAACTAGTTTATGGTGTAGAGTGGATGAGGATCCACTCAACTACTATGATGAGGAGCAAGTGTGATTATATAGATGTCTGAGCAGTGTTGCCAGTGATTCTGCTCTTACCCTATGTGGTCTCCTTCTACACTGTTCCTCCTCCTCTAGGCTCCTCCAACCAGGCCAGCCAGCCTTATGATGCTGCTCAACAGCATGGCTCCCCTTGTTCCCTGTGGATGGCAGGCCCTTGTCAGCTTCATATTTGACAGGGGTTATTCCCTCTTCATCTGGGTGGCAACACATGCTCCTACTCATCTTGCCCACCTGTCTGCCTTCAGTTCATCATCCAGTTGGGCCCCTTCTTCATCCAGTGGCAACCTCTCTTGTTTGTTGTTGCCATCTTGTCCTATTGGCAATAGAGGCCTCTCTCAAACCAGTTCCTGTGAGGTCTGTCATACTTAGCATGGTATTATGATTCCCACTGAGTTCTGTAGTAATGACCTCATTCCTACTGATCTGGACAAGTTATGCCATAGAGTCATTTCTACTATGGATCTCAGTGGACTCTGCCTTAAGTTCTCGCTTAGCCCGATCCTGCAATTTCTGCACTCCTCTTCATATGATTTCAACCCTTCTTGCCTCTTGCGCATCCAGTCCCATGACACCATTATCCCCTTACTTCCATGTGAATGTCCATCATGCTACATATCAATGGGATCTTTTTGTGCACGTTTGGTGAAATTGACCAGGTGGTTGTGTTCCAGTTGATTTCAGTGAGATCTACCAAATGGGCTTATTCTGATCAACTTCCATGAAATCAACCAGAAACCCTTGATGCGGTTGATTTCACAATTTTTGTGTACAAGGCACTTAATATGTATCCATCTTCTGCGCAAGGTTTTCTGCGCAGACCCTGTGACACCAATCACACAGTATTGCCAGACCCGCTGGACCTGCTTGGCTATACAGCCTTTGCTGCAACATGCTCCAGCACCTGGGCACCCACAGTCAGCAGTCACCATCTCAACCACATGGCATTTGCGATCACAGTGATGAACAGCACTGCACTGATTGTGAGTGGCCAGCAGATGCAGAGTGTTGACAGCATCCTGCTAGAACCCCTATCACTCAGCGAAGCCAAGACCTGTGACAATTGGCACAAATGGCAGGAAGCAATGGCCAGCAAAATGGACAGTATGAACAAAATGAATGTCTTTGAGCTAGCTGTCATTCCAACAGATGGCAAACTCATTAGGGGGTTTCAGTTTTTTTTTGCCCTCGACAACTAGAGTCTTCGAATAGTGAAAAAAGGCCAGAAAATTGATGCCCCCAAATGTAAGCTGTGTTTTTAGACCAAGATGTTAGGGTAGTGTTGGCTGGAACATAAAGTGTCAGTCAGAAAATGAAGCAGTTCTGGAATCTGAACCACCTTGTAGCTCCACCATCTTTGACACTCTTGTCACACAATCAAAGTAGATACAGTCATTACTAACACTGTTCATATTGCCATTGCTATGTCTGCAAAGCCTGTTGGACATCCACTGTATGCTGTGAGCCCTCCACCTGCTGCCTCTGCCTTTGTCTTCATTGTCAAGATTCAGTTTGCCTGCTCTGCTGACCTTGGTGTGTGTTATATGCCACAGTTGTCATAGCTTTCCTCCTTGATTTGGCCATGGTATCCTCAAATGGTCTGCCATTAGCAACAAAGAGAGCACTGAACATCTCTTCCCTGAGATCCAGAGCCTGATCAGCACAGAACTTGTTCATCTGATTCTGTGACATACCTTGAGTAGCATCAGCAATCACCTGCTCATATTGTGCTTGATTGTCTTGTCACAGAATCCTGGCTTCCTCAGTTGCTTGATGGTATGAAGGGAGGCCAGATGTGGCATCTGCAATGTCTTCTTCAGAGAATGACAGCAGGAGGTAATCTGCCACATCGTCTGGATGATCATATCGACTTGCAAAGGTATGAGCCACAATACATGCTTGGATAGTATATGCAGCCCATTTGTGGTCTTCCTCATGATAGAGATTGCCACAGTAACCCATTAGACATTGGAAGCAATTCTTGAGGTATGCAATGCCATGTTCAGCATGAATCTGTACATGAGAGAGGAAGTAGTTGAAGTATCAGATGTCATGACTCTTGCTAGCTGCATTGTTGTTGAAAGGGCCTACTGAGAAGGCAGAGAAGCCAAACCCAGCATCAACCCATACAAACTCACCTTTGTCTATATGAGGACAAGGCTTAGCCACAACCCCATTATCTCCTGATGCCCAAATGTGTGAGTCATGTGAAGAGCCTGGATGGCCAACAATGGATTCAACAATGCAAAGTGAGTGTGGAAGGAAGACCAGGGAAACATTGAATGAATAGTTGCCTTGATATGAGAAGTGCCCCAACTGCAGCCACAAGCAAATGCAATGTCACAAACACCACCACCATTGCCAGAATGTCCCAAGTGATACAGACCAACTGCAACCTGTTGCCTGACCTTGTGAGAGTTGGTGATGTGTTGAAAAGCAACTGTGGTGCTGAGTTGCAGAACTAGTGCTTCAAATGCTTTGGGTGTCATGTGCACCAGTCCTCAAAACCTCTTGCAGCTGATTGTGGAATAGTGATCAAGCATATCAAGTAGTGTCTGGTTGCATTGAGAGATATAGGTGTGTGGGAGGGAGTATTGTTTGTTGTTGATGATGGAATGGGTTGTGATTAAAGCTTGTGAGACAACATGGTCAAAATTGCCATCATCTGAGTTGTTGAGGTCATCATTTGGAAGGCAGGTGTCCACAGTAGAAGCAAGCTCACGTTTGAGCTCAGTCTCAACAAGCAAAGTTGCAAGAATTGCCATCTTGATGTCCTCCAGAAGCTCCTGCTTGTCAGAAGAGTGAACCATGTTGAATAAGGCAAGAACAAGGAGATAGGTGGAGTTGAGGTGAGGAGATGGTGAAAGCAGACATGGTGATGAAGAAAGCTCAAACATGGACTGGGTGTCTCCTCATCATCTTAATTTTTTGGATTTTGGGCTGCACAGCATTCTGCACAGCATGAGACAGTTTTCACAATCACTCTAGTCTAGACACAAAGCAAAGAGACAAAGTTAGACTTGACCAATTGGATTACAGTATGATTACATGAGATTCAAACAGATAGAGGCTAGAACACAGAATCACTGACCTCATCATTGCTGCTGATGTGCTGGACCTCATCATTGCTGCTGATGTGCTGGACCTCATCATTGCTGATGTTGTGCTGGCAATGGCTTGCTGAATTGTTGGAGCTAGAGCCAGGCATGTTGGAAAGCATGGTATCAACATTGGAGTTGGACTGTGTGCCAGTTCTAGCACTGCATGCCATCTGAAACATCCCAAGGAAGAAGCAGTGCTCATCAGCTTGCATTCTCTCCATCCTCTCACCCTCCTCTCACTGACTCTGCAATCACATCTCCTCTTGTTTTGTCCTTTCCTCCTCTACCTTGATGCATGCCAGAAGAGATTCAGCTGTGCAAGCTTGCATGAGATTGGCAATGTCTTCTCATTTCTTGGAAGCCGAGGTTTTCTTCATAGGGGAGCTGATGCCAGTGCTTTCAGGTTCTTGATCAACACCAAAGGAAGTGCTAGCCAAACAATTGCATGGAGTGGCAGCTGGCAAACCAAAGGGATTGGACAAAGTGGATGGGGAGGGGAAGGCACTAGACAATGAAGAGAGGACTCTTGGCCCAATGGGATTGTCAGGAGCATCTTCAGCAAGGCTTTCAAGGCCAGGAATTGAGTGACACAATGGGAACAGATTGTCATCTTCTTCCATGGCATCACCTGTATCACCATTGCTGGACAGTGAGGCTTGAAGAGGATTGTAGGCACTGCTAGTCACAAGGGTGACAGGGCCAGCAGATGGGCACTTTGACATCATCTTATGAAACATCTTGAACCAGGGATACTTGGCAACTGCAGCTGAGTGAGATGCAAAGTCCTAATCCATACAAGAAGATACAAAGGCAATTGCAGAGGTTAGTCATCCATCAGAGAGCAATGTTGAGCACAAAGAACTACATACCAAATGATCAAAGCTGAGATCACAAAGGAGAAGACCAGAGCCAGTCTGTGAGAATGTGTTCTTTATGGTGATGTATTGACTCTCAAGCCAGCACAGCTTGGCTTTTACATGACCACCACCATTTGTGATGTTGCTGTTGGGAAAGATCTCCTCAAAGATCTGCTTGTAGAGTGTCTCCTTGCTCATCTTCAACCCTTTCTCTTGCTCCTTTGTCAAGTGACCTTTGAGTAGCAACCTCTGATAGTAGTCGCTTTCAAAAAGGATGGTGACAAGTTGCAAGACTTCATCATTGGACCAAACAAAGTATTTCCCAGTGTCCATGTCATGGTTTTGAGTTCTGCTTGCTCTAGCAGCTGGCCTTGCACAATTTGAGGTGGTAGATGGGTTAGGTGGCTTGGGTGTCTGAGACAGATCCACTCTAGTGGCTGGGCTTGCATGATTTGAGATGGTAGATGTGCTGTGCTGGGTGGCTCAGATGTCTGAGACAGATTTGCTAAACCTTCTCCAATGGTAAGGTCCATCTCCAAGAGGTATGGATCGACATATCTGGTGTTGTGGCAATGATTGGTGGACAGGCAACAATTGGTGGACATGATTCAGTTGAGGCCAGAGAGAGAGGTTGTGAGGTGGTGGCTAAACAAAAAGAGACTTCTACTCTGCACAGAAAGGGACAAGGAGAGGAGTCAAGTGAAAGGGGTTTCCTCAGAAGAAAGGGTTCATGCAAAGAAAGCTGCACAGGAAATGTGGAGGTATTTGCACATGTAAATCACATGCAGCATCATGTGCAACATCACATGAGTGAAGACTCAGGTCCAATTCTGAAAACTCTGCTGCAACTGTCCAGTTGTAGCAGTGTTTTCAAAAATGGCAGAGCTTACATAAGAAATGAATATTTGACACAAGTGAAAACTCAAAAAAAAAAAAAAAAAAAAAAAAAAAAAACAAAAAAAAAACTGAAACCCCCTAATGTTGTTTCCATTTGGCGGTTTCAACACATTTGAGAATTTCTCGTCGGCTTTTTGACCAGTTGAAGATTAGTTGAAGATGCGTCGGCATCTCAAGCAAGATGCACATGTTACGGCCGAGACATTGAGACACGGGAGGCTCACGTAAGCGAGAAGTACAATGAGGTACGTAATTGTTGTCATGGTGACAGCACAGTGGCACCCGGTATCATAGCAACACAGGAGTACAAATGAAGAGACACATCCTGCCTCGGATAGGACCAGAGCAGTGAATGGAGTATATATATGTGTTTGTCATTCAGTCTCACACCATGAAAACTAAGCATTACATAGAACATACAGCTGTGGTAAAGGGAGTCTGATCGTGACCCCGATAACGCCATATATTAATTGTTATCTTCAATTGATTAAGAGTCTGAAGAAGCTATCACCAAGCTAACCGAAACTCGCCGACAACCATGGTAGAAGACACCGAAACGAGGACCAAAGGAAGCAGAAAAGGCAAGAACACCCAGGTTCGGGTCAACAATAATGCCACGAGCGAGAACGAGCCGGAGGCCATCAACGATGAAGCCGACGAAGACACCGATTCCAACTCCGACTTTGATGATGGCGACAAGCGATATAACTTTCACACCCTAGCAAAGCTCCTCGAACCCGTGCCAAAGCTCATGCCACGAAACTATCATAGCTGGAGCACTCACGTGAAATCTTTCCTCCGATCCGTGCCTCATGCGATGAAACATCTCGAGGGAACGTACGACAAGAAACACCCGAAATGGAGCTGCTCCCTCGACGATGCTTTAATCAACGCCCTGCATGGAACAATTGACACTACCGGAGAACACAATGTAAATTACCTCGTTCTAGATGTAATCAAGGAGTACCTTACTTTCAACCAAGTATGGAGAAAGATCGAAAACAGTCTCACAAATGAAGCCACCAAGACGTCTCACAGACTTGCGCTTATCTCGCAACTCAATGATACAAAGATGTTTAACTCAGACGCCAGAAAGCTAATTCAAGAGATCCGGTCCATACAAACTGAAAGCAGCCTCCTCGGCAAACCATTCGCCGATGATACATTGTTCTCAGCTCTGCAGAAATGCACGATCCAGCATCCGGTGTACAAGGAGACGGTTGCCACTGTCCATCAAATCGATTTCAACGCCCTTGCCACTGCACTAAGCATCCGGCAGACCGCTGTCGAGAGCGTCCCCGCACAAAGGATCGACCCTCGACAAGCCAGTGCTAGAACCGCCGGCAACGACGATCAAAACGAACAGGCCGGAGAGACCGAAGCCGAAGCCAACAACAGCCACGCGAGCTCGAGGAACGCAAGCAAATCACGCTGAATCCGATGCTGGATCTGCAAGCGACCGGGACATGGTATCAGTCAATGCGACGCCTTGGTTGCCATTCCCAAGGACTCCCCCCTCGCTGAACCTAAATAGGAAGCGTGGTGCTCCCTCACCCTCCCAATGAAATGGCAGGACCCCTCGAACACAAAAGAAACAGCTCATTGGATCTTGGACTCAGGGGCGAGTTACCATATGGTGAACGACTACAGCATGCTCATCCACCCGAGAACTTGCCGAAAGCGGATAATTACCGCTGGAAGCGAGGTCTTGGAAGCAGCAGCTATAGGAGATGCAAGCATATCAACAGATTACGGGGAAATCTCTCTGCAAAATGTATTGTATGTAAAGCACCTTAATGTTAACCTTCTGTCAACAAATTCATTAATGGATGAAGGAGCACGAGTGATATTGGACACAACCGGCGGCCAAATTTTTCTAACAAACGGCATGACACTTAAGATTGCAAAGAATCGCGAGTGAGGACTTCTGGAGTTCTGAGGCGACACATGGCAAGAAAGCGCGATGGCCACATCAGCACCATTGTTTGAAGGTGTTGATGAGGAGTTCGAGCATATTGAGAATGAGCCGAAAGTTTCAAAGCAACAACTATGGCATGAGCATCTCGGGCACCCAGGAAGAGATAAAGCTAAGGCGATCACAAGCAAGTTAAAGGATAAGCATACCATGAAATTGGATCCAAACACTGCTCTGACATGTGAGCAGTGCGTACGATCCAAGAGCACAAGCACTCGGATGGGGAAAGGTAGCGGCGAAAGAGCCATAGGGCCCCTGGATCTTATCCACGTCGATCTAATAATAGACTCGTCCCACGTGACGGAGTACACATGCACGTTGGTGCTGGTCGACGATCATAGCAAGTATGTGTATGCACAGCCATTGACATGAAAGAGTCATGCCTTTATGCAACTTAAAAGGATTGTTTCGTTCCTGGAGACACAGACAGATCGGAAGCTAAAAGCGATCCGATCCGATCAAGGAACGGAATGGAAAAGCAATGATGCATTAGAATGGTCGTTAGAAAAGGGCATAGAGTGGCAAACCACCGTAGGGTACAACAGCAAACAAAATGGACGGGTAGAAAGAATGAACAGGACCCTTGGAGAGAAGATGAGAACGTTGCTAATGCAGAGGAGACTACCGAAGAAGTTCTGGCCATACACGATCAGAGCTGCGGCGTTCAAAATAAACCTCACTCCGAGCGTTGATAATGAATTCCCTTATCAAGCGATGTTTGGCAAGTCGCCAGAACGAGCTTTAAAGCTCCTACAAGTGTTTGGTTGTCTGGCATGGGTAAACGTACCCAAAGTTAAATGGGACAACAAGAAACTGGACCAGCGAGCCATCGCATCCATTTTCTTAGGGTACAGTCTAGAGAGGAAGGGCTGGCTCTTCTACAGCCCGGACTACAATCCGAACATCTTCTGGAGCAACTCAGCAAAATTCATGGAATCAAAGTGCTGGTCAGACAGAACAGAGTGGCAACCGGTTGACACAAAGGCACCCCCAATGATGATGACAGAGGAGAATTTCGAAGATCTAGGATACAATAAAGAAAATATATTTGACGAAACAGATGAAGAGCCACTACGAGAATACATGGATATGGAGACAGACTCGGAAGAAAGATTAAGCGAAGGAACAGCAGAGGTGATGGAACAAGGACCAATCGCTGAAACTCAGATTGACAGTGAATTCTATGGACTCGTAGCGACGCGACCAGAACGGAGAAAGAACCTGGACCCAACCATACATGAAGCAATGAGTGGAAAGGACAGAAAGCACTGGGAGGAGGCCATGCGAAAGGAGCTGGATGGATTGGAGGTGATGGGCACATGGGAGATAGTCGACCTCCCAAAGGGTGCAAATACCATCGACACACGTTGGGTACTCAAGATCAAAACCGATGCAAACCTCGTGCTGACAAAGTTCAAAGCCCGGCTCATGGCACGAGGTTTCACTCAACGTGAGGGCATCGACTATACAGAGGTCTTCGCACCAGTAGCACCCATCCAATCCATTCGAGGGGTGATCGCTGTCGCAGCAGTACGAGATTGGGAAATGGATTCTATTGACGTAAAGCAAGCGTACCTGAACTCCACTATACACCATGATGTATACCTCAAGCCCCCAGTAGGAATCGAAATACCACCCGGAAAAGTGTTGAAGGTAGTGAAAGGACTGTACGGTCTGAAACAATCGGGCCGAGAATGGAACATTGAGTTAGACTCACATCTCCGGACGATCGGATTCCATTGCATGCCGAGTGCACCATGCCTATACTCAAGAGGGACAGGCGACAAGATCACAATCATCACAGCATACATGGACGACATGCTAATAACATCACCCAGTCATGATGAAGTAGACCGCGCAAAGCGAGAGATCATGGACAAATGGGAGACACAAGACAATGGAAGGGTCAAAGAATTTCTGGGTATCAAGATCACATGTGATAGAAGACGGAGGAGGATATCTCTGGGTCTAATGGCATACATCAAGGAAATGGTGAACAAATGGTTAGGAGGAGCAAACAAGAAATCTTGGGTACCCATGCTGAGTGTAGCGAACATCGCCGGAGGTGAGCGATGTGAACCTCAGCAAGCAAATAAGTATCAAGAATTGGTCGGCCAACTATTATGGGTCTCCAACACAGCCCGACCAGATATTGCCTTTGCCGTCGGCGTATTGGCGCGATATATGTCGATCCCGATTGACAGTGCATGGAAGGCAGCCATCCACGTGGTAAAGTACCTGAACCAAACGAACAAATATCAGTTGCACCTAGGAGGGGAGACAAATGAGCACTCGGATACACCGGTAACGACGTATACCGATGCAAACTGGGCATCCGACCCCACAAATGGACGAAGAAGCACCTCGGGGTCGATAACATATGTATATGGGTGTCCAGTGAGTTGGAAATCACACGTTCAGAAGTGTGTGGCATTGTCGGCAGTCGAAGCAGAGTTTGTCGCCGCTTCCGAAGCGGTGCGAGAAACCTTATTCTTCTCATATTTGCTCCGGGATTTGGAGACCATGGACGTCTGGCCCGTACTATACACAGATAGCCAGGGGTGCATACAGGTGAGTAAAGATCCAGCCAAACATTGGAAGTTAAAGCACATCGACACACGGTATCATTTCGTTCACGATCACATGCAAGAGGGCGATGTGGAAATCAAATATGTCGGAACGGCAAACAATGTTGCAGATGTCTTGACAAAACCCTTACAGGGTCTTAACACCTCACGATTGGCTAGGATGATAGGACTGGAGATCCCGCCGAAGGGGGGAGTTGAAGATGCGTCAGCATCTCAAGCAAGATGCACATGTTACGGCCGAGACATTGAGACACGGGAGGCTCACGTAAGCGAGAAGTACAATGAGGTATGTAATTGTTGTCATGGTGACAGCACAGTGGCACCCGGTATCATAGCAACACAGGAGTACAAATGAAGAGACACATCCTGCCTCGGATAGGACCAGAGCAGTGAATGGAGTATATATATGTGTTTGTCATTCAGTCTCACACCATGAAAACTAAGCATTACATAGAACATACGGCTGTGGTAAAGGGAGTCTGATCGTGACCCCGATAACGCCGTATATTAATTGTTATCTTCAATTAGATTACTGGTAAAACGCGACTGTTAGGAGCTACTAGCAAGCACAACTTATCAGGCATATAACAGTTGTTGTGTTTTTTTAATTGATAGGTGCTACAATGTGAACATATATATACTTGATTGTTACCCTTAGCCCATACTAGATCATGATGAACTATTCTTCATATCACCCCTGTGTTGTCATCTGCTGAGCATTGCCATCTCCTGAGTGTTATGGTTGAAGTACTTATATGTCCCACATGCATATCGATGCATGTTGACATGCAGCTCTGACTCACCGGTGTCTCGCTTGTGCTCCGCGGACCACGTGATTCAGTTTAGGATGCCGACGCATCTTCAACTTGACCACGGGGGTCTTTAACGGTGTTTGACATCCTCAGACTTATGTGATGGACTGAAAGCAATCGCTGTTTCATGTGCTGATCATGGTGGGATTGAAGCCTTCTTCGAGGGCTGCCATGGTGTTGAGTTGTGGCAGCATGCGTCGTTCGGGAGGCACGAGCGGCACCTGAATTCGGCTGAATCTTCAGCACGTGCTGAGCTCAAGACTGTCGTAGACTGTCAAAGGGAGGCAAGGATTGCATTGCATGGCGACGGAGAGGACAGACGGAAAGCCAGACTTGGCGATGGAGGATCAAGAACGAGACGTTGTTCAGGGAACGAGGGGCGAGAGCGCCTTGAGCAAAGGAGAGGCTAAGGACGGGCAGACCACACAGCCAAGGTATTACCAAAGCCGTTCCTTAGGCTACCTTCATCCACGGTATCCTCTCCATCAACCGTAAGCATCTTCTGCACCCCGATCGTGTTGAGATTGAGCACCCAGACGTTGGCATTGTCGTGGAGATGCTGCATCCACAGTAACCTCTTCTGCGACTTTCTATTGGACACCTGACTCTGATCATAGTTGTCAAAGAAGGAATATAGACCTGCGCCGTAGATGAAGACGTTGGTGCTATTTGCAATGCGCATAGCCAAGCCGCGATTCTCGTAGCTACTATTCGGGTTCTGGAAGGGAGAAGAAGCAGACTCAGCAGAAGAGAGTTGCAAATCAGGATCCTTGTATCTTGCAATCTGAAGCGGCTCCTCTTGGCTTGCGACAGGTCGACCTTTGCCTTGGAAGTAAGCGCTTTCGGTCTGTGCTAGGGAGATAAAGATGTTGTTGGCGTTAACAATGTTGTACTGATACAGCACTGCGTGTTCACTTGCTCCGCCGTACATCCATACAGGACCGTCTGCAGACTCGATGAGAACTCCTCGTCCTGAGAGAAGGTTGATTTGGGCAGGATTGTCAAAGTCCAAGTCGTGGTCGGCAGTCCAAACCCACATGTTCTCCAAGTATGCACTTGAGCCGGGAGTGAGATGGAGGTTGAGGAAGCTAGCATGAGAGTTGTCGTTCAAGGGAAGCTGACGTGCACATTTGTCTGCTTGGAGATTGGTACCTGCGAAACCACCGACACGGATATGAGTGTCCCAGGCAGCAGCGGAGCCTTGTTGACCTTGCTGCTCTCGAATGTTCCACTGGACGATGATCGCTCCTGCTGCGGGACCTCTGGTTGAGAAGATGAGATCTGAGATTTCCATGATGCCCATATCACCGGGTTTGCCAATGCGGATGACAGGCTGAGGATTGGACGAGTCTTTGAAAAGTGCTCCACCACCCATCAAGACGGGCCAGACTTGACCAACGATCCTTGTACCTGGTGGGAAGGTCACCGTTGATTCGAGATAGTAGGTTCCATGAGGCACATAGATGATCTTTCGCCCTGCACAAGCATCTAAGGTCGCTTGCAAGGCCATTGAGTCGTCCGTTGTTCCATCGCCAGCACAACCAAAGTGTTTGAGGTTGACAAACTCGGAAATGTCTGCTTGCTCGTATTGCGGACGCTTTCGGCTGAACCAGGGTTGCGAAGAGCTCCCTGCTTTGACGAGTGACGATGGACGTCGAATGTCAATAGTAGATACGGTTTGCACATCTTGCAACACTTTGTCACCTTGCACGGTAGACCCTTGTAGCCAGCTCTGAATCACGGCGGCCTGTTGAGAACCTGCCAACAAGACCTTATTCGCCGCACCATCTCCTGCTGTGACAGCAGCTCCAACATTCTCAACAGCAACATTGTCCAGAATCAAGGTGCCCGATCCGGGAGTAGTGATATGGAAGCCAGTGCCCACATTCTCCAACTTCCAATCATAAGCCAAGATAGAAGCAGCACCTTGGTTGCCCGAAGCTGGGTTTGGCATTGTACGCATCTCCAGGCCCAACTGGCAATTCTTGAGCTTTACGTCATGATAGGAGAAAGTCCAGTTCCAGATCTGCAAGATGGCCGTTTGGCAATGCTCAAACGAGAGATGTCTAAGGGTAAACTGCTGGTTGCCCATAGCCGCACCGTATCGTCCACCGCGGAAGCTGAGGTTAGCCATGAATCCACCACTGCCATTTTCAATAAAGAGGCCTTGCTGACCGTTGCCTTGCGTCTCCTGGCGCATTTCAAAGTGGACGTTGAATAGGCCGGTTGCTTGGCTGACTTGGTGATGGATACCAGTGCCAGAGGAGGGAGGCATCTGGGTGAGATCAATGCGCAAGTTGAAGACAGCACGGAAAAAGTTATTCTGGTTGATGTACCAGTTGTTTCCATCCGAGCCGTACGGGTTTTCGTCGATGACTGCGATCCCTTGGAACTGTGGAGATGCAAGAAGGGTCGGTCGATCGCTAGCACTGCCCATCAGCTGCGTGTAGTAGTACGAGAGGATGGGCGAAGAAACAAGGTATGTTCCAGGTGGGAAATACACAACCGCAGGGGTGATCGTTGAACTTCCACCGCCTTGCCCACAACGATCACCTGTGCTGATAGCCTGATTGATTGCCACTGTATCATCTGCCACACCGTCTCCTTTGGCACCAAAGTCTTTGACATTGCGGTAGACCTGATAGCTGTCCGGGCTGGGATTGTACGTCGCTCGACCATTATGCTCGATCAGCTCGAACCAGAACGGTTGGTGCGTCGCATTCATCGTCTTCAGAGCCTCGTTTGACTGCATTGTGCCATTGATACTAAGTTGAAACGGCAAAGCAAGCATCTGATCTCCGAACCTATTGGAAAGAGGCGAGGTCGTCGTTGTCGAGTTGGACGATGGGCAAGACGTCGCGTCTGCTTGGTAGACTGCGTCGATGTTGTGACTCGCGCTTATATGCTTGGGCTGTTTGATTGGTCACCTAACACAGAGCTGCTCCGAGCAAGTAAGAGCAATGTGGATAGTATCAGTTTGAAGCTCGTCCTCCCTGTGAGTAGCATGCTGAAGGACAAGAGCCTTCTGAACGAAGCAGCGATGCTGCCCGACTGTTTCGAGCCTTGTCAGACTCAGATGCTTGGCTTTTGGCCGGTGGCGATGAGAGACCAAGAGCAAAGCCAACTGGCGCCACACTGCGAACAACAGTGCACTGAAGCGAGCTGCCCCGTCCATGCTTTGCCACCGAACTGTCGCTGAAAGATGGCGATCATGTATATTTCCTCAAGAAGCAAGCCAATCATCGACGGCGAGGCCCTGTGTCGATCGCTCACATGCTTAGCAAGCATAACAATAGCAAGCATAACAATAGCAAGCTTCGGCACAGACACCATGGCGAGATGGCACGAGTAGTACACAACCAACGCAACATAACGCTTTTTTGGGGACCATGAATGGTAGGCTTCAAGGAGGCTATCGACTTGTGTCACAGGACCGGATGGATGCGCAGGAAGAAACAGATTCATATGAAGAGTCCATGTGCAACAATCGTGAATCAGGTGAAAGGAGAATTCCAGCAGAGTTCAGTGAGATTGGTAGGACTAATGGCTCAATGACAGAACTCATTAAGATTGGTAAGAACAAGGACACTACTACAGAAGACAGGGAGAACAGTAGTACCATGCTCATATGACAGACCTCACAAGGATCAGTTCAAAGATACCTCCATTGCCAATGCCACAAGAGGATGACAGTGAACAAGGAAGAGGTTGCCACCAGATGAGGAGAGGGCCTTGCACAATGATCAAGTTGGTGCAAGAGAATAGGCACTGGCATCAGGAGGTAGATGAAGGGGGTGCACTGTCACTAGGATGAAGTGGGGGCAACCCCTATTGACACTGAAGTGATGGACTGCCCTCCTCAACCAAGAAGGAGCAGGAGGAGCAGTACTCGATGCAGAGGGGTACTCTCTGGAGAGAGAGCCAGAGCAGAGTTGCAGGCGACACTGCAAAGATGTATATAACCATACCCCCTTGTCACAGTTGTCCAGTGCATCACCATCCACTCTACACCATATCTTACTAGTTATAGCTTTCACATAAGTATACATTAGTTTTTCCTCAACAGTTGCATTTGCAGAGCATTGCTTCTACATAGCACATGTGTTGTATCGCCACTCATTGACATCATCCAAAGATGGTTCATACTGCAGTCCAGCTCTCTCAATCATTAGAACCAAAGGCAGTTGTCCACTGCAGTCCAGGGATCACTCAGTCACTCAGTTGACACACTGGACACTTGTGTTGGTGTCAACAACATCATCAGCACCAGACCTTGGTGTCACCACAACATATCTATAGTTATTGATCATGCCAAGCTACCTCTGGATGGAGTGTCCACAGCAGTTAGTCAAAACCTGCAATAACATTCAAGCTATCACATATTCAAGCAAGAAAAGTCATAGAAGGCTTCTACAGCAGATCTCAGCAAGAATAATAATAAAGGCCTTTTACCACAGATCTCAATAGGATCAGCAGTAGTTGCAATTCTACTACAGATTTCAGGTTTCAGGTGCACAACCTCTGACAATTTGCACCAGGAGGTCGATGGAGTAACCGATGTTTTCGACGGGATGACCAGCCTCTCTGATGGAACAGCCAACAAAAGTTTGCACGATGATAAGCTTTCGTCAGGTTCTCTGTTGGGTAGTCTCCCTCAAAGTGATTGGCACATCCAACGGGACAGCCAACAAGTCTTCTCACATTAATAAGCCTTTGTAAGCCTCTCTGTTGGGCAGTCTCTGTCAAGGTGATCAGTTCACCCAATGAGGTGGTTGACAAGTCTCTCCTTCAAAAGGTAAGCTCTTGTCAGCACTTTTCATCAGGGTGGCAAACTTGCTCAACAGAAAAGGGTCTCCTTCTTCAAGGGGCTCTCGTGCTCTGCCTTTCATGCTTTGGTTGTTCTTTCCTATCTTTGTGTTGGTGTCAAGATGTATATATAATCCTCGAGTTAGTTAGTTTGTCTGAATCACTTGCATCCATCCCATTGTACTTACTCACCAACGTCGAGTGCTCAATACAACCGTGTCCTGCCACAGTCCACTATCCTTTCAACAGATTATGAGACCTAGTGGTTACTAGGCCTCTCGACCACACTAAGTATGAAACAAATCAGATCAGCTCCTGAGATACAATCTCAGTTGTAGCACTAGTGTGAACACCAAACAGCTCACCATCAAAAGGCTGAAGCAAATAGCTCACCATTGAAAAGGTTTGAGACAGTACCTGGTCAATCAAAATGGATGCAGCAATGTCCTTGTCAATGCCACCTGTGCTGCGAGGCAGCAGCAATTACTACACCTGGCAAAGACAGTTGTGAATCTATGTCAATGGGGTTAACCCAATGATGTGGGAGGCAATTGCAGGGACATCAACCCACACGACTGATGAGACGTGTCACAGGGCCAGCGGGCCAGCATATGAAGGGTGCACCAAATTGACCGACGGCATTCATGGTAATGTCACAGAGTCAGCAGATCAATGTATGAAGGGAGTGCCAAATTGATTGGCACCAAATCATCAGGAATCGACAAATCTAATTGGGCTGGTAGCACATATGATTTATGAGATTGACCAAACTCTGGGTTCCAGGTTAATCTCACAAGGATCGATCAGAATCAGCTGGATCAGCATGCCTCAGCAAGTCAGCCAATATGAGCAAGTATCAGGAGATTCAGGAAGGAAGGTACTGGCATTAGAAGGAGAAGCATACAGAGATAACCACATGTAGGAGTGGGGGACTGAGCTCAGCATCACATGGACAGTTACCACTCAAGGGGTGTGTGCATATAGCCACACAGGACCAAGCACAGGGGGCAACTGCATGACCAAGGGGTTTGGTCATGAGGTCCAACAAGTGGCTAAGGGGATTCACAAGATAAGGTCAAGAAGGTGGTCACCAGTGAAGAGAGAAGGAAGTGGTGAACAGATTGGTTAAACAAAGAGGAGGAGCTGTGTCAAAGGGGTCATCACACATCATCAAGTGGAAAGGGAGCATGAAGGTGAAAGGGCAGTGTTGCATAACCATTATGCTGTGCAGACAGTAGGGTCTCAGCATCAAAGGGATCGATGCCAGCAGGAGAGACAGTGTCAAACAGGGGACAAAGGCCCCTCAAGAGGAATGGGATAGGTGTCACAGGTGACACCAATCAAATGCATAAATACTCTCATTCCACCATAGCATACAAGTGGATCCTCATCCACTCTACTTACTTACTTTATACTTTACTCTTTACTTGACTCTTAGTTATGTATCAGTGCAATAGCAGTGCTTTTGCAATGACCCTCAAATGTGTGTGTTGTATCACTGTTAGGCATCAACTGTAGGCAGTGTTCTCCAAACACTTGTGGTCCAGTCAGTTATTGTAGGCGGTGGCTCACACCTGTGGTCCAATAACTCCCATCCTCTGTAGGCAATAAGTATTTCACAGTCCAGACAATGTCCAAGAGCATTATCAACAGTACTGCAAACACTCATACTGTAAGGAGAGGGTATCACTCACTCTCCAATGAACAGCAAATGTGCCATGCAACCTCTGAATGGAGTGTTCAAGGTGGTCAGCTGAGACTTACCAGCTGAAGGTGCCTGGTTACATTTAGTTGAAACATACTGAGTAGACCTTACTCAATCAACCCCATCTATACTGATCAAATAACACCCAAAACTAGTCTCTGGCGCGCGACCGCTTACAAGATGGATGAGCGTCTCCACATCTCTCTCCAGACAACTGCAAGGCACACAGTCAACGTTCTTCTGTGAGCTGTTGCTCCAGAGATTGCCATCATGATCAAGGAGGAGCAAACTGCAAATGAGATATAGAAGTACCTCAAAAAATGTTACTCCAAAGGGACAATCATCCAACCATATGTTCTACTCACAAAACTCACCCATCTTGTCCAGGTGGGAAGCATCAATTAACTCATCTCCAATATCGAGCACATCACCAACAAGAGAGCCCTGATGGGTCACCCAATCAATGCCGGAACAAAGTGTCAGGGGTCTCGCGCCTGAAATCCAGGTCGGTCTGTCAAGATACTCGGTGACTATCAAACTGTGTGACAGCTATTGTCTTGGTATCGGTCTCGATGAGCTAGTCATTCAGCAACTATCAAGTTGCGCAATGACAGTGGGTGGTGTTCATTGTATATACTATCACAGGTTTTGGCTGACCTCTGTGGACACTCCATTCAGGGGTAGCTCAGCACGATCAATATCAATGCATAGGTTATGATGACACCAAGGTCTGGTGTGAGTGTTGATGATGATGAGGTTGATGGGGTTGGTGATAAGGTTGGTGGTGTCAACACGAGTGTCCAGTGTGTTGACTTGATGCTTGAAGTGATCCCCAGACTGCAGTGGACTACTGCCTTCGGTTCTATCTTGATCCAGACCGCTAACCTGCTATGGGTCACCTTCGGACATCAGGTAGTGGTGATACAACACACGCACTGTGATGAGGAGCAACCTTGCTAGATTGCTGCTATGCTGACTGAAACTAATATATACTTATGCTGAAGTGATAACTAGTTTATGATGGTTGTGTGTGTAGAGTGGATGAGGATCCACTTGACCTTTGATGATGAGAAGGTATGGTTATATACCTCTTCACAGCATCGCCAGTGACACTGCTCCTGCTCTCTCTCCAGAGAGTACCTTCTTCATCGAGTACTGTTCAGGGGGCCTCTCCTGCTTGCTTGGCACCCCTGTGCCTCTTGAGCTGTGTCGACTCCTTCGACACTGCTCCTCCTCCTCAGGACCTGGTGTCAGTTCCTTTGACTCTTGTCTCTCGAGCCCCTGAGTGGTAACCATCTGCATGCTCCTTGAGCTTGGTCCTCTTCGTGGCTGTGCCTGCTCCTTGAGCTTGGTCCTCCTCGTGGCTGTGCTTGGCCCTCCTTTGCATGTGAGTCCGTAGGAGTCCATGGTCTCCATGGAGACTGCACTACGACCATGCTCTCTACTGGTATCGACTAGATCTTCGATACCTGTGCTCCTTCTATATGAACCCGTGACCCTCCTGCTTCTTGAGCATCCAGGCCCATGACAAAACCCAGGTCGGTCTGTCGAGGTACTCGGTGACTATCAAACTGTGTGACAGCTATTGTCTCAGTATCTGTCTCGACGAGCTAGTTGTTTGGCGACTATCAAGTTGCGCAGTGACAGCAGGTGGCGTTCATGGTATATACTATTGTAGGTTTTGGCTGAACTCTGTGGACACTCCATTCAGGGGTAGCTCGGCATGATCAATATCAATGCATAGGTTATGATGACACCAAGGTCTGGTGTGAGTGTTGATGATGATGAGGTTGATGGTGTTGGTGATAAGGTTGGTGAATGTCAATGATAATGAGGTTGATGGTGTTGGTGATGAGGTTGGTGGTGTCAACACAAGTGTCCAGTGTGTTGACTTGGTGCTTGAAGTGATCCCCAGACCGCAGTGGACTACTGCCTTCAGTTCTATCTTGATCTGGACCACTAACCTGCTATGGGCACCTTCAGACATCAGGTAGTGGTGATACAACACATGCACTATGATGAGGAGCAACCTTGATAGATTGCTGCTATGCTGACTGAAACTAATGTATACTTATGCTGAAGTGATAACTAGTTATATGGTGAGTAGTGTGGATGAGGATCCACTCGACCTTTGATGATGAGAAAGCATGGTTATATACCTCTTCACAGCATCGCCAGTGATGCTGCTGCTGCTCTCCCTCCAGAGAGTACCTTCTTCATCAAGTACTGTACAGGGGGCCCCTCTAGCACCACTCCTGTCCTCCTTGAGCTATCCTGCTTGCTTGGCACCCCTGTGCCTCTTGAGCTGTGTCAACTCCTTTGACACTGCTCCTCCTCCTTGCTATCCTGCTTGTTTGGCACCCCTGTGCCTCCTGAGTGGTGTTGACTCCTTCGACACTGCTCCTCCTCCTCATGACCTGGTGTCGACTCCTTCGACACTTGTCTCTCAAGCCCCTGAGTGGTAACCATCTGCATGCTCCTTGAGCTTGGTCCCCCTCGTGGCTGTGCCTGGCCTTCCTCGCATATGGCTCAGTGCTCCTTTGCATGTGAGTCCATAGGAGTCCATGGTCTCCATGGAGACTGCACTACGACCATGCTCTCTACTGGTATCGACTAGATCTCTACCTGTGCCCCTCTCATATGAACCAGTGACCCTCCTGCTTCCTGAGCATTTAGGCCCATGACACTGCCTTTGCCTTGTCATTTGTTATGGTCTCAAGAACAAACTCTGGATCCAGCAAATAGACTTTGTTGCAGCATATCTCAACAGTGAACTCACAGACATCAACATATACATGACGCTTCCACCAGGTTTTGAGGAACAGTACAGATGTTCACTGCAATCAGCTTGTCACCTCAAGAAGGTGCTCTACAGGCTCAAGCAGTCCAGCCATGAATGGTTTGCAAAGCTAGATGAGAGTCTATGCTCATTAGGCTTTGCACAACTCGGCTGTGACATGGTGGTATACAAAATGGAGTTGGTTGTCATTGCCATTTATGTTGATGACATCATCATTGTTGGGCAAGAACACAAGGTTGATCTTGTTATTGACTCAATCCAAGCATGCTTCAAGAACACCAGAGGTGGTGATGCACAATGGCACCTTGGCATCTGCATCCAACAAGATGATAACTCAATTTTGCTTGGGCAAGATGCATACATTGACACAATACTCACTTGTTTTGGCATGGACCAAGTGGTGGAGATCAACATGGCACTGGACCCATCAGCTGCCAACTTGCTGCTCATGGACCCAAGCTGCTGGTCTCTCACTAAAGAGCAGGTAGTGACTTATCAACAAATTGTTGGGTTGGTCATGTACCTCATGACCTCAACTAGACCCAAGCTTGCCTTCCCTGTCAGCAAGCTCACAAGTCACCTTGCAGCCCTGACCACAGTTCATCTCAACCAAGCACAGCACTTATTGCACTATGTCCTGCACACTTGATCACACAGACTAGTGTACTTGCAAAATGAGTCAAGCACTCCTGTCACATACTCCAATGCTGGTCATGCTGACAGTTGGAAAGAAACCCCATACTCAACATCTGGGTTTGTCCTCACTTTGTTCAGAGGAGTGGTTGCTTGGAGGAGCAGGAGACAGAGAGTCATATTGACATTAACAGTGGAGGCTGAGGTGGTTGCCCTCAGTGATGCATGCCATGATGTTATCTGGGTTCTTGATGTACTCAACAGCCTCAGCACTGTGCTCCCTGGTACCCCTGTTCTACTCTTAACCAACAACCAAGCTGCAGAACAGAACATATCTGCAGACAGACCCAGGCTCAACAAATCACTCACACTCAGAAGTGCATTTGCAAAGGACACAATCAAGAAGGGTATTGCCATTATTAAGTGGATCACTGGGGAACTACAGGTTGCTGATGGTTTGAATAAGTTACTTAATGCAAGAGGATGTGTGAAGTCCTGAGAGGACCTTGGAGTCAGAAGCCATCTGGTGGCTCGTTGCTAGGAGGAGTGAAGGAGGGTATCGACTTGCACCAGGAGGTCGATGGAGTAACCAATGTTTTCGACGGGATGACCAGCCTCTCCGATGGAACGGCCAACGAAAGTTCGCACAATGATAAGCTTTTGTCAGGTTCTCCGTTGGGCAGTCTCCGTTGAGGTGATCAGTGCACCCAACAAGGCGGTTGACAAGTCTCTCCTTCAAAAGGTAAGCTCTCTTTGGCACTTTCCATCAGGGTGGCAAACTCGCTCAACAGAAAAGGGTCTCCTTCTTCAAGAGTCTCTCGTGCTCTGCCTTTCATGCTCTGCCTTTCATGCTCTGCCTTTCATGCTTTGGTTGTTCCTTCCTATCTTTGTGTTGGTGTCAAGATGTATATATAGTCCTTGAGTCAGTCAGTTTGCCCCGATCACAGTCATCCATCCCATTGTACTTACTCAGCAAGGTCGAGAACACAATACAACTGTGTCCTGCCACAAAGAGTGCACTATGCCTTGAACAAGGCACCTTTGAGTTCTGGCAGATGTACAGTTTTCAACGCTGCTTTTCCTGGGCGCGTGTCTACTTGAACTCAACTTGGCTTTGCTCAGGAACAGTGAAGCCAAGCTTGCCCGTTTCAAGTGCCTTGATGAGGTTCCTCAAACAAAGCGCTTCCATCTTTGTCTGCGTCTCCAGTGTTAGTGTGCCTACGTGGGGGAGGAGTTCGACTTTGCTATCTTTCAGTGCCAGGAGTTTATCATGCATCTTTGGCTGTCGTCCAAGATGCACAGGTTTCGGAAGATTCACATGGTCAGTTACATCTTTGTACACTTTGAACGGTGTTGTGTCTTGGGCAAACTCTTGGCGGGGTGCTTACCTCGGCTTCGAACACGTCTAGACCTGCACCGGCGATAAGACCTTGCTGCAGAGCTCGTGCTAGTTCTTCTTCCTTAACTATGGGTCCACGTGCTGTGTTGAGGAGGATAGCGTCCTTTTTCATCATCTCGAGCTGTTTCCTGCCGATGAGACCCTTAGTAGCGGGTGTTAGGGGGCAGTGGAGCGATACAATGTCAGACTGCTGCAACAGCTCGTTGAGCGAGTTGACGTACTGCATTCCGCCTCGTGCTGCTTGCGCTTCGACATCCTTGTCCAGACGGTTGCGGTTGTGGTAGATAACCTTGATCCCGAGCGCATGCGATGCTTTGTAGGCAAACGCACGACCAATTCCTCCAGCTCCAACAAGACCGAGTGTTTTCCCCCTTGGATCTCTCGCTTCCAAAAAGGGGAATGCTGAATTGAACTTGCCCTCATTCATCTGTGCCTTGGCTAGAGGGAACCTCCGCAGAGCCCCAAGCAAGAGGTAGAGCGCGACATCTGATGTAGCATCGTCTACCGCAGTGGGCACATTTGACACCTGAACATTCCTATGCGATAGCGCTTGAATGTCAAGCTGATCATATCCGGCACCGTTGTGTACGATATATCGCAAGCTCCTGGGGAGTTGCGAGACGAGTTCCCGATCGAAAGCACCCGTAATCTTGACCGAGCGGGCGCCTCCAAAGTGACGATAGATGCCGACTACCTCCGAGTACTCGCCACCACTTTTGAACTTTTCCATGAGCTCTTGTCGGCTTTTCGCTGTTGATTCGACGAGGATAGCGACTTTGGAGAGTTGGTTGAGTTCCCTGGTTGCTAGCTTGATCTGATCGAGGAGAAGGACCTTTGGTTTGGCAGCTGCGCGGATGCGGGCGGTGGAGTGGAAGCTGTTGCGAGCGAGAAGCTGTGATTGCATGCGAAGCGCCTTTGATGGGCCGCCTACGTTCAGTGAGAAGCGGAGAGTCAGCATGATGGTGGACAGAATCATGGTGGACAGAATCATGGTGGACAGAATACTAGTGGACCGAATGAGGTTTGTGTGGTCTGTGCGTGAAAGGCGGCTAATCGACTGCGAGACGCGATCGGCGAGACGCGAAGCAAAAGCGTTGGAATTACGTAAGCATGACGGACAAGGGTCCATCTGAATTCCAACTTTTTTTATTTTTTTTTTTGTTTTTTTTCCCGATTTGAGAAGTCGTCGAGAAACTTGGAAGCTCTGATTCTAACCACCACTACGACAAGCCTTCTCTCGTCTCGGTATACATACCTCTTGAAGCTGCTCAAGAAGTGCTCGCCCTCGTTGCCCGCACCAGTCAGTCCGGCATTAGCTCCTTGGCCCCTATTGCACCTCTCGTTTCGGTGAAGCTCCGGCAGGATAGAGCCGGTGGAAGATCTGCCACCATCCTGCGTCGTTTCTTTGCCGCTCTTTGCTTGCGATGGTCAGTTCGCTCTCCTAAAGCTACTTCAACACTCATCGCAGGCTCTACATCGACGCTGGGCTGTTACGGACGCATCGCAAGGCATACAGCAACGAATCTTGTCCCGTTGCTGACAGCACAAACATCAGCCTCGGATCGCAGCAGAAAGAATCTCTTGGTGGCATCATCATCATCATCCTCGCTTACGACTGTCATGAAGAGATCCGCCACCTCCGTCTCTACATCTGCCAGCGCAGGGAGCAACTGGAAAGCGCTGAAAAAGTCGCTAAACTCGGATGCTTCCACCTCATCCTCCTCTTGCCCTGCACGTCGTAAAGCCTCGTTCTCCTCCTCCACCAAGCCAAAAGGCATGGCAAGGCCAAGAGGATCAGATCTCAACGCCGTTAGCAACGGTCATACCGATCGCAGTCGAACCTCGAGCCGCGCTGCAAAAACCTTACCATGGTTTGCCGAAGACATTTCACCCCAAGATCTAGAGCTTGTCCGTTTAAGCGCATCAGACAGAATCACGCGCAGTGGGCAATGGGAAGGTCTGATTGATTGCAATCTCAAAAAGCAAATCATTCTTGGCGGTCTAGCCGAGGAGGCAGCTCCGGCTAAAAAGGAACCCGGTAACTACCTTGCCATTGACTGTGAGATGGTTGGAGTAGGCGAAAAAGGTTGCCAATCTCTTTTGGCCCGTGTTTCCATCGTCAATTTCCACGGTGTTACCATCTTGGATCGATTTGTTAGGCCCCAGGAAAAGGTCACCGACTACCGAACTTGGGTGTCAGGAGTTCGAGCCAGCGACCTGAAGAATGCTCCTTCATTCAGCGAGGTGCAGGGAGAAGTAGCCAAACTGATCAAGGGTAAAGTTCTGGTGGGACATGCTATTCAAAACGATCTTAAAGCTCTACTTGTTTCCCATCCAAGAGCTTTGATAAGGGATACTGCCACTTTCCCACCACTGAGGGATTTGGCAAAGACGAAATATCCAAGCCTTAAAAAGCTCGCCAAGTTGGTCCTGGGCATAGATATTCAGACGCAGGGAGAATCGCATTCGTCTGTGGAAGATGCTAGGGCAACAATGGCAATCTTTAGAAGTCAAAAGAGCATGTGGGATAAAACATTGCGAAGCAAAGATCACCATGGATTTGCGATTGACGAGATCGACGCAGTTGACAGTAGTAGTGCTGGCAGATCAACGTCGAGAAGGATGGGGAACAAGGTTTGCAAACCACGAGCGAACAGCATAGCGATAGGTCCTGTTTCTCCTACGTTGAGGAAGAGAAGTATGTCTAGTTCCCCAGCAGCAGCAGCAGGAGCAGCAGCAGCAGGAGCAGCAGCAGGAGCAGCAGCAGGAGGAGGAGGTGGAGGTAGAGAAGGGGGATTCCAGGATACGCTCAAGCTGAAAGCTCGTATGGCTGCCAAAGCTGATTGGTGGAAGGATCCCATCTGAACCGCTATGTCTCGGGTTGACTAACAAGATGCATTCTTCAGCATGTCTCGTCCTTTCTTTCGCAACCCATCGTGTATTTGTATGCCCAACTTGATCTTGCACCCTTAGCTCTGTCTGTTGCAAAGTCTGAGAGTGCGCAATGTGTGCGAGCAAGGGAAGAACTGGACAAGCTTTCAGTCTGACGAGCTTTGGTCGTGCGACGCGGGTTAAAAGAAACATTACCGCCAGAACCATGAGAGTTTTGCCGGGTTAGAGTACAAGAGTGTCAAGAGGCCAGCTTCCAAGTGGCTTTCTAAGAATGCATATTGCTGCAAGTGTGCGCAAGATGAGGATTGACGCAAAACAGCAGTTGCTCTGGAGCGAGCAATGCGGAGCATGTACCGATGCTGTTTGTGCAGTGAACGGGTGTTGCTAGGCAGGTCATGCATCATCCTTCTTGGTAAGGTGAGAGCCGATGAGCTTTGCCATTTCGAAGGAGCTGTCCAAGTAACAAGAAGGAGGATCAGAAGGTCAGTAAGATCCTTCAGAAGCTTGAATCCGCGCATTTCACTAGCTGCAGGAAGCGACTCACTCTACGGATTCCTTTCCAAAGATGTCTGTAAGCTTGGCATCACAGAGGATTTGACGCTTGTTGCTCTCGTTTTGCAGGTTATTTGACTTGATGTATGCCCAGAGTTGCTTTACGACTGCGTGTCGTGGCATCTGCGGTACATCAAAGCCAAGATAGGGCAGGAAATGACGTCGGTCAGCGATACAGTGCGCCAACCAAGTCTCAAGTGCGGATGGGCAAATACCTACCTCATTGCCACCGCATACTTGAGCCATCTTTGGCGACAAGATAAGTGGACGGTTGAAAGGGTTGTTAGGGTTGGCAGCCCTCTTCTTTGGCGGCTCGTCATCCTCTTGCTCCTCGGTAGCCGCACGTTTCTTTGTGGGCTTCTTCTTTGGCTTGGGTTCCACTTTTGGCTTGGGTTCCGCTTTTGGCTTGGTACCGTTGGATGCGGGAGCTTTAGCAGGTGCAGGCTTAGAGCAAGTAGTCGAGGATGCAGCGGTGGTGGGAGCAGCAGTGTGACCACCTCTCACACCACCGAGACCTGGAAGAGCAAGGCCACCGGAGGGTGGTGCAGAAGAAGCACCATTGTAAGAGGTAGGAGACTGTGGTGGAGGAGGCATGCCTTTAGAAATCTGATCGAAGCAGTCACGGATGACTTGGTCGACCTGCTTTTTACTTGCCGAGAGATCGAGAGCGGATGGGAGAGCGTTTGGTGGAAGCTGTGCAAGTTGTGCGCGAACCTTCTTTGCAGAGATCGAGCTGAGGTCGGCGCTGTTAAGGATCTGGATGATGGCCGGGCGGAGGAGGGCGACGATGGCCGGGTCGAGAGGACGAGATTGAGACATGATGGCGGAAAAAGAAGAAAGAAGCAAGCAAGAAAGGAGGCAGAGGACAATGCGAATGAATGGGCGGCAAGAAGCGAGAGAAAAAAAACGCAACTGAAAACAGATCGCCAGAACAGCGGTTGTCGACAGCAACGAGGAGTAAGCAAAAGGAAACGCTGTGCCAAAGTTTACAACAAGGAGCTAGTAAGCTAAGCTCAGCCGAGTCGAATCCAAGTGTCCTTGTTGCTAACTGAGAATGGAAGCAGCGAAAGCAGCGAAAGCAGCGAAAGCAGCGTATTGGAGCTCGACTGGATCGGAGGTCGGAGGGTTCGAAAGGGTTGTGCCTTAAGGGCTCGTGGGATGATTGCGAAAGGATGGAAGAAAGCCAATCTTGACGATGGAGGAGGGAAGGAAGGACATGCGAAAAGAGAAACAGCGTAAAGACAACCCAAAAAGTGGTCCGAGCGCGACGCAAAACAGGCAGCCGAGCCATTGTTTTTTAAGAGGCCTTCTCCATGTTAGATTTTGAGTTGGCTCCTCGATACAAATCGCAAGATCGGGTGAGACTCAGGAATCGATATCAATCCCGATCCCGATCCCGATCCCGCTTGCCTGGATAATTTCACGCAGGCGCTTGGCCCGTGCACCTATAGCAGCAACTCACTCGCAGTTCGACCTTCTCATCCATCGTCCACCATCCATCGTCCACCATCCATCATCCACCATCCACCATCCACCATCCATCATCTTAAACATAAACCACAACGAGAGGATCGAGATCGAAACAGTGGCAATCCCAACGTGCTACCTCCCTAGAGCTTTTCAGGCCGTCGTCGGGCTCGCCCTCAGCGCAGCACCACACCAACCCAAAGACCCGCATTGCATCGTATCAAACCCATCCAGGCATGTCTGCACGAGTACCTTCCGACAAGCCTGTCCCACCGACCCCACCGCAGCCGCCTCGAGCAACCTCGCCTGCAATGCATCCCAACCTGGAGCAACGCAAAGACCAATGGCTCGGCCGTAACCAAGACAACAAGGCCTCCCTTGTCTACCAGCCGCACTCCCAACCTCGGCAGGTCTTTCTTCGTATTCGCATCTCAACGATCGAAAAGGCAAAGAAGGATCTCCTGGTTCGCTTCGATGCTCAAACCAACCTGCCTCACTTGCGCGCCTCTTCCTATCCTGGCCTCACCCGGACCTACCGAGAGCTGTGTCTTTATTCCCTCGCTCTCTCGCTCTCGAGTCCAGCAATCATCGTCCCTGCTCTTCCGCTACCCTCGACAACGGCAAGTGGGTTGGAAGATACGCGCATCCTCCGACTGATGCTCGGCAGATGGTTCCAGCGAATCCTCGCAGAGCCCAGCTTGCGAGATCATCCCGAAACACGCAATTTCATCGAGGCCGACTTTGCTTACTCTCCCACTCCCCCGGGCACTGGTAGCTCATCAGCTGCGAGAAAGCGGTTTGCCAATGCTATGGCTAGTGCTGCATCCGTCGCCTATGGTGGCGTCGATTCCACTGGTGCACTACCCAATGGTGTTTTAGCTACATCAGCCTCGGCTGGCTCTCGAGTTAGCAGTGGTGGTGGTGGCGCACTAAGCATACTTGGAATTCGCGGTGCAAGTTCCAAAGGTCTCGCCACATCTCGAAGCGTTTATGACGACGACCAAGAACTTATTGCAGCCCGAGCGGAAGTTACCCGTCTTGAAATGCAATTTGCTGATGCTGCAGAAGCTTCCGAAAAACTCGCTCATTCCCGACGCTCCCTCACCGCCGCGCTCACAGATCTTTCTATAAAGCTCAACAATCTTGGTGCTGTGGAAGAAATTCGACCACCATCACTGCGACTCGGTCTGCCTTACCTACTCAAACGAACCGCATATACAGCGCGCAGTCTAGGAGAGCTTCAAGCTTCGCTTTCCCACACTGAACTGCTTACGATCGGAGATGCAGTTGCCTACCAATCCATCAATGCGCGGGCAGCAAAAGAGACCATGTTAGCTCGTAATGCGCTGGTGGAAGAACATCATCATGCTCAAAAAGCAACGGTGGCTAGAAAGAGAGAGTTGGAACATCTTAAAATTCAATCAAATCTTAGCTCCCATAGAGTCGATCATGCATTGCTCCATTTGGAAGAGGCTAGGAGTCATGAGTTTGCATTGGCTCATACTTTGAGGTTGATTAGTGTTGATTTGCATCAGAGTTTGCAGAGGCATAGTAGGTTTGCTCATGCTGATTTGCAACATGCTTTGGTGGAATATGCTAGAGGCAGTCTTATCTTTCAGAGGCAGATGTTGAGCGAGATGAGAGTTTTCAAGGCTCAGTTGGAGGTGATCAAGAGTGTTGATGTTGGGAGCAAAGAGGAGGGGGGAGTAAGATCAGATGGATTATTCGCAAGTCTTTCAGCATCGTTGCCGACAGTAGTACAAACAAACGCTTCTCAATCTATGCATTCCGCTCAAAGACTTCAATCTGGCTCTTCTGGACCAACTGCATCCGCCAACCCCACACCGGCACGGGCACGCGCACAATCCGGTGGCCTAGCAAGCCAACCTATGTTCCCATCAAGAACAAGCACAGCAATGCCAGCCACGGCAAACCCGCATCCACTCGGAGCAAGCGGTACAGCCAGTGGAACGAGCCGTCTCAGTGCTGCTGAAGCTGCGCGAAGTCTAGCTGGCAAATTCTAACCCCCCCCCCCCATCCCCCCTCTTTCGGGATGAGGGTATGTAAGAAATGCAAACAGAAAACTCGTCTTGTCCATGCCATCCGTCAATATCCCGAACCATATCCCTAGCCATGCCCAACACCACTCGAACCGATCCAACCAGATCCACTTTCACCAAGCCGAGTGCATGCAAGAATTGAGAGCTGTTGAAGAGATGTTCGAACTAAGCGGTTAAGGTATTAGATTGCCATTCCAAAACGACCATTGTGAGAGACCAAGCAAGTGCGAAATGCAATCCATTCCTCATCCTATCCGAATGCCTTTCGTCTGATAAAGGAAAAAAAAGGAAAAGAAAAAGAAAAAAAAAGAAAAAAAGGTTTACGAGTATAGTGCAGCACCCATTCGTCTGGCCTCTGTGCAAGTCGGAGTAGTGGGCGAGGTAGGTGGATGAGAAGAACCTGCTCCACCTCGACCTTGCTGTTGCTGTTGTTGGTGGTGGCGGTGGGAAAGTGATGCATCACCACCCGAAAATTGTCTTCCATGGCCTCTCTCAGCACTAGCATAAGGTGAGCTGGGTGGACCATGCGAAACATAGCCTAAACTCTGCGGTTGCAACGGCGGAAGTTGTCTACTCGAAGCATTCAAGGGTGATGGTGGAGGATAATGTCCTCTCCTAACCGCAGAAGGAGTTTGTGAGGAGAATGGCGAACTAGGTTGCATCGAAGGAGACAAAGCTCCCGGTCCCGGATGGGATAAAATTCTGTTATGCGTTGGAGTCTGACTAGATGCTGGTCCCAAAACATCCTGCTGTCTTGTGGTTGGTGAGAATTGACCATAAACGCTTCCCGCCGGAGCAGGTGCACCAATCGAAAGCTTGTGCAGTGGAGTCGACGTAACTCCTTCCTGACCAAACCCTTTTTCTCTTTCCCTCCCACCACCACTTGAGGTTCTTCTCCCGTGCGATCCACTTTTGCTGTTCAAACTCGTAGAATGTGGTGCATCCCGACCATAATCCGAATCCTGTGATTGACCTTGATCGGAAGCAGACGCAGAAAGTGCCTGCCCTCCATCTTCATTCTGTGAAGCCTTCGCAGCCGCTTCTTTCCTCCGCATCAACAAGTATCTTTGTCGACACTGATGGTAAGATCTAGTACCAACGGCACGAGAGATAAGTTCCCATCGTTGTCCATGCTCTTTGATTGCCGCGCGGAGTTTGGTGTCTTCTTCCGCAGTCCATCGGACATAGGGAAGACGCTTTTCAGGATTTTGATTACCACCGAAGGATTTGCTTTCGCCATTGCGAGAACCTTGAGATCCGTTCGTTTTGCAACTTCGAGAACCATCAGGATTGCGTGAAGAGACCAGACGGGATTTGCGTCGAGAATCACCATGGATCATCATCTCATCTTCACTACTGAGACTGCCGATGGGGCTTACACCTTCGTATTCTCCTGACTTGTCGCTTCCTTGCGAAGGGTTTTGGGAGGCGGTGGCTTGGTCTGCTAGCACATCTAGAGCACTGAGAGTTTGACTCCCACCAGCACTGAGTGGTCCGCTGGGTACATGGTCGTAGTAGGGAGCACAGCCTTGCATCAAGGGGTCGGCACCTTCGGTTTGTGTTCGATTGCGCGGCTGACGATCGCCAAGGAAAGGCGAGTCGTAGGCTTCAAAGTCAAAAGCGGCACAAGAGACGCGGCGACGTTTAGGACTTTCATGAACCATGCGGAGAGGGCTAGATTGGATGGGGAAAGGACCAGCGCTGTAGCCGTATGAGTCGTATTCAAATGGACCGCGCTGAGTTGTGACAGAGAGCGGTGGAGGGTAGTTGATTCCACGATGAGGAAGCTCGCGCGGGTAGTAAGTCGGGTCGCCAGCGGGAGGTGGCAAGGGAGGTGGCAAGGGAGGTGCGGGACCCCTGGTTGGCGAAGGAGCGGTAGTGCTAGGGTTGAGCGTCTCGGCGGCCTGCAGAAGCTCGTCGATGCCGGTGAAGGACGAAGCTGAGTCGAGCCTTCGATGTCGACCGGACCAGCTGTCGCGTCTGTCGTCACCTCGGGCCAGTTGGTCGAGCTCACGTGCACGAAGGCCAGTGCGAGGGGTGTGCTGGTTGCTGGCGATCGATTTCGGAGCCTTGGGTGGTCGCTCAGCAGATCTAGACGGTGGAGTGCGAGGTTGGGCGCCGTAAGGAGCATCTCTTTCGCCAGTCATGGGACCTGGGCTGGCTTGTCGCTTGACGGGAGAAGCATGCATCGCTGACGAAGCGGACAGCTGAGGAGCAGGAGCAAGGGCGGTACCGTTGGAGGCCTGCTTGGCGCTGTCCTGAGAGGCAGTCAGAGAGCTCGAATGGGCAGCTGAACCGGATGTGACAGCGGCGGCTGCAGCTGCCTGTTCCTTGCGCAACTCGCGCAAGCGTCGAGCAGCCAGCATGAGGTGTTCGGTCTCTGCATCACCCATGGTGGCGTTGCGCTTCTTTCGGTTTTTGTCGCTGCGACTACTCGGCGTGGTGGGTGCGGTGCCAGGCTGGCTGAGTGCACCAGGAGTCTGGCTTGCGATGGGCTCAGCAGCTAAGTCTGCCGCCTTGATCGCACCAGAGACAAGGTAAGGTCGGAGAGCCTTGAGCTCGTTCTCGAGTCTATAAATCTGAGCTTCTGCATCCCTGACGCGGGATTTGAGATGCTTTTTATCAGTGATGAGCTTGTTCCTCTGGCGAATGAGCGATGCAGTCGGCGAAAGATCCGTGTCGACCTCGGCAAGGCTGGAGGTGGTGATACCAAGGCCTGTTGTACCTGGCGATCTATCTGATGGGCCATTCTCGTTTGCGGAAGAGAGGAAGCTGGGACTGCTGAGAAGAGGCTGATTGGAATCGGCGTTGGAAGCGGCAGCTTGACTGTTGAAAGAAGCAAGACGATTGCTGCTAGGAGAAGTGCTAGATGCAGCTGCTTTGGCCTTGTCTGTAAAGGCGACAAGAGGGGCAGAGCTGGAGGAGATAGAGCGCCTCTCATCAAAGGCTCGAGCTTCAGCCCTGTTGAGCAAAGCGCTAAGCATCTTGGCCTGAGCCTTCCAGCCATCCAACTCAGCCTCAAGACGATCAGTGGTGTTGCGATGGGCAGCGAGAGCATGGGCGTGGGCTTGCTTGATAGAAGAGATCACCGAAAGGGCAGTGAGACGGGTCGACTTGAGCTGAGACTGGGCTCGATCGCGCGACTGTGCAAGTGTATTGCAGCGAGAGGCGAGCAACTTGACCATACCGGCAAGTTGATGTTCCCTTTCGCTGGCAGAGGTCTCGGTAGCTGGATCGATACCCATGTTGGCGAGGGAGCCAAGGATGCTTTCGACGCTACCTGATTCTTCTGAGGGCGATGGAAGGTCGGTCGAGTCGGCATTGGCAGATGTAGAGCCGTAGACAAGCATTTGGATCTCGTGCTTTGTTGGACCGACAGCGACGCCGAGCATGGGAAAGGAAAGATGGCCAAGCTTGAGAAGATCATGGTGATCGGCGTCGTCGTCATCATCATCGTCTCGGTCTAGTCTCGAGGAGGAGGAGAGAGGAGCAAGGTCTGAAAAGACAGGACCCAAGATGGGTGAAGGAGTGGGAGATGGAGCCGGCGAGTGAGTTGGGGAATGGGTGGTACAGGAACGGTAAGAGGTTCGATCGAGAGGACGCTCTGCAGCAAAGGTGCGTTGGTCATTGTGATCGATGCTGGAACGTCTGCTGAGCCTGCGTTGGGATGAGAAGGAGTGGTCTGCAAAGGAGTGGTCTGCAAAAGAGGAGCTGCCAGCGCTGAGACGAGCGGCAGCACGACGAGGTGCCATGTTATCAGAGACGGTGGTGGTGGGGCTGGCGTCTGGAAGCCGTTCATCCGTGGCGAGAGGGGATGAAGATGCGACCGGATTTGGTGGCGGACCAAAGTGGTTGTGAGAGGTGGGTGGAGTTGGCAAAGGAGCTGAAGATGTCGGTGGTGTCGATAAAGCTGGCTGCTGTTGGCTTGCTGTGTTGTTGGCCTCCTCGACCTTGCTTGCTAATGTGGAGGCTGAGACAGCAGCCTCTGGACGTGACATCGACATGCAAAGCACCAGAAAAGGTGAGCTATCAACCACCACGATCAAGCTGTCCCTTGGCAGTGTGTGGCGATGATGCTGGACCTAGAGGAGTTGCACTCTCTTCGAAGCTATCGTGCAGGCACACTGAGTCGAGCCGTAAATCAGCGATTCCAGACCAGAATTCCGGCGAGCGAGGGACGAATGGACTCGTTCGGAAGGGTATCTTGGCAAGCAGCGAAGGAGAAAGAGAGAGAGAGATGTGGCCAATGTCGAGACTGATGGAAAGAGGATGGTGGTAAGAGGCAAAGAGATGATTGGATGGATTTGCACAGTTGAATGAGATTGCTCAGCCGCTTTTTCTCTCTTTGTCGCTAAATGTTAGGTCGGCAGACACAACAGCCAACTTGGCTCCCAGTCTCCAACCGATCGCCTCTCTCGCCCTTTTGAGCCTTGAGGGGAAATCAAGTATTAAAAAAAAAAAAAAAACCCCCGATAATGCTTACATAAGCTGTGCCAAAGGAAAGGCTCCCACTAGGCTGACGGGTCCACCTGATTTAGATAAGCACAACCATTATCTAAGCACCAAAAAATGCATTTAACATGGCTACCTTCCCACACATGCAACACCAATGCCAACAGAATAAGTTAACTACCTATAGTATATCTGAATAGCATAAGGGGCATGCCTTCAAGGTCCTTGTGTGGCCAATCACATTACACTTGGTGCACTGGCTTGGAGCTCGACATGGACATACTGCCTGGGCCTCAACCACTTCAAACTGACTGGGTTCCCACTTAGTACTTGACCTTGGGAGTACACTCTGAGCTCAAATTGGCTCAATGCATTGGCAAGGCTCAAGAAGCAACTGTGGTGACCCATTCCACCTCAAATGCCAGTGCTGGTGGGAATGGCTGAGTAGAAGAGCCTTGCCTTGATGAGCATCTAATGTGTGTAAGCATGGGAGCCCATAGACTCAAGAGAAAGGGCCTGTACAAATCAGAGATGGAGGGAGATGGCTCTTTGCCAGTAACTTCTGTTGCTCCTCAACCTTCCTTAACACCTCATGAGATACCCATCCTCATAAAACTCCATATAGAGTCCCTGAAAGCTCAAGAGGCATTCAGATCTGTTGTTTTGCCTGTATTGACTGTAACTTGGAGAGTTGGTTGAGGAGGGCAAGGCAGATTGCTTTCCAGGCCTCAAAAAGGTCAAATGTCAATCTCTTCAAGTACAACTTAAGGAGTGTGTGAATGCCCTCTACTTGCAAGGTAGCTGTATTGCCAAAATGAGTTGACTGGTCAACCCAAGTGCATATGAGCTTCTCCTTGAATGGAACAAGCCACATAGCCTTGATATAGCCAACTTCTTCAAGGTGCTCTGGAATGTACTTCTGCTGGAACTCATAAAGGAGCATTGCAGCAGAGGGAAAAAGAGTCAAAGCTGCATTCATAAGTGCAAGATGTCATGGGCCTGGATGCTCAAGAAGCAGGAGGGTCACTGGTTCATATGGAAGGAGCACAGGTATCGAAGATCTAGTCGATACCAGTAGAGAGCATGGTCGTAGTGCAGTCTCCATGGAGACCATGGACTCCTATGGACTCACATGCAAAGGAGGACACGAGCCACATGCGAGGAGGGCCAGGCACAGCCACAAGGAGGACCAAGCTCAAGGAGCAGGCACAGCCACGAAGAGGACCAAGCTCAGATGGTTACCACTCAGGGGCTCGAGAGACAAGAGTCAAAGGAACTGTCACCAGTCAAAGGAGAAGGAGCAGTGTATAGGACACTAGCAGGCAGGTCCTGAGGAAGAGGAGCAGTGTCGAAGGAGTCGACACCAGGTCATGAGGAGGAGGAGCAGTGTCGAAGGAGTCGACACCACTCAAGAGGCACAGGGGTGCCAAGCAGGCGAGGCCCCTGAGCAGTACTCGATGAAGAAGGTACTCTCTGGAGGGAGAGCAGGAGCAGCATCGCTGGCGATGCTGTGAAGAGGTATATAACCATGCTTTCTCATCATCATAGGTCGAGTGGATCCTCATCCACTCTACTCACCATAACTAGTTATCACTTCAGCATAAGTATATATTAGTTTCAGTCAGCATAGCAGCAATCTATCAAGGTTGCTCCTCATCATAGTGTGTGTGTTGTATCACCACTACCTGATGTCTGAAGGCGCCCATAGCAGGTTAGTGGTCCAGATATAGATAGAACCAAAGGCAGTAGTCCACTGCAGTCCAGGGATCACTTCAAGCGTCAAAGTCAACACACTGGACACTCATGTTGATGCCACCAACCTTATCACCAACACCATCAACCTCATTATCATCAACACTCACCAACCTTATCACCAATGTCATCCACCTCATCATCATCAACACTCACACCAGACCTTGGTGTCATCATAACCAAAGCATTGATATTGATCATGCCAAGCTACCCCTGAACGGAGTGTCCACAGAGGTCAGCCGAAACCTATGATAGTATATACAACAAACGCCACCTGCTGTCACTGTGCAACTTGATAGTCACTGATACTGAGACAATAGCTGTTGCACAGTTTGATAGTCACCGAGTATCTCGACAGACCAACCTGGGTTTCAGGCGCGAGACCCCTGACATTGTGCTCTACAAGGGAGAGGCACCCCTATAGAAACCACTGATACAATGTTGCAGGCAACAGTGTGATAACACCTATATAACCATGCTCATCACTATAGTTGTTGAGTGGATCCCCATCCACTCTACATCTTACATTACTAATTATAGCTTCACAGAAAAGTATACTTAGTATTCCATCAACAGTAGCAATTGCAGAGCATTGCTTCCATTGTAGTGCATGTGTTGTATCACTGCTCATTGACATCATCCAAAGGCAGTACTCACTGCAGTCTGGATATAGATCAACACCAAAGGTGGTTCATACTGTGGTCCAGCTCTCTTGATCATTGTACACCAAAGGCAGTTGTCCAACTGTGGTCCAGGATCACCTCAAGCACTCAGTTGACACACTGGACACTTGTGTTGGTGCCCACAGCATTACTCACACCAGACCTTGGTGTCATCACAATACATCTATCATTATTGATCATGCCAAGCTACCTCTGGATGGAGTGTCCACAGTGGTCAGTCAAAACCTGCAATAGCAATCAATCTATCACATATTTGAGCAAGAAAAGTCATAGAGGCCTTCTACAACAGATATCAACAAGAATAATAATACACAGCATTTTACCACATATCTTGACAGGATCTGTAATAGATGCGTTTCTACTACAGATATCAGGTTTCAGGCGCGAGACCCCTGACACTACCATAGTGCATGTGTTGTATCACCACTTGACATCATCCGAAGGCAGTTCACTCTGCAGTCTGGCTCTCTCGATCATTAGAACTGAAGGCAGTCATCTGCTGTGGTCCAGGGATTATCTCAGTCACTCAGTTGGCACACTGGACACTCGTGTTGGCATCAACAACATCATCAGCACCAGACCTTGGTGTCATCACACAGTATCTCTTGGTTAATTGATTGTGCTGAGCTACCTCTGGACAGAGTGTCCACAGCAGTTAGTTGAAACCTGCAATAACCTTCAAGCTATCACATATCTGAGCAAGAAAAGTCATAGAAGGCTTCTACAACAGATCTCAGCAGGAATCATAACAACAGCCTTTTTACCACAGATCTTGATAAAATCTATAGTAGTTGTAATTCTACTACAGATTTCAGGTTTCAGGCTCATGACCTCTGACAAAGCGCACCATAGTGTAGGGGACTGCGAGGGAGAGAAGGAGGTTATGGTTAGAATGGAAGGTGATGGTGAAGAAGGAAGAGAGGAGAGTGAGAAAGATGGCACAAAGTGTTGTGCATGTAGAGTGCTGTGCTCCCCTTGAAAAGTGTGCACATATCCATTTGCACAATAAATCTTCACATCATATGAACACACCTGTGATGCATATGTTTGGTCTCAAGAACATTCATTATTCATTGCACAAAAAAGTGGTACCAGAAACAAAGTGCATTTTGTGAAGACAAGCACAGTGAGATGGTACTGAGAAGTTGTTTTTCCTGAACATTGCAGTCCAGAGCATTGTGGTCTTGGCAATTGTTGATTGTCAAGACTGGATGTCAAGGTGATGGTCCTCTTTGTTGCTGAGTGACCATCATACACATCATTTCAATGAATACAAACATGTTCTTTGTGCTCCCTTTCCTGAGTGCAAAGACATTCTTCTCACTTCCTTTCCATGTGCTCATGCTGTAACCACAATTCTTCCTGCTTGGTGTGCTGTGCTTCTTGCTTGGTGTGCTCCTGTGCAAGCTTGAGGCAAATTGATAGGCTTTCTATCAAAGATTGATAGAAAGCCTCTGCAAGGGAATCCTGCTTCTGTTCAACATTGCTATGCTTGTGCTTGTAGCCATTTGGTTGCAAAGGTGAGGCCCAGTTTGAGAACATCAAGAGATTTGAGACAAGGGCATCTGATTGGATGAGATGTGGGGGTGGTGTTGAGATGTCAAAATTGGGGTAATCTCCAGCATTCCTGGGAGCAGCATCCACCAGGTCATGTAGTGGGGGCAGGCTGCAGGCATGCACTGCATGGTCAAGGTCTGCATTGCTGGATTCCTCCACGGGATTGCCACTGGGCAGCACATGATTGGAATCCTTGTTGCCAGCAACAACCAGGCTAGGTGTTGTGAGGAGGACAGCCAGGTCTGCCAACATGTGTTTGTTCATCATCTTGTGCATCTTCTCAAACCAAGGATACTTGGCTGACAGAGCAACCTGAGACATGTAAGACTGCAGAGAGGAAACTATAAAGAGGAAGTGTCAGTATGTAAGTATGCACAAGTAATATAACTGGTGGTCTTAAAGTACTTACAGGATTCATTGCATTGATGTCCTTCAGCAGTGTTCCAGCTCCTGTAAGCAAGAGAGCTTTCTTCTCCCAAAGGTATGTTTCTTGAAGCCAGTGTACCTTGAACTTGATGCAAGAGGGATCAACAGACCTGGTGGGGAAGAATGACCTGCTGAGGTCACAATGGATGATATCCTTGCAAAGATTGGGCAAGTGACAGGAGAAGGGAGGATTGTGCTGCTGCCTGTTGCAAGTGAAAGTGCAGGAGGTGCAGCTTGTTCTTGCTCTGTGTTGGATGGGGGAGTTGGAGAAGGGGGAAGAGAAACATCCCAGCTTCCAGCTTCAAATACTTTGTTGATGAACAACATGGAGCACCAGTGTGATGAAGTAGTGAAGTTGAGGAGGTGAAGCAAGTGGATGCACATCCATCTGGACATCATTTTGGAGAGACCAAAAAGTGAGTCCATTTTACCAGGTCCAGAGGTGTGTTTTCAGAAACCCATGTTTTTTTTTTAATTTTGGGTGAGCTTACATAAGGTTTTTGTGCAGAATAAAAACTCGTCAAAATCGAGAAACACGTGTTTCTAAAAACACACGAAAATTGATAGCCCCTTATTGATTTTTCTGTTCCTTTTCGGTGACTCTTTTTTTTTTGCGTTGCTTTTGGCTTCTGTTTCTCTGGGTTTGATTTGGTTATGGCCAATCCATTCTCGCTCCTTCTTTCTGTCTTGTTCACTTAGCTTTCCCATTGCCTTGTCATAACCCGATCTGGGACATCGAAGCAACTTTGGATCGCAACCTGAACAACCAGCGTCACATCCAATCTGCCCTCACACTCGGCTTTGGAGTGATTTCCAGTGTCGTTGTTAGACTTGTTTTGGCTACAGCGGCTGAATTGCTTCCCAAAGATCAACGCGTGGCACTTGAAAGTGTTGAATTGAGCTTGCTTGCGCGCCCGAATACAGATTTGTAAGTACGACGTGTAAGTAACAGAAGAGAGAGAAAGAGAGAGAGAAAGAGCAGAGCAGTTGGGCTCGAGCACCTTTTCTCTGCTTCTTGAGTTTGGTTCGGACTTCCGACATCCTCCCACATCACCGTCACACTCTCACACTCTCACACTCTCACACTCTCACACTCTCACACTGTCACACTGTCACACTGTCACACTGTCACACTGTCAGACTGTCACTGTCACCGTTCACTGTCGCCATTCACCTCTCTTTCGCATCACATCACATCGATAGCGACGCCTCTCGTTCCCACGCCACACGTCAGCATCGGCTTGGGTCCGAAGGATACAACTCGGGGCGTATTGCGTCGTATCGGATCGACCCGACTCAGCCAAAAGGTCGTCTATAGTCTCTGTTGGCGTTCCGATCTCCTCCTCCTGCTTCTTGACTGCCACCATCATCGCCACCGCCATCATCGCCACCACCATCGTCGCCACCACCATCGTCGCCACCACCATCGTCGCCACCGCTGCCTACCATGCCGATGCTTCTCGATATTCAACGAAAGCTCTTGGCTAAATCCGAGCGTGTCAAGTCGCTCGATTTCCACCCTACCGAGCCATGGCTTCTCGCTGGTCTCTACTCTGGCTCCGTCAACATTTGGAACTACGAGACTGGCGTCATCGTCAAGACTTTCGAGGTGACCAATGTTCCAGTACGATGTGTCAAGTTCATTGCACGCAACAACTGCTTCCTCGCCGGTTCCGACGACTTTCAGCTTCGTGCCTTCAACTACAACACGCATGAAAAGCTCATCAGCTTCGAAGCGCATCCCGACTACATTCGCTGCCTCGCCGTTCATCCAACTGGCTCCTATGTCCTCACTGGTTCCGATGACATGACCATCAAGATGTGGGATTGGGAAAAGGGTTGGCGTCTCATGCACACCTTCCAAGGTCACACCCACTACATCATGAACCTCTGCTTCAACCCCAAGGACTCCAACACCTTTGCCTCCTCTTCCTTGGATCGCACCGTCAAAGTCTGGACCCTCGGTGCCAGCGTCGCCAACTTTACTCTCGAGGCTCACGACAAAGGTGTCAACTATGTCGAATACTTCCACGGCGGCGAAAAGCCTTACATGCTCACTGTCGGCGATGACCGCACTGTCAAGATCTGGGATTACCTCTCCAAGTCCTGCGTTCAGACCTTGACCGGTCACACTTCCAACGTCTCTTTTGCTGTCTTCCACCCTTGCTTGCCCTTGATCATCTCCGGTTCCGAGGATGGCACCGTCAAACTCTGGCATTCCAACACATACCGTCTCGAATCTACCCTCGACTATGGTCTCGAACGAGTCTGGTGCTGTGCTTACAAGAAGAACGGCAACGACATTGCTATCGGTTACGATCAAGGTGCCGTCGTCATCAAGCTCGCCAAGGAGGAACCCAGTGTCAGCCTCGATGCTGCAGGCAAAGTCGTTTGGGCCAACAACTCGGAAGTGCTCAGCGCCAATCTTGGTGCCACAGCGGAAGAAAGCGTTGCTGACGGCCAAAGATTGCCTCTTTCGGTGCGGGAGATGGGTACAACGGAAGTCTACCCGCAGCTCTTGCAACACAGTCCCAATGGTCGATTCGTCACCGTATGCGGTGACGGAGAGTACATCATCTACACTGCCCTTGCATGGAGGAACAAGGCTTTCGGTACAGGTTATGGCTTTGCATGGGCAGGCGACAGCAACACCTACGCTGTCCATGAGGGTGGTAGCAAGGTCAAAGTCTTCCGCAACTTCAAGGAGCGTCCCGGTCTTTTGACTCTAGCATACAACGTCGACAACGTAGCAGGTGGTGCATTGCTCGCAGTCTTGGCAAGTCACTTTGTTTGCTTCTACGACTGGGAGACTGGTGCCTTGGTTCGCCGTGTCGATGTTGAGGCCAAAGCCATTCACTGGTCCACCACTGGCCAACTCGTCGCTATTGTCTGCGATGATTCTTTCTACATCCTTAGCTTCGACAGAGATGCCTACGCTGCTCACCTCGATTCGGGTGCAGAGATCGAGGATGACGGTGTCCAATCGGCATTCCAACTTGTCACCGAGATCTCGGAAAGCGTCCGCACCGCAAAGTGGACCGGCGAGTGTTTCCTTTACACCAACTCCACCAACCGCTTGCAGTACCTCGTTGGAGAACAAACGCACACCATCACTCACTCGGACAAGGAAATCTTCTTGCTCGGATACATGCCTCAACATGGTCGCGTCTATGTCGTTAACAAAGACATGGCCATCTTGAGCTACTCACTCTCTCTCGCACTCGTCGAATACCAAACGGCGATCCTTCGAGGCGATCTGGATGCAGCAGCAGAGCTTCTCGAAGAGGTCCCCTCTGATCAACGAAACCGAGTCGCCCGTTTCCTGGAAACGCAAGATCTCAAAGATCTCGCACTGCAAGTCTCCACAGACGCAGAACAGCGATTCGACCTTGCCATCTCACTCGACAACTTGGAAACTGCACTCGACATTGCCCGCAGCGGTGGCCAGGTGGGATCGGAATTACGATGGCGTACTATCGGAGACAAAGCTCTGGCTCGTTGGAACGTCGCCCTTGCGAAAGAATGTTTTGAGAAAGCACAGGATCTTTCTTCGATGCTTCTTGTTGCTACTTGCACCAACGATCGCCAACTGCTTGGTCGCTTGGCGGAATTGGCAAGCGAGAAGGGAAGCACCAACATTGCATTTGCCGCCTATCTATGCCTTAGTGACGTAGACTCATGCATCCAAGTGCTGCAGAAGGCAGGCAGGACGTCAGAAGCAGCACTGTTCGCGAGAAGCTATGCTCCCAGCATGGTCAGTGGCATCGTGAGCAAGTGGAGAGAAGAACTGCAATCGACTAATAGGCATAAACAGAATGAGATCGCAGCGAGTATTGCCGATCCCAGCAGAAACGAGCATGTGTTTCCAGAGGGTTGGAAGCAGAGTTTAACCAAGGAGAACGAGGTTAGATCCAAGCAGCAGCCAGGCGGGAAGAAAGTCAATGGTCTTAAGGCATGAAACATAGCAAAGCCTGTGTAGAAGAGGCTCGTTTGTTTTCATTTGTGGTCAAGAGTATATTTGCATGCTGAGGTCTCAAAGCGGGGTGTGTCGGCTAGCTTGGCATCTTTCTGAAGGCTGTGATGTTAGTCGCTGACTCTATCGAGCTGATGGTTCTAGGCTCTCAGCATGTTGGATTAGTCGATTGAGTATGTTGCTGCGACTATCACCGATCGTTGATCATCGGAGCCCGATTTGCTCACTTTTTTTATCAGATCATTCAGTTAAAGTATATAAAAGCTACACAAAGCGTAGAGACAGTGAAGGTATTGCTTACGGCCGAGTAAAAGGCCTGAGCATCTGAGCACGGACCACATGTGTCACAACCTACTCAAGACAAATGCTTTGTTATGTTCCGCAGTCAATGCGGTTCTCTGCCACTCTTCTTTTGTATATATATAGACTCCTTCTCTCTCCTCGCTCTCTCGCTCTCTCTCTCTTACCATCATCATCAATCACACGAAAACTTTAACTCGTTCTTCCATCGCGCGCCATCTAAAAACGTGTGGCTCGTGCACGGGAACCGGAAATTACGGCTCAAGTCTCTGCTTATCCTCTCCGTTCTCCTCCTTTCCTCCCTGCATCCCTTCCTCCATCCCTTCCTGCACTGCATGCCTCCCTGCATCTTACTTCTCTCTTACGCCGTCTTGCAAGAGTTGGCATTAGCCAGGATCATCGGTTGTCAGCGGATCAACACACTGGGCGTTGCGATTAGTGGTAGGAAATGTCGAGGAACGATGTTTTCAATAGGCAAGACTCTGGGCTCTTACTAGTATTCATGCAACCGGGATCTGCCGTGACACTTGCTGAATTCCATGAATGGTATGACAACGAGCATGTTCCGGTTAGGATTGAACGGTTTGGGGCCTTTCGATCTGCGGCTCGTTATTGTGTTACGTCGAGTCGGTATTTTTCGCATGACCTGTGCGCCCGTGTAGCTGATGTTCGTTGGGCTGCCTTCTATACTGTTTCTTCCACCATAACCTTTTCTGATCCGAGCTATGTTGCTCTTCGTTCACAACGTTCGCAGCGTGAAGCAGAGCTGTTCTCTCGGTTGTCGATTATAGACCGTAGGATCTACAAACTCGAATACGATTCCGACTGGGATGCTACTATCACCACACCGCGCATCAAGATCGGACTGAGCGCACAAAAGAGCAAGGATACAGGAGGATATCTAGTAGCAAACTCAGTAGATGTAAGTACTGAGAGGCAGCAGAACTACAACGTCTGGTTTGACAAGGTACACGTTCCCATGCTCAGCAGGCTCAGAGGATGGAAGAGAAGCAGGAGGTTTATATTGATAGATAGCAGTGTCACAGGGAAAGATGCCAAGGATGCAGATGCGCAAGGCATACCGCGAACTTTAGGTTTGCACGAATATGAAGAAGAGCGGATAGAAGAGACGGAGGAATACAAGCATGCCTGTTGGGCAGAATGGAGTGAAAGTGTAGCGGCAAACAGCGACGAGAATGTACTTAGAGGTGAGAGAAAGACTTGTACGCTCTACAAAGCCTGGGATCCCATCGCTGCGCTCCAGGAGGAGAAGCAATCCATGTAGAAGACTAGCTACCATCATCACACGCGGCCACAATACTGCGATCAAGGAGATGGAGCTGCCTTTTGAAATATATACAGAGTTCAAGTGTCAAGTGTGCAGCTCTTTGATCGACATTAAATGTGGCCATGCATCTCTTTCTCAGCCTCAACCCTGAGCCTTTTCCTGCTGGGCATCTTCATTGAATTGGGTAAAGCTTGCACCGCCTGGCTACTCAATAACGCCTTGGTTCTCTCTCTACCGTTCTGCACCAGCACGGCATCCATAATGACCAATGCAGCCATAGCTTCGACGATCGGAACTGCACGCGGAACGACGCATGGATCGTGTCTTCCCCTGGTATTCAAGGTTCCCTGTTTACCGGCATACGTCGCTGTCGCTTGATCCTGGGAGATGGTTGCTGGAGACTTGAAACCAACGCGGAAATATACATCTTCTCCATTGCTGATTCCGCCCTGAATGCCACCACTCCAGTTGGTGATGGTGCCAAGACGGCCGTCTGGTTTGAGGATGAATTTGTCGTTGTGTCTCGATCCAGCAACTTCTGTGCCTCTGAAACCGGAGCCGATTTCAAACCCTTTTGTCGCAGGAATGGAGAGCATGGCATGCGCCAACTTGGCCTCCAGTTTGTCGAAGCAAGGTTCTCCCAGGCCTGATGGAAGGCGCCGGATGATGCAGGTCACGGTGCCTCCAATGGAATCGTTGTTGGATTTGGCAAGTAGGATGCGTTGACGCATGCGTTCTGCTGCCAGTTCGTGAGGACATCGGATCGCAGTCTTATCCACTTGTTCGCGCGTGATGGTCGAGAGCAGATGGCGGAAGGATGCCGAGAGCGGTTCCTCTGCTTCTTCTTCAGTAAGGTTGCAAGTATGCATTACATTGTCCACCTGTGTTTGGGGTGCGCCTGCGTTTGCATCTTCTCCGTAAAAGGATTTCCCTCCGGCTTCTCCCTCGCCAGTCGCAGTGGCAGGGGGAGCAACTTTCACATCCGAGGCCAACTCCTCGCCAGGGTACCGCGGAATATGAACCTTACCAACGCTACTAACAAAAGCGACGATTTCAATCCCATATGCCTCTTTTAAATACTTCTCAGCCAAAGCTCCTGCTGCAACCCTACCGATTGTTTCCCTTGCACTACTCCTCCCACCGCCGGAGCTCGCCTTGACACCATACTTTTCTAGATAGGTAAAATCCGCATGCGAGGGACGCGGATAGGCATCCAGCGTCTCATCGGTGTAATCGTGCGGTCGTTGGTCTTGGTTGCGGACTAACATGGCAATCGGAGTGCCAAGCGTAACGCCGTTTTCAACACCGGACTGGATCTCGACTCGATCCTTCTCATCCCGAGGGGTGGTGAGGTTGGATTGGCCTGGTCGACGACGTGATAGTTGAACTTGGATGTCGGAAGCGCAAACGCTTAGACCGGCGGGTACACCATCGACGATGCAACCTACCGAGGCACAGTGGGATTCGCCGTACGTTGTCACTTTGAATTGGGTGCCGAATGTTGACATCTTTGCAGATCGATATCTGGCAAGGTGATGATGGTGGCAAGATGATGATGGTGGTCAGGTGGAAGAAAGCTCTTTCAATTTGCGCCTTTTCTTCTTATTCTCGCTAGGGGCTGAGAGGACTGTCATGATTTGTAATCAGGCGAGTCATTTAGAGCCAGAATCGAGATCGGCAACTCTGATAAGATTTCGATGCCCGATTCTAGATGCTGACACGACCGCCCGATTGGTTAAAGTGTTGCTTTCAACCCAAAAAGCGTTGCTTCACCTTGCCCTCCCACCACCACCACCACCACCACCACCGACTCTCCCTGAACCCTAATACAGAGTGCAAAGAGGAAGAATGGCATCAACATCGTCTCTCGGCAGCGCATCTCTCATCCACGCATCTTCCGCACAAGCTTTCTACACCCACTTCTCCGCCGACACCACCACTCTGCTCGATCAACTCGGCTCAGTTTCGGATGGGCAAGGGTTGCAAGGTGCGCTACAATCGTACGCACGTTTGGGTGCGCAGTTGACCGCAGCGGTGGACAGCGGAGTGTTGCCTGCGCACGATCAAGCGTTGCATAGGCGAAGGTTGCGCGAGCTGGCCGTGTTGTTGGAGGACACGAGACCAAGGATCCTCCTCGACGGTCCACCGGAAGGGCAGGCAGCGGGAGGAAACAAGAAGCGAGGCTTTGCTTTTAAGCGCACACAACAACCAAAGGCTGCAACGCCAGCAGTGGTCGAGACAACACAGTCAAAGCGACAACAACCAACACCCATACAACCCTCCCCAACATCGAACCACATCACCATTACCGCACTCGACAACACTTGCTACACCTGTTCGGAGCAAAGCGAAAGCAAACCATTATCGCTCGACTTGCACCACATCTCGAACTCGCTCGTAGACCTCCGCTCGTCCACAAGCCAGCACACAGTGCTATCGGCACAGTTAGGAAGCATCACCAACTCAATACTGCTCCTACCACCCATAGAGGGGAGTTTGATGATCCACAACCTCACCAACTCGCTACTGTCGATCCCCTCGTGCCATCAGTTTAGAATGCATGCTTCCAACACGGTCCTGGTGGAATTGAGTACCAAGCGGGGCAGTGTGCTGACCTTGGAAGCGTGTAGTGGCGTAAAGTTTCTCCATACTGGCCCGATGGCAGGAGCAGAGGCGGAGGGCTTGAGGGTGCAGGATTTCGATGATTTGATCCATACTTGCCAGTTGAAGCACCACTTGACCGAGCAGAAGGGCGTGGAGGGAGGGAGAAAGCGCAACTTTCAAGTGGTCAAGGCGGCAGAGGCGGGCAAGGGGATGGCGGACAAGGTGGATCACTTGCTCCGTTTGGGCAGTTCCGTCAAACAGTGCTTGGAGAAGATGATCGACATACCCAACACATAGCATCGCTTTCCAACATTCATTTGTATTACTACTATCGCATTACCATGCTTGCTTACAACATTCATTCGCTCTGCCCTCGTACATTGGAGAGCATCCTGGCGGTGAAAGCGAGTGGGCTTCATTCATTACGCATGATCAAGCTGACCCCGTCCCTAACAGGCAAGACGAGCACTTGCACCCTCTTATCCTCCTTGACCAACCTGTTAAACTGCTTAATCGCCTCTGCATTCTCCTTGCCAATCTCGAGCAAATTTTCCTCCACCAAACCCTCTGTCCAAGGCGTACCCTTATAAAGCGTATTATCCACCACCAACAACCCGCTCCTCTTCAACAACCCGCAATCCAAGATCCTCTTGAAATAACTCTTATACCCCGGCTTATCAGCATCGATAAAGATAATATCATATGCGTCCTCATCACTCAAAACATCCTTTGCGATTGCCTCCAACGACTCAACCGCATTACCCACCTTGACCTCGATCTTATCTCCCAATCCCGTCTGCTGGAATAGCGGACGAGTAAAAGTGTCTAAATACGGATCGATTTCGAGTGCTGTTACCTTTCCCCCGGGAGGTAGCTGTTGAGCGATACAGACGGTAGTCGTACCAGTAAACATTCCTATTTCGAGCGCTTTTTTAGCATGGCTGAGTTTGGTGAGCAGACCGACGAAATTGCCTTGGTAAGCACCGGCTGACCAGGCAGCCGAGAGATGAAACATGGTTTTCCGGGCTGACCAGGCTCCTTCCCAATCGTGTTCCGCCGTAGCTTTCAGCAGGGGGCGTTGGACAGCAGGGGCAGAAGAGGAGACAGAGTTCAGGTAAGGCTCAATGCCCGAAAGGAGGGTGGAGACCAGTTGCAGTTGACCAAGTTGGTTGGCCGTGGGGGGTTTCGTGGTGTCCAGCTGGGATACGACGCAAGAGAGAAGGCTAGACGCCGACGTGAGCGGGCTTTCGACGGGAAGATCGATGTCGCTCATTGTAGCCAAGCTTTCTGTTTTCCTTGAGCGGTGGTGGCGGTGGCGGGCGAGTGGGCAAGAAGCGGATGATGGTGGTCAGAGTGGAGGCGAAACGGTCTGTGCGTTATATATATAAATATATATATATATATATATATATATATATATATATTACCTAAAAAGTATCCGAGAGACGCGCGCTTGCTTTCTCGGCCGGGAATGACCGACAAAGATCAAGATAGTAGTGTTAGATCCTGTTGTTGTCGTCGTTGGGGTAAGAGCTGTGAGTTCGTAGACGATCTAACATCAAACAATTTAACATCTCCTTCCCTCATCTCTCGATGCTCTTGGTCTTTGGCCACAAGATGATCAACTTGAACATCTGCCACCACCCCATCGCCATCGCTCGTTGCTTGCAGAACATCACCTTATAGCTTGGCCCGCAAGCCAAACACAGTGCCCACCAACATCGACCCTGAACCTCGGACCCTCATACATGCCAAGGCCTCCTTCCGGATGACCTCGACTATCTCCTCATAGAGACCGCCGGAGAGCAAGAGCTGGATGCGGCTGCTTTGGTAGAACCATCTCCAGGTCGTCTGAGAGCCAAGGCGCTCTTTACGCCAGCAAGCATGGACCCATTCGCCAGCTATGCAGCGCTCGACAATCCACAACAGTTCTGGGCCGAACTCGAGGATATTCTAGATACCCCCTTCCATCCTCCACCACCCTCCTCCTCATCACATCCTTCCACTTCGACCGCAGATGCAGAAGCATTGCTCCACGCCAAACGCATCTACACCGCCAGCGTGCTCGCCAAGTTCCTCCACCTCTGTGCCGCTTCCTTCAACGACAATCTCAGCTCTGAATACAACCAGCACTATTGCATCAGCCGTCTTTTCTCTTCCACTGCTTTTCATGACGATGCAGATCCATCACCAGCAGCAGCCGATGATCCGACCAACATTGCCATGCACCAGCTCGCTGCAGAAGAGGCTATCCGCATTATGCAGACTTCCACCTCGATCCCTGTCCTGCTCATCACCTACGAAATCGTGCTCCAATACGGAGACGCTTTCCCTTCCACATACAAATCTGTCCAGGCTTCAGCTTCGACAGTATCCTTTGTTGGCCTGAGAGCATTCTTGCATAGGCTGGTGCATCAGATTTGGGCAGGAAGCTATGCCGCACAAGCAGAGGCAAAGATTGGCATCTCCCAACAGCAGCAGCAGCAACAGTCGGGCCTCGTAGGCTGCAATGGTGCACACTCGCATCAACAAGATGCCTACCAACAAGTCCATCAAGAACGAGCATCATCATCCACAACGCCAGCGCAGACTTCAACAGCGACCTACATCGAGCGCCCTCTCACCTCCTCTTCAGCTTCCAAATCCATAGCCATCCAAATCAGTCTGCGCGAGAAAGCCGTCCGGATGCTATACCAAGTTTGTCGTGTTCAGAAACTCGAACCTTCTCATCTCAAAGCCTTTGACGAACGATTCATCCACCATCTCTTCGATCTCGTGGAAGAGACGAGACATCATGATGATGAAGATTTCAATTATCGACTCATCAAACTCCTCGTGGCCGTCAACGAGCAGTACATGGTCTCCACCCTCACCCTCACCCTCACCCTCACCCTCACCTCCACCGCCTCTGCATCCAGCTCGACTGCCACTGTTTCGGCACAGGTCGATCCTACAACCCGGACCCATACCCGCCCGCTCAACTTGGTGCTCAGTGTGTTGCAGCAAAGGTTGAATGCAAGTAAAACTTTCGGCGAGAACGTCATCTTTATGCTCAATCGCGCCTCCAGCTCCGATGCTGAAGACGTATGCATGCAGTTGCTCCTTCTCAAACTTCTCTATCTCCTCTTCACGACAAAGGCGACAGCGTGTTACTTCTACACCAACGATCTCAGGGTGCTGGTCGACATTTTTATTCGCAAACTACACGATCTTCCCGATGAGTCCGAGTCTCTTAGACACACCTACCTTCGAGTTTTACATCCCTTGCTTACAAATACACAGCTTTGCACCTATCCCTATAAACGACCGCAAATCAGACACTTGCTTGATGCTTTACTTGCTCATGCCCATTTACGCGATATATCACCAACGACGAGGAGGCTGGTGGATAGGTGTTTGCGTGCCGAATGGTGCGTAGAGTTGGACAGACTCGATGGAACAGAGCGCACTGCTAAAGTCCAACCCATAGGAGGAGGTCAAAGTCATATCAAGGTGATGCAGCCAGGTGTAACATCCGAGGGTTTACCCATGTTAGCGACAAAGATCAAGGAAAACAGCGATAGTGTACAAGCTACCGCAAACTCACTCGCTGCTACAACCGAGGAAGAAGGTGTCAGTCCGGTAAGCATCGACACTACCTTGTCTGCTACCAGCCTCAGCTTGGATTCCGCATCAGAACCACCCAGGCTCAGTTCAGGATCAGCAAGTCTCAGCGTCCCATCCACACTACCAACTAGAGATAAAAGTCTCGCATCCTTCTCCAACCATGCTCGTTCACCATCGGAAGATACTTCTCCATGCCGACCCACCTCTGCCGCAGCTGTGAGCAGTGCTACGGATAGCACACTGGCGCAGAATCGTAGAGCGCTTTCAGCTTGTACTCAATCGGCTTCTTGGACTCCACCCAGCGTTGATTCTCCTGGCTTACGCCAATCTTCTCCTTTGTCCGAGGTGGGTGCGCAGAAGGATGATGCGTTGAGCACCGCTAGTTCTTGGCATGCATATCGGTTGCAGGATGCACTCGCTCAATCGGGCAACGTCGAGGGTGGGGAAGGATCGCATTTCGATCAATATCAGAACGAGGCAGAGGCGAGGGTTGCTTCTCCGCTTGTATCCGCGAATACATTCCAGGTGCTCAGTGGTGGTGGGCATTCGGGGGAAGGATCTGATTCAACCATCACCGCATCTTGCCCCGTAGGAACTGGAATGAATCCAACCCCTCCAGCAGGAGAGGCACCAAAACGGAGAAAACCACCGCAACCACCCACTTGCGCAGCAACAACACCAACCGCCGCACGCAGAGCAATGCAACTCTCTTCCTCAGAACCGCATTTCTCGCATAACACCAATTCTCCAAATCCTCCCCACTCAGCATCTCCTTACCCCGCTTCGGCGAGTTCAACCCCGGCTAATCAAGATGCAGGACAATCAGGAGGTGCAAAAGGTAGTGTGGCGAGTGGTGGAGGTAGGAGAAGACCTCCCCCTCCCCCTCCCCCTCCCCCTCCCCCTCCCCCTCCCGCAGTCTCTCAGATGGTACAATCGGTGCAAAGGCGAGAAAGAAGAGCAATCCGCCAGCTGAAAGGCTGAGCCGATTGACAATGGAAAACACTTAGAATCTTGTCAGCCAAATGCTACACCGATCCCATCTCGCACTCTAGCGCACCTGTCATTATCCACTTGCCCACATAAACCAAGCTTGCATGCAAAGCTTACAGAAAGCCACTCATGTTGGCATTCATAACATCCCCACTTGCACTGCGAAACATGTAACGCGATCAAATCCACTTGCCTCTCCTCCCGCTTGCCAAGTTTGAGACAAGAACAAAGCTAGACATAGCCTCAGCGATTTCCAAGGCCCAATGCGGTTTCAAGTGTTGAAGGAGTGAGGAATGTAGTTACCATCACCAACGTATACAGATTGGGTGTGTTGTGCAGACAAATTGTCACATCAACTGCATCCTGGGTTTTGGTTGATTCCACTGAAGTTGATCAGAACAAGCCGATTTGGTAGGTTTCACCAAATGTGCTGTGAGAAGCTCCCATCAGTACATAATCGCTTCGACGTTCACAAGGGAGTGATGGGAAAGTCAGAAGAGAAGGTCTCTGTCACTGAGAGGAGAGGAGACAGATAGAAGGAGATCACATGCAAGGAAGGCGACCGAGCCCAGGAGCACACAGTTGATTACCACACAGGGAATGGTTTCACACATGTCAAAGAGATGACACATGGAGCAGGAGGATGGTCATAAGGGCGACCGCATGGACAGGGAGCAGGACACCCGGGTAATCACGAGGTCGACCAAATGGAGCAAGAGGTGGACAATAGGGGCGACCGCCTGGTCAGGAGGATTCACAAGCTAGGAGAAGTGTTTGAAAGATGGCCACACTGCTTGAGAGGAAGCAGTGTAGTCTCAAGGAGATCAACACATTACTCAAGAGGGGGAGGAGCAGTGTCAAGGAGGTCGACACAATTCTCAGGAGGAGCAGGAGGGGCAGTGTCACAGGCAATACTGCACAAAATACATATATACTCTCATCTCACCATAGCATATGAGTGGAACCTCATCCACTCTACTCATTACTTATCTTACTCTTGACTTTGTTTTGTATTGTTGCAATTGCAGTGCATTGCAGAGACATCCAAGCACATGTGTTGTATCACTGTTGCACGTCAATTGTAGGCAGTGTACTTCACTGCAGTCCAGTCCTATCAACCAAAGGCAGTGTCTCCACTGCGGTTTGGCTCTCTCCATCTGTAGGCAATAATGTTATTGCAGTCCAGATACCATCAACCATCATCAAATGACGGTCAGCACTAAGAACACTTGTGCTGCAACAGACATCTATATCCTATAGCAAGACAAACCTAGTCTACAGACATGCCACATGGCCTCTGAATGGGGTTTCCAGAGCAACAACAGCAGAGAGTATACATCAAACATCTTCAAGACCATGCTCTGCCAGCTTGGAATAATCCAACAGTTGACTGCACCCTATACACTGCAGCAAAATAGCTTTGCTGAACACTCCAACCAAACAATCATGAATATAGTCCAACTGATGCTTGCCACTGCCATGTGTCAGAGGTTACATGCCCAAAACCTGATATCTGTGACAGGAACACATCTATTACAGATCCTGTTGAGATATGTGGTAACATCCTGTGTATTACAATCCTTGTTGAGATATGTAGTAGAGATGTCTCTATTACTTTTCTTGCCTGAAGATGTAGTAGTGATTTTGCTATTGCAGGTTTTGACTAACTGCTGTGGACACTCTGTCCAGAGGTAGCTCAGCACAATCAATAACTGTTGTGAACTGATACTGACACCAAGGTCTGGTGTGATTGAGATTGTTGATGTTGCCAACATGAGTGACCAGTGTGTCAACTGAATGCTTGAGGAGATCCCTGGACCACAGTGGACAACTGCCTTCAGTTCTATCTTTATCCAGACTGCTGGTTTGCTATGAACCACCTTTGGACATCAGTGAGTGGTGATACAACACACACACTACAATGGAAGCAATCTACTTGATTGCAACTTTGCTGACTGAAACTAATGTATACTTATGCTGAAGTGTTAACTAGTTATGTATGGTGTAGAGTGGATAGCAATCCACTCCACTTGCTGTGGCAGGGGACATGGTTATATACCTTTTGTGTAGCATCACCCATGACACTGCTCCTCCACCTTGTCCCCCTTATGCTCCCCATCCACCTTGCAATGCTCCTCATTGGCACTGCTTCCTTGTCCCTTGTGGATGGATGGGCCTCCCATTGCCTCCTCTCCATCAGGGGTCAGTCCCACCTCATCTGGGTGGTGACTTGCCCTTCTCATTACTCCCTGTCATCAGCACCCACCTGCTGGCACCAACTTCAATGCCATGTAAGGCCCCTGCTTCATCCAGTGGTGACCCCAGCTGTCCTTGCCACTACTCTGTTTATCATGCAATCCTCCTTGCCATTGATCTCCACAGAATATGTCCTATGATCTTGTGTACTGCAGATTCTGGCAGGATTCATGATACCATTATGGCTTGTGCCAATCTAGCTGGGATCTGCCCTAGAGCTGTTCCTCCTACAAATCTTGGTGAACTCTACTGCAAGTCCCATGATCTGCCCAATTCCTTGATTCCCATGCTCCCTTCATATGACTTGCCAGATCTTCCTGCTTTCTGTGCATCCAGGCCCATGACACCATGCTGCCAGCATCACTCTGGGCTGAAGCCATTTGCCATGCAAACTGGATTCAAAACTGCACCTACTCCAAGGTCATCAGAAGGGTGCTGTACACACTCTGGTCTGGACAAAAGGTCAGAATGAACAACATCAAAACCTTTGGCACAGTGGTATGGGTGAAGGTTGCAAGACATGGAAGGAACAAATTGAAGCTCAGCCAACATGTGCAAAGATGCTTTTGGGTTGGAATACCTGATCTCCACAATGCAGCTCACAAATGCATGGATGCCAGCAATCACTCAAAGATGTACATCTCCAGAGATGTTAGATTTGATGCCAAGTGTCACAGGGTCTGCGCAGAAGACCCTGGGCATGCTTTTCTGCGCAGACGCATTAGATGCGCAGTGCACACAAATGCGAAATTGTTCGAGTTGTGGGCTCCTGACAGATTTTGCTGAGATCTGTCATAGGGCCGGATGCGCAGAAGCAGGAAGAACGGAGGTCATATGAAGAGGAGTGCAGGAATCACAGTATTGGGCAAAATAAGGGTTACAGCAGAGTTCATCAAGATCTGTAGTAGAGGGGCTCTATGACAGATCTTGCCCAAATCAGTACAAGTGGGATGTTACTATGAATCCCACCAAAACCAGTAGTATCTTGATTGTACAATAGATCTTGCCAAAGCTGGCAAGATCATGCCAATCCTCACAAGCCACACAGCAGGACAAGGTGTCATAGGCATTGTGTCCATCACCCTTATGAAACAGGGGACCAACCCAATGATGAACTTGGACCAGGAGGGTGGGTGAGATGAAGAGAGGAGATGAGTTGCCACCCAGATGAAGTGAGAATGGCCCCTGTCAAGGATGAAGCAGCAAGAGGGCCATCCATATGCACAAGGTGAGAGAAGCAGCACCAACAGACAGTACCACAAGATGGATGGAAAGGATAGGAGGGGTGAGGAGGAGGAGCAGTGTCAAAAAGGCCTCCCAGAGTAGGAGCAGCATTGCAGGCGACATTGCAGGAGTGGATATATAACCATGCTCCTTGTCATAGCGAGTGGATCTCCATCCACTCTACACCATATATTACTAGTTATAGCTTTCACACAAGTATACATTAGTACTTCCATCAACAGTAGCAATTGCAGAGCATTGCTTCTATGTAGCATGTGTGTTGTATCACTGCTCATTGACATTGATTGACACTGAAGGCAGTTCACACTGCAGTCCAGCTCTCTCGATCATTAGAACCAAAGGCAGTTGTCCAACTGTGGTCCAGGGATCACCTCAAGCACTCAGTTGACACACTGGACACTTATGTTGGTGCCCACAGCATTACTCACACCAGACCTTGGTGTCATCACAATACATCTATCATTATTGATCATGCCAAGCTACCTCTGGACAGAGTGTCCACAGTGGTCAGTCAAAACCTGCAATAGCAATCAATCTATCACATATTCAAGCAAGAAAAGTCATAGAGGCCTTCTATGACAGATCTTGACCAAAATAATATTACACAGTACTTTACCACATATCTCGACAGGATCTGTAATAGAAGCGGTTTGTAAGCGGTCGCATGCCTGAAACCAGATTGGGTGTCTCTGATTGGTATTGGTGAGGACAATCGAGTAAGATCTACTCAGGATGTTTCGACTAAATGTAACCAGACAGCTTCATACTGGTAGGTCTCAGCTGACCACCTTGAACACTCCATTCAGAGGTTGCATGGCACATCCATTTATTCTTTGGAGGGAGAGTAGTATACTCTCCTTACAGTATGAGTGTTCATAGTACTGTTGCTAATGCTCTCTAATCATCATCTGGACTGCAATATGCTTATCACCTACAGAGGACAGGAGTTACTGGACTGCAGGTGTTGGACACCACCTACAATAACTGACTGGACTGCAGATGTCGAGAAAACACTGCCTACAGTAAGGGACTGGACTGCAGGTGTTGAGTAACACTGCCTACAGTTGACACCTAATGGTTATACAACACACACATATGAGGTGTCATTGCAAAGCTCTGCTATTGCAATGATATGTAAATATGAGTCAAGTAAAGAGTATGTAAAGTATAGAGTAGAGTGGATGAGGATCCACTCATATGCTATAGTAGAATGAGAGTATTTATGCATTTGCTTGGTGTCACCTGTGACACCTTTCCTACTCCTTGTGAGAGGCCTTCATCTCCTCTCGACACTCTCTCTCCTGCTGGTGTCACTCCCTTTGATGCTGTGCCTCTACTGCTCACACAGCATATTGGTTTGTGTGATACTGCCCCTTTGCCTCCATACTCTTCTTTGCCTGGTGATGTGTGTTGACCCCTTCAACACAGCTCCTCCTCCTCATAGACAATCCCTGGTCTGCTTGACACAGCTCCTTCTCTCTTCACTGGCAACTACCTCCTTGACCTTATCTTGTGAATCCCTTAACCACCTGTCGAGTCCTGTTGCCAAGCCCCCTTGATCATGTGGTCGCCCCTGTGCTCGGTCCCCTGTGGCTGTACACACGTACCCCTTGAGTGGTAACCATTGTAAGCGGTCGCATGCCAGAGACTTAGGTTTGGGGGTTATATTGAGTTTGATTGAGTAAGGTCTACTCAATATGTTTCACCTAAATGTAACCAAGCATCACTACCTGGTAAGTCTCAACTGACTGCCTTGAACACTCTGTTCAGAAGTTGTGTGGCACAAATGTTTGTTCATTGGTGAGTGGGTGATACACCCTCTCCTACAGTACAAGTGTTTGTAGTACTGTTGATAATGCTCTTGGACATTGTCTGGACTGCGATATGCTAATTGCCTACAGAGGACAGGAGTTACTGGACTGCAGGTGTGAATCACCACCTAAAATAACTGACTGGACCACTGGTGTCAAGCAACACTGCCTACAGTGAGGGACTGGACTGCAAGTGTTGAAGAACACCACCTACAGTTGTTGACTAACAGTGATACAACACACACATTGAGAGTCATTGCAAGAGCACTGCTATTGCAATGGTACATAGCTAAGTAAGTAGTAATAAGTAAGTATAAAAGAGTGGATGGGGATCCACTTGTATGCTATGGTAGAATGAGAGTATTTATGCATTCAGTTGGCATAGCCCATGACACCTATCCTGCTCCTCTTGAGGGGCCTTTGTCCCCTGTTTGGCACTGTCTTGTCCTGCTGGCATCAATCCCATTGATACTGCACTCCTACTGTTTTCACAGCATAAGGGTTATGCAACACTGCCCTCTTGCCTTCATGCTCTCCTTCTGCCTGATGATGTGTGATGCCCCCTTTCGACACAGCTCCTTCTCAACTTTATCTTGTGAATCCTTTTGGCCACTTGTTGAACCTTGTGACCAAACCCCTTGGTCATGTGGTCACATTGGCACAGCTCCATCTTGACTTTGTCTTGTGAATCCCTTTAGTCACTTGTTGAACCTCATGACCCAACCCCTTGGTCATGTGGTCACATTGGCACAGCTCCAAGTACTTGCTCATATCAGCCAACTAGTTGAGGCATGCTGATCCAACTGATCCCGACTGATCCCATGAGATTGATCTGGATTCCCAGAGTTTGATTGATCTCATAATTCATATGCACTGCCAACCCCATTAATCTCATTGATCCCCAATGGTTATTGGCTCTGATCAATCTGGTGCACCCTTCATATATTGATCTTCTGCACACCCTTCATATACTGCTCCGTTATGCAACATTACCATGACTGCTGCTGATCAATTGGCATACTCTCTTGCGCTGGCCAGCCGACCCTGTGACAACCATCTGTGTGATGCTGAGCTCGGTCCCCACTCCTGCATGTGGTTATCTCCATATGCTTCTCTATTGCCAGTATCCTCCTTCCTGAATCTCTCAATGCTTGCTCGTGATGGCCAACTTGCTGAGACATGCTGATCAGGCTGATTCTGATTGATCCTTGCAAGATTAATCAGGATCCCAGAACTTGATTGGTCTCACAAGCCATATGTGCTACCAACCCAATTAGATTGTCGATTCCCAATGATTGCTGTAGATCAATTTGGCACACACTTCATATGCTGATCCACTGACCCTGTGACACGGTTCTACTACAGATAACAGGTTTCAGGCGCAAGACCTCTGACAGCTATCTGGCACATCTGTAACACTTTGGTTTGGGGATTGATATAGGGTACAACTCCCTGATACAGCACAAGTGTTTGTAGTGCTGCTGCTTGATGTTCTTCATCTCCTTGCTCCTATTCTCCTGGTGCATGTCAACTTCTTTGACACTGCTCCTCCTCCTCCTCCTCCTCATGGGTTAGTTCCTGGTCTCCTTGACACAGCTCTTCCTCCTCCTAACTGGTGACCATCCTCTGATCCCTTATTGTGTGAATCGCTTGATTGTGTGTGAGACCTTCTTGTCATGCTCCCTGATCATGTGGTCACCCCTGTGGCTGGCTCTATGTGACTGTGAGCATGTCCCCTTGAGTGGTAACCAACTGTGTGATGCTGAGCTCAGTTCTCTTCTTTGTGTGTGATTATTTCTTGTATGCCTCCCTCACCTTCTGGTGTTGGAAACCCCCTTTCTTGAACCTCCTGTTGCTTCCTTGTGGATGATTGACTTGTTCTGTTCTGATGGGGCTTGGTTCAGCATGTTTTGGTAAAACATACTGAATAAGCTTGTTCTGATTAATTCCAGTGAGATTAATCAAAACCCCAGGTTGCAATTGATCTTGCAAATTATATGCACAACTAGCCCAATCAGATTGTCGACACCCAAAGCTTGCTTCAGAACTTTCTGCACAGGACCTTCTGCGCAGGTCATGTGACAGTGAACTGGGTAGGGAAAGCACCCAGCTTACCGTTGATCTCGTCAATCAACAACTTTGTCTCATTGCCAAGGACTTTGATGTTATCAGAGAGGCCGTAAAGGCTGTTCTGCATTGCAGTCTTGACCTTTGCAAACTCTATGTTGTTTGTGGCCTTGAACAGATTGAACTGCAGATTGAGCTTGGACTGAAGAGGAGCTGACATGTCGTAAGGTAGGGGTGGAGAAGATGAGAGGGTAAGCGAAAAGAGATGACTACACACCAGGGGTAGCAACCACTTTATTGATAAAGTGTTTCCTAGGGCCTTCAAGTAGGTTAGAAGGGAAGCTTGGAATTAAGACGTGAAGGGGGGGTGTGCTCCTAATTACAAAGGGAAGCGATAGTGATCAAAGGGAAAGGATAGTGAACAAAAGGTAGTGAGGATTCATGCGAGAGAATTAAAGGGTCCGTGAGGGGCTTCCGACACATGCTCAGACAGGCCGTCTGGAACAATACACATCCATCTGTACTTAGCGTTTGTCATTGTCATGAGTCGCCAGGCGAAATCAAATGGTGTCCTACCGTCCAAGTTGGTCACTATCTAACACGCATGGCGACACTTTTCGCAGAGGAGCGCCAACAATCCTGGGCTTTGACACAGAAGGCAGATGGACAGCTTTCAAAGGCATACTCTCTGCGCACACGGAGCAGTGACGATGGGCTAGTCATCAAGCAAGAGTTCAAGGTGCCACCACACAAGGAGAGTTAGGAAGCGACGAACACTAACCGACCCGAACTTGGCTCGCTTGGCTTGTGTGCTGTGCTGTATTCTACTGTGCTGTGCTGTACTGTGCTGTGCTGTGGCTTCTTTTCTTTTCTTTTTCCAACAGCTTTTGGGCGGCGACCTTTTTGGGGAAATTTCACGCGCCAAACCATCGTTTTTGTTTTCTGGACGAGCTGTCAAACAAAGAATTCTTGCGTCCAGGTAAAGGTAAAACTCAGAGCCGCAACCGCGGATGCCGTTGTGAGGCATGCTCTTGTGAAGGATGCCCTTGTGAAGCATGCCCTTGTGAAGGTCTGTGTGTGGGTCTGTGGGTGTTGCTTTGTGTGTGTGGGGGGGGGGGGGGGGAGGGGAGAGGGAGGGTTTGGATATATACCTCGCCTCTGCTCGTCAACACCACCTTCCCCCTTTCTCACGAGGTGTTTATCGCAAAGATGTCGTCCACTACCACCACCGCCACCACCACCATCACCAACCACACCTCTAATGATGATTTAGCCGACGTCGATCTTACCACCTCGGCCTCGGGCACTGCGGTTAGAGGCGGCAACCGGGGCAAAATGACTTCAACCTGGCACGCCAAGCCAGCTTCTGAATGGGACTTTTTCGAACGTTCGCTAGTCCATCTCGGTGTTACTCCCAGTCATTCGCTTCAAGCAAGGCCTGCCAAGCCACCTGTTTATCCTAAAACAGCACCGGTTCCTGTGTTTCCGATTTGGAAAATGCATCGTCTTATACTGCCCCGTGCGCTAGCTCCCATCGTTTCGCATGCTTTCTTTACCCACTTTACAGGCATCCAAGTACCGGTATACATGGCAACAGTATATTACTTGGCCTACTTTGTTTGGTTTGGAGCTGGCGTTTTTGCATGGTGCAATCAGATGACTGATAGGTTCGGCACTTTCGATGGTAGCGCTGGTCGTGATGGCGTACCTGATCTTGACACTTGGAGGGTGGCCATAGGTTTATTCATGGTCGTTATTTCCCGAGCTGTAATCGCTGTTCCCTATCTCTACAAGCCCAGTGAACGCTTGTTTACCTGGAACACGGTGCTGATGCTTCCGGTCAACATGGCCATCTATGCGATTGCAGTAGACTTTTACTTCTATTGGTACCATCGGTTGATGCACGAAGTACCCTTCCTGTGGCGCTTGCATCGAAAGCATCATACCACCAAACATCCGATTGCCGCATTAGGAGCCTTTGCTGACCACGAACAGGAGTTCTTTGACATGGTTGGCATTCCCATCATGGCTTGGTTAACGTGGCGCATTAATTTCACAACATGGTGGATCTGCACTTGTTACATCCTCTTCATCGAAGCATCCGGCCATTCAGGACTACGAGGATACTTCCAAAACCCAGCAACTTGGTTCCTTCGGTATGTAGGAGCAGAGCTATGTCTCGAGGACCACGATATCCACCACAGGAATGGCTGGAAAAAATCGGGCAACTATGGTAAACAAACCCGACTCTGGGATGCCATCTTCGGAACAATGAAAGAGAGGATCGAAGGAACCGCGGATAACATCAACTGGGACGACCACATGGACGTTCCTCAACCTGTGCCCAAGGAAGACAAGTAGAGCGAGCATGCAAGATACACTGTCTTTCGACATGAATCTGGCTGTTGCACAGTACCATTCCTTGCTTGTTATGATATTACAGCATTCATTTGCATCAGATCGTGCTGATTTCTGTCTCGACCTTATCGCTGTGCGTTGTTTTCCCTTGCCAAAGTATGCACTAAGAGTGAGCAGCGATGCTCGAACTGGTTGCAGAGGCGTACAGGATAATAGAGCGTATCCTTCCTTCTCGCCAACGCACGAGTTGCCAATGTTGGTCAACCGAGTTTGCGTTTAGGATATAGGCTCAGGAGCCAACGCAGTCACCTCTTTCGCCTCTTCATCCAATGCATCCTTCTTACCTCGTCCGCCTCCACCATTGCTCGTTCTATTGCTCAATAAGGCCTCCGCATCCGAATCGGTATGCGTGGTGAAGCCCGAGACGAAAGCTCTCCCGCCCTCCTCCGCCCTCTTCTTACTGTTCACGTTGCCACTCTTCCTATCCAACGCGTTTCCCAAGCCATTCTGGAAGGCCATGATCGCTAAAAAGGTCAACACATGTCCATAAAAGTAAACCGCCTTCCATGCCGCAATGGAAGCTTTCAACTCCAACAGCATAAACGGCGCCACCGCATAATTCAGCGTAAGCTGCGAAACGATCACGCTCGCTATACAATACAGCAACTGCTCAGGCGAGTAAGTCGAGACGTTGGAAAAGGTGGGATTGGCAACGTTAGGTTGAGCAAAGAAAATCGGTCGAAGGTGTCTCCTTAACATCTTGGCCGCAGATTGCATGAAAGCAGCAAGGATGAAAGAGAGATAGTAACCCGGTTCCAATCCGTGCCAGAAGGCGGAAGTGAAAAAGGTAGTCATGGTCGATTTGAATCCTGGTTTCTTGCCTGGACGAGCAATGCGTTTGTAGACGTTGTTACGGAGCCATACATTGGTGTTCATGTTCCAATGATCCAGAAGTTCTTTCCAATTGTTGGCGAATTCGATTTTGGGGATATCGATGTTGCGACATCGATTCCATTTCGTTTGGCCCGTTTGGCCATCGATACCGTTGTAACCGAGGCCCGATAGAATGCAAGCTCCATCGGTGAGTGACCAGATGCCGTAGTATTTGGTGCGGGCCATGAAGCCGGCGATTTGCATCCAGATGAGTTTTTGGTACCAGGCGAGATGCGAGAGTCCACCGTGAAGGCCGATGAGCTTTTCGTACGAGTAAGCTGGGGCGAATAGGGTGTAGATAGCCATGAAGACGAGGCCAGCGGTGAGTTGGCGGAGAGAGGCAAAGATGCGACCGCGAGGGTAGCAATCAGGGCCAGAGGTCGCGATGGCTTTCTCCTTACCTTTGGGAGAAGCGAAAAGTTGGCCGGTGCTCCAGGCTCGGTAATCGACGAAACGGGTGGAAGGACCGATGAGAACACCAGGAAAGTAGAAAGCATAACCCAAAAACTCCAGCACAGAGGGCATCTCGGTGATGCGACTCTTCTTTTGCGCATCATCACATTGCTCTTGGGTGCGAATCTGACCATCGTAGCAATCCCAAGCAAAAGTGGACAAGTTCATCACCGCTACCATCTGCATGGCCGTAATTTCAATCGTGGAGAGTGGGATGCCGCCAAACTTGCGCACAGCGTGGTTGTAGGTGAGATGAGCCATTTGCAGCGCGAAAACGAGCCAAGGCATGTTCTTGCCTCCGACCTTGAAGATGCAGATGTAGTAAGTCAGCAAAGCTGAGCCGACCAGCTGGAGGAAACCAGAGCAGAGGTTGAGAAGAGGCACAAGGAAGATGAACGATACTCCTATGCTGTAGAAATGTTTCGCTGCTGGACTTGGGAGGTATGGAAAGACTGCAGCTAGTGGAAATGCTAGGAGCAAACAGCTAAAGAGCTTGATGTAGTCGATCGGAGCGCCGGCCGCATCGGCGATAGGCTCAAAGATGGATTCGAGCATCCTGGAGGCGAGACTCTCGCTCTCGAGTCTGAGAGAAGCTGCTTGACCTCGAAGCTGCGAGAGATGGGGAGCAGGGGAAGATGATGATGATCGTGGTAGTGTCCCAAGATGGCTGAGCTTGAGATAAGTCTCTTCCCAATTGGCTGCGAGCAGAAATGCAGTTATGGAGGAGACACTAGGTCGAGGAGCGGCAAGATGGTGGTGGTGGTTCGGAAGCAACGACATTCTCAACAACCAACTCGGCTTTCGGACCGCGCCCAAGATTCTTCACGTGACGCGTCTGTAGGATTAATAAGCATGAGCTCACCAACCCGTGGGCCGAGGAAGGACAACTCATCATTAGTAAGCAATATATGTTACATTCCTCTCAAAAACATGCCAACGCCCCAACTTGCTACAAATGGAAATCGACACTCAGTCGTCGACGATGGTCTAAGCACAGGCTTGAAGCTATTGAGCAAAACCACTATACTATATTGAGCTGGGCAAAGAATGTGGTGGGAGCCTCGATCGGCTTTAGCGGCATCAGATCGATAGGTGACAGTGAAGCTACAGACCCACAGAATGGCCTAGGATGTAGGCAGAAGAGCATCGGTTTAACAAGACAAAGGAATACCAAACATCCGTGTTGGCCACTGCGCTTCAAAGAACGAAGAGCAGATCCATATCAATGGGATGGGAAGAGCTCAATTGAGGCTTTTGGCTGTATTTGCTCGCCAGTACATCACGTACAGCATTGAGCATCTGCTTGTAGGTCAGTTGCTGATACTGGTTCATCACTGTCAAGAAGGCAAACGAACAGGCACCCGTAGCTTTACCTGCCTCGGTAGCATCTGCACTCGTCTGGGAATCCTTGCATCCGGAGAGCATGACTACATCTGCACCGCTGGAACGCGTCTTCTTGGTCATATCCTCGGCTCCATTGGTGTTCTTAGCTGTAGTCAAGGTGGAGAGCAAACCTTTGGCCATACCCATCACGTCACCTCTAGCGTAATTCATTGCGGCGCCCATGAGACCTTTTCCAACACCAGCCATGACGCTGGTCTCTTTGATGTTACCTGAGGTGGTGTAGACATAGGGGAGATCGAGAACCGTTCCAGAATGGCACGAGTCGAAGATGGCGGTGAGACGACAACCAACTGGCAAAGGACGAACGAGAATGGCGTGAAGTTCGTCGTCTTCCATCTGCCCTGCTTGTTGGTAGTCGAGCGGAATCACTGTCTCGTTGTAGCCGTCCGCTTCGTCACCTTGCGAAGATTTAGCCTGGCCACCGTGTCCAGAGTAATGGAAGAAGAGCGCATCACCCGCCGAGGCACCTCGAACGAGCCAGTGCATGGCTGCTGTCATGTTTTGCCTCGTCGGGATGCTGCGTGGATCACGCTGGTCATCGGTGAGCACGACCATATCGTCATCCTTGTAGCCGCGCTGTCGCAAGAAGTTGTTGACATTGTGAACGTCGTTGATGCATCCTCGAAGTTCGCCCTTCTGTCCGAAATAGTTGATGCCAATGAGCAAAGCTTTCCGCTTACCCTGCATGGAGGAATACTCGTATCGGACGTTGCCCATCATACCACCATGAGGACGGAAGTTGACGTGGTTCGAGGCGTACTCCGGTGGACCGATGGGACCGGAAGGCTGGTTGTAGCCGTAACCCATCTGACCTTGGACGCCACCGGGAGGAGGATGCGAAGGTGGAAGGTAGCCGCCGCCAGTCTGGTACATTTGTTGTGGGGGAGGTGGTGCACCGTAGCCATATCCTGGCTGACCATAGCCTTGAGGTGGGGCAGGGAAGCCACCGCCTCCTCCTCCGCCGCCGCCATGGCTTTGCTGATAGTGATGTCCGCCTTGGCCTGGGTAAGCCATTGTTGCGATTTCTTCAATGTTAAGACTTGCTGTGTTGGAGGAAAGGCAAGTTGGGTGATAGGATGCGACCGAACAGGATCTGCTGTTGCGCTCAAGGTGTTGCGAATCAGCCGTGAAATCGGGTCAAAGTAGTGGCAGTCGAGGCAGCAATGATGATGATGATGAGGGGAAAAAAACAAGTGCAACATCGAAACTACATAGCTTATCCCTGCAGCAGCAGCCACCAAGCGAGCAACCGTGCGTGTCATAGGCTGGAAGCGAGCTATGGCATTTTTCGCAATCTAACAGACATCATAACATTGTTTTCTGTATCGTACGACTGATCTCGTCTGTAGGGACGGGTGAGTGAGGCTGGGGGATCACGTGATGGCGGCAGCTTTCGACATATTATTATTATTTATTTTTTTTTGGTTGAATGTCAACTTGTTCTTGATTTGGCAACTGGAGGTGTGATGGACGCTCCTTACATTACCTCTCCACTTTGCCGGTTGACATCTTTGCTCTCACGATAGAGGGAGGCAGAGATAGCAAGAATGAAAGCCGGACCATCCTACAAAGCAGTTTCGTCGCTCAAAGCGTTGCAGTGCAAAGTGTTGGGTACAACTTACAACCCCACACATGCACGAACAGGAGCCAAAGTTCTACGACAACGATTACAAGGACCTTCGATGCTGGCCTACTACCCAGCCACGGTCAACTTCCGTTCCATCGAAAAGCTAGCACCGGGCTTGGGGAGATTGCAAGATGTTAGAGAAACACAGAGACTCAAGGACGTCGAAAGGAAAAAGATGCTTGGCAAAGGACCTCCTAAGAAGGGTAAGTTTCATCATGATTGGAGGAGGATGAGAAGAGAGTGGGACGAGAGGATTGCTGACGATTTTGCTTTTGACGATGGCGACCATGATGATATGGATAGGCGAGGGTCGACGTGCGGCTATGAAGGGCAAGAAGAAGTAAAAGCTTTGTACGAGCATGGATATAGAACAGCATCGTTACATTCTGCAAACCGCCTTCTCGAGCTTCTACCTTGGACCCGACTCGGCTGCATGAACCATTCTGTACTTTTAGCAGCTTTACAATGGCAGTCTTTACGCATACCAACAGCAGAGGCGATGGACTGTAAGCTAGGGTCACATGCTCCACCACATTGTCCAAGGCAAGCCAAAGGCGTTGCTCGGTAGCCAGGATAGGTCCCGAAGCTTGCCTTGCTTTGATTGCATCGAGAATTTTTAAGATCGGTGTTGAATGTTAAGGCTTGACTTTGGGGGGGAAAGGGGATGGGATTCGGCAGAGGGGAGAGGATGATGATGTCAGGATTGGTCAGCCTGATTCGGCTTGCGAGAGTGAAAAAGTGGACCGGCGCGTTGCAACTCATCTTGCCTATATTGGAAAGCTTGTGGCCTGCCATTGGACGAGGAGCGAGCCAAGGGCCCAGAGTGTTGAAATGCTGTGAAATGCTGTGAAATGCTGTAAAATGCTGTAAAATGCTGTAAAATGCTGCATTTGATGTCGTCATGATGCGCACAATTCCCTGCAAATAACGTTGAAAGAGTGAGAAAAAAGGGGAAAAAAAGGGAAAAAAGGAAGAAAAAAAGAAAAAGAAAAAAAAGAAAAAAAAGAAAAAAAAAAAAAAAGAGAAAAAAAAGAAAAAAGAAACATTCTGTGCGGAAAAGGAGACGGTTCAAGTGCTGCAGTTCGACACTCGACACTGAAACACTCAGGGGCTCTTTCTTGGTGCATGTTCTTGAGCTTGACGATGCGAATTTCCCCTTGTTGCTTCTCGTCGGGCCATCCGAATAGGATGACAAGCGACAAAGAAACGTCCAGAAACTGAGAAACTGAGAAAGGCTCGGCCGACCTCTCGTCCTAGGCTCTTGCGCCCAACATCCTTCGAAAATCAGTTGGACAAGAGCAGCAAAGCATAGGAAACCAGGCAAAATGACGACGATAAGGAGGAGGAGGAGGAGGACACTCACCGCCAACCTTGACCGACGAAACAATCGAGGCAGTTTAGCAGCGACTAAGTCAGCAATCGGCTCTCCCGAAACCGAAACCGAAGGCTAACTTATAAAAAATAGACATAAAAAATTTAAACAAAATAATTTTAGTCAAAGGGTCGTCGGATGGGCCGAAGAGCGCGGCGCAGTTCTTACACACTCTGTCGGAAGTGGTCCGTGAGACTGCTCATGAGCTGCTCGCCTATCCTTTTTGCTGGTTTGGCGCCTCTCTGTTGCTCCAACTCGTCTGGCGCTTTTTTTTTCTTTCTTTTTTTTTTTCTCTCTCTCTCTCTCCCTCCGCTCTGCTGCTCTGCTGCTCTGGTGCTCTGGTGCTCAGTTCTGGCGCTTTCCCCTGTTGGCCTGGCTTTAGGGACTTGCCAGTTGGCCTCTTTGGACATCGCCTTTCCTTTCTCTTTGCCACCACCATCGCCACCACCATCACCACCACCATCACCACCACCATTATCATCATCGCATAATATAACAACCAACAACCAACAACCAACAACCAACAACAACAACAGCGCAACCGCACTCGATAGACACATTGTACAGCATTCAACCCCCTTGCTTGAATCTCACAACTTGACCAACCTAGGATACACACCTCCTCACCTTGGCACACAGCCACCTCGGCATACAGCCACCTCGACTCGACTCAACACCCAATCGCAACCCCATTTCTCAGTCCTTGTCGAATGCAACGAACGGTGCCTGATTAACCTCCCACACTCGATTCGCCTCGGACATCCGCTTCTCGTTGCATACATAGCAAAGTCGTTGGTCGCGCCTCTTGCTCCTGCTTGCATTTCATTTCACTTTTGTCGCTTCCTGCTCCTATTATCTGCATACCCGCCATCGTCTCTTCATCATTGCTAGCCCTAAATCCCTTTGACACCAACTCTGCTTGTCGCCCGCTGACATCGCTTTGCATGTATATCCAGCGTTGCTTTGCATTGCATTGCAACATCATCCCTTCGCCTTTGCTTGCATAGCATCCAGCCCCAATCCCACCTTGCTTCACCACGGCAACTCCTCGCAAACATCTTTGCCAGTTGGTCATCTTTGCCAGTTGGTCATGTCGTGCTTCGGTATCAGCTGATCATCCCCACTCAACACTCCATCCCCACCTTGCTAAGCGCAACGTGACACTAGCATACGCTTTCAAAAACCCCCCTCCCCCCACAACGACTTGTCCCTTCTAGTCCACCATCAACATGCCCAAGCGTGTGGGCAGCCAGGATTCGCATTCTTCTTCGCTTCCTTCGCTCTCGGATCACGACTCGATCAGCTCAGCCGCTTCCACCCACTCGACCTCTTCTACCAACTCTGGCTACTGGGCCCATCCACCGCCCCATACCCACTCAATTGCTATCGGCTTCCGTCCCCGCCCTGTCAACCTCAACGCCAACGCCAACGATACAAAAGGGATAATGACTTCACAAGCTCCTCCTCTTGACCAGCACAGCGCCTCTCTTTCCTCGTCCTCGTCATCTGGACCGCAGCGATCTTCCACGATCAAAGCATCCAGTCAGCCAGCATCCAGCACACTCCCCAGCAATCACAGCAGCATCATCACCGCCCCTTCTCGATCAAAGCTAGCTTCCCTGAACGCCAAATTTGACCCCACCGAAGCATCGACATTGGCTTTACTCGACACATCATCCACCTCGCCGCCTCTTCTTCATCCGCTTGTCTTTCCCAGCTCGACTGGCAGCACCAGCACCAGCACCAGCAACAGCAACAGCAACAGCAACGGCACCAGCAACAGCAACAGCAACAGCAGCAAGTACTCTACGGACAAGTCAGCACGGGCCTCTTTGGATAGGAGATTGCAAGACACATACCTTGTTCTCGATGAAGCAGCACCGCGACTCTCCATGTCTTCCACTGGCAGTGGCTCCACTTGCGAGCTCGCCACCCCAGAAAACGCTCACCAATCTTGGCCATACGACCATGTCGACCGCTCTCCATTCTCAGCTCTCCATTCATCCTCTCCATCGTCGTTGACACAGACACCGGACAATCGCAAGGATGCATACTCGGCCAACCTGCATATGCACAACGATGAGATTAACCTGCGACCACCATCTAGAGAAACAGATGCCAGATCTGTTAGCCTTGACAAGCTCGCCATCCAGCGACCTGCCAAACTCGAGCGTCTCTCGTCTGCAGCTACCAATGCTACAGCCAAGAACTCGGTCGGCTTTGACGAGTCGCCTCAGACCGCTACCCAGTCGCCGCGCTCCTTCCAGGCACCTGATCTCGCATCGCTTCGCATCTCTTCGGGTGCTGCTGATCCCATCGCCTCGTACGACTCTTCTAGTCAGATGTCCAAGTCGCCCAGCTTGAGTGCCCATTTCCCCAGCCGTACTGGCATGACTAGCCCAGACTCATGGCGCTCCCTCTTGCCCGAGCACGATCCATACTTTGCATCCGAAGGTCAACTGTCCGCATCGCAACACGAGCGATCTTCATCTCCTCAATGCTTGCATCCATCCAGTGGCGCTGCTTTCGATATTGACGCCTGTGTTGCCGCCAAGACATCACCACGTGCTCCTATCAACGATCGCATGTCTGCTTCCTCCTTTGACACGGCACGCACTTCGTTCAGCAGTGCCATCAGTGGCTACTCGACCATGTCCATGTCTGTCGTCGTTGGTCCCAGCAAGCCTTGGATGCAGTCGCAGGATTCGGCTAGGTCGGACAGCTGGCGAAGCTTGTTGCCTGACGACGATCGCTACCACGCTTCTCGACATACTTGCACCGCTGCTCACCACCATCAGCGAGAAGGCCTGCAAGCATCACCAAGCTTGGCATCGCCTTCACTCTCTGACTACTTGGACTCACCCGTCTCATTCGATGGCCACAATCATCGTTCGGCTTTCTTTGCATTGCAAGCACCTCGAGCTACTGGCATCACCTCTGCCAGCCATCTAGAGTCGGCTGCTCGTCGTCACTCTAGCTTTTCGAGTATCGACCCCAGCAACTCGTCTCAGTACGCGGCCACACGCAGTATGCTCGCTTCCATGAAGGACAACCTTGGATCGTTCGGATCATCTAGCATCTCTGCTTCCGAGAGCTTTGCAACCAGGGCTGCCGGTGACCTCTTGTCACTAAGCGCTACTCACTCGCTCGATGCACCCAACATGACTCCAGCACTCTCCAACTCGACCGAGGACGATGACTCTGGGGAGAGGGATAGCTGGCCTACCAGTCGAGGTGGTCGTTTTAGCTCGCCTGTCTCTTCGGGTCCCATGACTCCCGAGGTCAGCCAAACATGGCACTCCAAGTCTTCCTTGGCTCAACAGGCTGGTGGGATTGCACGCGTCGACAGTCCTTCTCATGCTTCACAGACGTCGGACAGCTTTGTCAAGACGACCCCGGATGGATTGTTGGCTACCACTACTACCACGACTTGCAAGACTACCACCAGCACCACAACCACCAGCACCACAACCACCAGCACCAGCACCACAACGCAGCTCCTGCCTGAAGCTGCTGCGGCATCCAAGGCCAAGTCCGAAGTTGGGTTCGAAAAGGAGGCTGGTATGCATTCCACCCAGGAGGATGGCGAGGATGCTTACGAGGATGTTGAGGGGATGCAGAGTCAGCCAATGAAGGCGCGCACCTCTTCCTGCAGTATTTCCACACCCATCAGCCCACCCTCTCTGCCATTCTTGGAACGTCGACCTGCCCCACCCGAGACGGATCTGGTCATCGAAACGGAACGTACCAAGTATATCCTCATCACCCGTCTGCCAGGTTTCTCGCTCGACTGCATAACCCTCGCGACCAAACAGCATAGCCAGCATCGCACTCTCCACATTGTCGCTGACAAATGGGACACGGAAAGTGGGGGCCATTTCGAACGTCGCATCACCTTCCCAGATAAAGAATGCGATCTGAAGAATGTCAAGGCCGAGTTCGATGGCAATACGCTCAGGGTGTACGTGCCTCGTAACAGGTCGACTCCTAACAGATTCAGCTCTGCTAGTAGTGCCACTTTCTAATCCATGCTCGCTTGACTACATCGGCATAACCTTGATGACATACCAACCAGTCAAGACCAGCTTTTGGTCGCTTCTGGCTTCATGACCCCACATGACTTTCTCTACTTCTCTTTGCATCTTGCTCATTTTCTCCACATCATCTGTACTTTTTTTCTCTTTTTTTTTTTTTTCTTTTTCTTTTTTTTCTTTTTTCTTTTTTCTTTTTTCTTCTTTTTTTTTTTTTTTTCTTCTTCTTTGTGTCCTCGCTTGATCCTCTGCATGCCTCTGATTAGCTTCCTGATAATATCATCTTTTCCTCTCATCTTTTCCTCTCATCAATCCTTTGATCTGTGTCCTGGAAGCACTGGCGGATTGACGTTGTTGGCTTGTGTCAAATGCTCGTGTTTCTTCTGACTGCTTTGAGGGTTTTGCTGAAAAATTCAAGCATTGCTAATGTTTGTGCGGTAGAAAGCTTAGGGATATCTTAGGGATGGGGGGTTAGTAATTGACAGCTGTTGCAGAGACAATTGGGGTTAGAGCTGGATGTAGATTGGTGTGGGTTATTCTTCAAAAAAGGTGACAATTTGGGACGGATATGTGTGCTGAGTGCAAACACCTCACTGTTCACTTTTAACACTCTACAGGCAAAGGTAGGATTGTATAACAAGCTAGCTGAGATGCAACTGAAAGTGAGGTTCAAAAGCGACCAACATCGCGACCGAAGAGTAGATTAGAAGCCCAGTTGGCAGGAACAAGAAAACAGTTTCTCCAACTCATACTCATGAGTGTATATGCCGATCTCCACAAGACCCAAGCTAATCTTCCAGATTCCTTCTTAACCGGAGTGTCGAGTAGAGCCTGTTTGCTGCCAATCGAAGCCATCGAGCCTTTATCGAGAAACTTGAATGGGTTAGCCTGCGCCAGAGTTGCACTCGAGCCATTCTTGAGGCCGCCAAAGCCGTTGATACTGGCAAGAGGTTGGGGTTGGGAGGTGACCATGTGCTTGTTGAATAGGTTGGCGAGATAGTTTCCTTTCTGGGATGCAACTTGGGCTGTTGCTGGGAGAGGAGTGTCAAGGATTGAGGAGCAATCGCCGAGTGCGAAGACGTTGGGTAGTGGCACCAGTTCTTCTTTCTCCGCTTGGGATTCTGGTTTGCAGTTGGGCTTATGGTTGAGAACGCTGCCTCCCACAGCACCCTTTTCTACAGCTTGCCGATGAGCCAGGATGTTGAGCGTGGGAGAAGTGAGAATCTTGCCACTCCTCTCTTCCTTGCCAACGCCTTCAAGTGCCTCGATAAGCGGAGAGGTGGTGATTCCGGTCGACCAAACAACCATGCCTGCTGCAATCCTCTCGCCACCATGCAAATAGACGGCATCTCTCTCCACCCTAGAAATCTTAGCATTCAAGACAACCTCAATCCCATCCCTGGCAAACTTTCTCATTGCGAACTCGGATAGACTCGAGTCGAAACTGGAAAGAATCGTACTTCCAGCATCGAGCAGCTTTATGGAGGCATACGGACCAAGGCGAGGGTACAACCGGGAGAGGTCTTGTTTGATAAGATCATGTAGTTCAGCTGCGAATTCGCTGCCTGTGGGGCCTCCACCTACGACGATGAATGATAGGAGATCGCGCATCTCGCTCGCTTCAGACGGAGTTGGTGAGGCGTTGGGGCAGCCTGAGGAAGAGGAGGTCAAAAGGTTTAGACGGGCATTTGCGAGTTCGAAGCAATCCAGAATACGCCATCGGATGGCTCTTGCGTCGTTTACATCCTTGAGGAACAAAGCATTCTCCTTGACGCCGCGGGTTCCGAAGGTGGCGTTGTAGGAACCAACGCATATCACCAGGTGGTCGTATGGCATTGTGTACGTTGCTCTTTCTCGCTTTTTCGCTGGGTCTTGTTGCTTGGTTTTGCTTGCGCTCTCTCCACTCGCTTGCCGCACCGCAGGAGTCAGCGGGTTAGGTGGGCGGAATTGTGGATTAGAAGCAGGCGTCAACTCGATCTTGCCCGAGGAAAGGTCGATGGCGTCGCACCAAGCATGATGGACTTCCATATTCCGATTACTATGAATTGGCTCGATAGCACTTCTGAAATCCAACGTTGCACAACTAGCCTGTGCCAATAAGGGGGTAAAAGAGAAACAAGTAGTGGGGGAAATCACTTTAACGTCGAATCGAACAAGAGTATTGTACGAGAGGGATTTGAGGAATGCATATCCGCCCCAGCCTGTTCCGAGCACTACTAGGCGTTTCTTTTGCGCTGGGCTTGGGTACGAGGGGGTCGTTGCGTGCGAGGGAGTCGTTGCGTGCGAGGGGGTAGTGGATGCATATCTTCTTCCTTTGAAGCTCGAGGAGTTGATGCTTGTAACTCTGCCCAACGTGGGATAGAGGCGCAATCGAGTGGCGCTGGTGCAAAGGCGGAGGGCCATGGTATAAAGCGAAAGCCTAGCCAGCTGTGGAGTCGCGCTGCCGACTGCGAAAGGATGCGAGCTGGCCAAGTGGGTTGGTTGCGCCTTGGAAGATGACGGTCGTAAGTGCAGGCCCGGATTAGGAAAGGTCTAAGGATTGGCTTAGAAAGGGGTGATATACATGTCTGTCATCGAGAGTTGGCTATGATGTCAGTTAGCACCTAACATGTTACCTTATTACGTGGGCAAGCTGTATGCGCGGTGTGATGGTGTAACTAGATGGAAGGACGAGATAGGAGAAGCTAGTTCGAGTAACTAGTTCAAGTACTACCTTCCCGACAAGCCAAAAACTGCACGATGACATCGATCGAGCCTTCTCGTGCGGCTAGTATTAATCGCACGAGAGAGTACCCGCGAATCTCGTGAATAATCACACGTGACCAAAGGTCGGCTTCAAACTATCGGCTCGCTTCAGCCCGATTATCGCGATAGGCATTGGCGATCGAATATCGAGCATGACGATCGAATATCGAGCATGACGATCGGCCGAGGCCAAGAGGCAAGATCACGTCCTTTGTCACGCCTGGGTACTCTCTCGTGCGAATGCATGCCGCACGAGAACATACAATCAACATCTTCTCGCGCGATACACGTCGCACACAAAGTTCGATACTTTCCTCTTTGCTCTGTAGGGAAGCTAGTACTTAAACTTGTTGAAGATTACGATCCAGTGACGACGCTAAGGGGTGACGCAAAGTCGACGGGATCAGAGATTGGGGATAACCAATCTCGTTAAGGATTGGGTACAACCAAGTCCTGCTCATTGTCAGACTGGGTCATTAACTATAGAGTCTCCCACATCCAGCATGTGCTGCTCACATGTATATATATCTCACAGAGAGCACTAGGCTCTTGCCACATTGGTCCTAGTCAATTGAGTATATTTGTTCTGTCTATAAACTAGCAGCAACATCATACTTAGACTCTCCCCAATCACCAGTATTGGGTCTGAAACAACTTAAGTTTCTAACAGGTTATGAGCCCAATAAGCCAATACACTATTGATAACTATCAGTATGTCAAAAGTAAACTACTCCATCTACAACTCCTTCATCGCCACTGTGCAGGACCTACTGCCATGACTACCTAGAATGGTCCAAGACCACTTTAATCATGTCATGGAGAACAAGGTCTATGGTATGCCTAATGCTCTGAAGGCCAGTCAACTACTTGAATTCATTATTGACAATGATGGAGAACAAACCATTTCACCTTTGACTATCCTGGCTGAGTGTGTCAGTGCTCTCTATAAAGGAACACATGGCCTCAGACCATTCGCCAATTGAATCGAGCTTGGTAGACAAATGCAAACTAGAGTGAACCTCTTCATAACCAATGAAGAGTGGGATGCATCTCATATCCTTGATCTCAAGATTGGAGGTCTGCTGGAATCCATTCATGACAGCAAGCAACACAACCACCCAATGAAGGAAGATGCCTCCACATCCATTGGAGGCAATCCCCCCACCTCTGACTCAGATGTCTCCAACTGGTGCTTAGTTGGTCATGATGCCACTCCTGGGCCTACACCCGAGCTCAACATGCTCACTAATCACCATTTGAAAGTGCTTACTGGCCTTAATGACAAGATGAGGTGGAATGATCAAGACCTTCTTGACCCATGGTCAGTCTCAGTACATGCATGGCAACATAAGATACTTGCAATGTTATCTGTCATTCCATTTGCATGAGACATCCTTAACTGAAAGATGATGACTTTTGAGGATGCTGACTTGATGCTCAGTTCAATCATCATGTGTAGTTTCTCAAATAGACTGCACACTGAATACTTCACAGAACACAGTGATCAGCCAGTGCCAATCACTGTCAACCTATTTGACTGGGCAGTGGACAAGTGCACCATGCACTCAGTTGCCAAAGAGTATGAGCTCCTCACTTTGGCCTATGCACTATGCTGGAACCAAGTGGGTCACCATGCATATGACTTCCTTCTCAAGTGGGAAGCTCATGTTTCGGAATTGCATGCATACATGAAGACACCCTGGACACCTGATCACTGTTATAGGACTCTCAAGTGTGCACTGCCATCTGACAAAAATGCTCTATTCAATTTAGTGTTCATCCTACATGAACAACTTCATGGCAGAGAGCAGACAACTGAGAGTGTCGCCGAAGTCTTACATAGATGTTGTCACAGGGTTGGCTGGCCAGCGCAAGAGAGTGAGCCAATTGATCAGCAGCAGTCATGGTAATGTTGTGTAACGGAGCAGTATATGAAGGGTGTGCAGAAGATCAACATATGAAGGGTGTGCCAGATTGATCAGAGCCAAAAACCATTGGGGGTCAACAAGATTAATCAGGTTGGCAGTGCATATGAATTACAAGATCAATCAAACTCCAGGAATCCAGCTCAATTTCACAGGATCAGTCAGGATCAGTTGGATCAGCATGCCTCAACTAGTCAGCTGATATGAGCAAGTACTCAGAGCTGTGCCAACATGACCACATGACCAAGGGGTTGGGTCATGAGGTTCAACAAGTGACTAAAGGGATTCACAAGACAAAGTCAAGATGGAGCTGTGTCAAAAGGGGGCATCACACATCATCAGGCAGAAGGAGAGCATGAAGGCAAGAGGGCAGTGTTGCATAACCCTTATGCTGTGAAAATGGTAGGAGCACAGTATCAATGGGATTGATGCCAGCAGGACAAGACAGTGCCGAACAGGGGACAAAGGCCCCTCAAGAGGAGCAGGATAGGTGTCATGGGCTATGCCAACTGAATGCATAAATACTCTCATTCTACCATAGCATATGAGTGGATCCCCATCCACTCTTTTATACTTTACTTATTACTTCTTACTTACTCAGTTATGTACCATCACAATAGCAGTGCTCTTGCAATGACTCTCAACATGTGTGTTGTATCACTGTTAGTCGACAACTGTAGGCAGTGTTCTTCACACTAGTGGTCCAGTTCCTTACTGTAGGTGGTGTTCTTCAACACCTGTGGTCCAGTCCCTTGCTGTAGGCAGTGTTGCTCAACACCAGCAGTCCAGTCAGTTATTGTAGGCAGTGATTCACACCTGCAGTCCAGTAACTCTCATCCTCTGTAGGTGATTAGCATATCGCAGTCCAGACAATGTCCAAGAGCATTATCAACAGTACTATGAACACTCATACTATAGGAGAGGGTGTATCACCCACTCACCAACAAACAACATTTGTGCCATGCAACCTCTGAATGGAGTGTTCAAGGCAGTCAGTTGAGACTTACCAGGTGGTGATGCTTGGTTACATTTAGGCGAAACATATTGAGTAGACCTTACTCAATCAAACTCAATAGCACCCCCAAAACTAAGTCTCTGGTGCGCGACCGCTTACAGATGTTATGAACTCGTGGCCGAGAGTGTCCCTGTGAACTGGCACCACCCTACCGAGGAGTCTGAACTCACTGCTTTGCAGGCCACACACTTATTAACTGCTGGGCATGCGGCAAACTCGGTCATGCAGCCAATCGCTGTCCAAACAACGCTGCTCATGCTTGCTGGAAAGAGGGAAAGATCAAAGCAGCACCAAAGAATCATGCGAACACATGTATTGTATGTCAGGGGTCTCGCGCCTGAAACCCAGGTCGGTCTGTCAAGATGCTCGGTGACTATCAAACTGTGTGACAGCTATTGTCTTGGTATTGGTCTTGACAAGCTACGTCACTTGGTGACTATCAAGTTGCATGATGACAGCAGGTGGCATTCATTGTATATACTATCATAGGTTTTGGCTGACCTCTGTGGACACTCCATTCAGGGGTAGCTTGGCACAATCAATATCAATGCATAGGTTATGATGACACCAAGGTCTGGTGTGAGTGTTGATGATGATGAGGTTGATGGTGTGGTGATAAGGTTGGTGGCATTAACACGAGTGTCCAGTGTGTTGACTGATGCTTGAGGTGATCCCCAGACCACAGTGGACTACTGCCTTCAGTTCTAACTTGATCCAGACCACTAACCTGCTATGGGTGCCTTTGGACATCAGGTAGTGGTGATACAACACATGCACTACGATGAGGAGCAACCTTGATAGATTGCTGCTATGCTGACTGAAACTAATATATACTTATGCTGAAGTGATAACTAGTTATGATGACGTGTAGAGTGGATGAGGATCCACTTGACCTTTGATGATGAGAAAGCATGGTTATATACCTCTTCACAGCATTGCCAGCGATGCTGCTCCTGCTCTCTCTCCAGAGAGTACCTTCTTCATCGAGTACTGTTCAGGAGGCCTCTCCTGCTTGCTTGGCACCCCTGTGCCTCTTGAGCTGTGTCGACTCCTTCGACACTGCTCCTCCTCCTTGCTATCCTGCTGCTTGTTTGGCACCCCTGTGCCTCCTGAGTGGTGTCGACTCCTTCGACACTGCTCCTCTTCCTCAGGACCTGCCTGCTAGTGTCCTATACACTGCTCCTTCTCCTTTGACCGGTGACAGTTCCTTTGACTCTTGTCTCTCAAGCCCCTGAGTGGTAACCATCTGAGCTTGGTCCTCTTCGTGGCTGTGCCTGCTCCTTGAGCTTGGTCCTCCTCATGGCTGTGCCTGGCCCTCCTTGCATGTGGCTCATGTCCTCCTTTGCATGTGAGTCTGTAGGAGTCCATGGTCTCCGTGGAGACTGCACTACAACCATGCTCTCTACTGGTATCGACTAGATCTTCAATACCTGTGCTCCTTCCATATGAACCAGTGACCCTCCTGCTTCTTGAGCATCCAGGCCCATGACACTACCCCCCTCTTAAGAGCCGAGCTCCATTGAGGCATGCTCTGGTCTGGTTCATGCTGACTCCTCCTCCTCCTCCTCGACAACATCGCCAACATCATCCTTCCTCCTTCTCTCAACGTCATCCTCCTTCCTCCTTCTCTCTCTATTCCTCCTGCTCTCTCCTCCTTTCTCTACTTTGTCTACTCGCTTGTCCCCCCTCCGACACCTCATACTCCTGGATGAGGTCGGGGCAGTTGAGGTTCTCTACTGGTTCCCATGAAGCAGCTTCTTCTGAGTACCCTCTCCACAACACTTTGTACTCTGTAGTCCCATTGTGTGAATGCTTTTCGATGAGTGCTTTGACTTCGAAGTCGAGGTCCTCATCTGGAAGTGATGGTATGGTGGGCTGTTCAGCACGTTGAGGGAGAGAACTTGTTCTTGCTGGCTCGAGCATGGAGACATGGAACACATCATGCACCCTAAGGTTTGCTGGCAATGTGATTCGATAAGCTCAGCGTCCTACCCATTCCTGAACTGGGTAGGGTCCTGCAAACCGGGTATCTAACTTGGGTGTGGGTCTCCTTGTCTTCCAGTTTCAACAATTGATATAGACCATATCACCCACCTTAAACTCGATGTCCTTGTGCTTCCTGTTATACTGGTCTACTGATCTACATTGTGCCTCTCTGATCTGCTCCTGGAGGTACTTGCAACGCTCCTTTCCATCCATGAGGTACTCGAAGTGACCTGGATCATTGACTCCTAGTTGTTGAGGGATGTCAGGATGAGCTTTGGGGTTCCATCCATAGCATGCAAAGAATGGTGAGACACCAATGCTGTTGTGGACCATGTTGTTGTATACAAAGGCTGCAGTGTCCAGCAGGTCGGCCCAGTCATTCTGCTCATAGTTGCAGTACATCCTTAGGTACTGCTCGATGACCTGATTGACCCTCTCTGTCTGACCATCAGTTTGAGGATGGTAGGCCATGCTAAGTGAGTGCTTCACACCCATTTGTTCTGCAAATGCCTTCCATGCTCCTGATATAAACTGCCTGCCTCGGTCCAAGACCATGTGATCTGGGTATCCAAAAAGTCTAACCATGTGTCCATATAACAACACTGCAGTCTGTTTGGCCATGACTGTCTTATGGGTTGGAGCTAGTATGGCAAACTTGGTCAGCCTGTCGACAATGACAAGGATGGAGTCATACTTTTTCGATGGTGGTAGTCCTTCGATGAAGTCGAGGGATATGGAGCCCCAGGGCCTGTCTGGTGTTGCTAGTGGCTGTAGCAAACCATATGGACGATGATGAGGAGCTTTGTACCTAGCACATACAGGACAACTTGCTACATAGTCTGCAATCCAAGCTGTCATGTTTGGCCACCAGTAATGTCATTGAGCTGCCTTGATGGTAGCATCTCTTCCTATGTGTCCAGCAGTAATACCATCATGGCATTGGGTCATCACCATGAATCGCAGATGCTCTACAGAGAGAGACTGTCCATCTACCTCTTTGGCACTCCTTGAGTGTCGGTTGTTGGTCCTCCCTGGCATGATCACTTTGGGGATAACCAACCTTCCTCCACTGTACCATAGGTCGTCCTTGACCTTGAAGGGCTTCTTCCTATGTATCTCCTGTAGCTCTTGGTCTAAGGGCTGGAAGATTTTGACCAGGTCTCTGAGACCTTTTGATGCTATGGACTCCATCGAGAGCATAGGGGCCACTAGGGTCGAGTCATGGTCTGCTGTCTCCCTGAACACTCGAGGAGGCAGTAGTTGCCTCACATTGTGATCCTGCTCTTCACCAGCTGGTTGCATGTCTGTCCTTCTGGTGAGAGCATTGGGTTCACCACCTTTGTCTCCTGGTTGATACTGCAATATGAAGTCAAAGTCTGCTAGTAGTATGGCCCATCGAGCCTGTTGACCTGTGATGCATCTCTGTGACTTGAAGTACTTGAGGGCTTCATGGTCAGTAAGGATGACCAGTTGGCTTGGTAGTCCAGCTAGCATGTGTTGCCACTGAGTAAGGCAGGCGACCACAGCTAGGAGCTCCTTGTCATGGATTTCATAGTTCTTCTCGGCAGAAGACATCTTCCTAGAGTAGAAAGCCACTGGATGCCATCATCCTTCATGCTCCTGCTTGAGTACTCCTGCTATAGCAAAGTCACTTGCATCAGTCTCCAACCTTGTTGGAAGGTGGTAGTCGAAGTGCTGAAGCACTCCTGCTGATGTGAAGGCCTGGATGAGCTTGTGGAAGGCCTGTTGGGCCTCCTCTGGTAGCTCGAACTTCTTGAACCATTCTATAGGCTTTACCAGTGCTGTCAAGGGCTTGGCTATGCGAGCAAAGTGGGCTATGAACCTTCGATAGAAGTTGGCAAAACCCAGGAACCTCTGGATGTCATGGATTGACTCTGGCATTGGCCATTCCTTGACAGTGTGCACCTTTTCTGGGTCCATCTCTATGCCCATTGGCTTGATGATGTACCCCAGGAACTCGATTGTCTTGGTGTGGAACTCACACTTCGACAGCTTAGCAAAGAGCCTGTTGCTCCTTAAGTGAGTGAGGACCTCAGTGACATGCTTCACATGTGCTTCTTCAGTGTCACTGAAGATCAGGAAGTCGTCTAGGTATACTACCACATATATCCCAATGATGTCTCGGAAGATGTCATTGATGAATGACTGGAAGTGAGCTGGAGCATTGGCTAGGCCAAAGGGCATCACTAGGTACTCATAGAGTCCCAACTGAGTGCCAAAAGCTGTCTTCCATTCATCTCCTTTAGCAATCCAGATGAGGTTGTATGCTGCTCTAAGGTCTAGCTTGGTATAGATCCTTGCCTTCCTGAGTAAGAACAGCTGCTCCTCAATGAGGGGCAATGGTGCCCTGTTCTTGACAGTGATCTCGTTGAGACCTCTGTAGTCCACACAGAGTCTGAGACCTCCATCCTTCTTTGGTACGAAGAGCACTGGTGATCGTGCCGGGCTCTTCGATGGTCTTATGAACCCCTTCTCGAGGTTCTCATCCAAGTATCTCCTCAACTCGGACATCTCCTTGGGTCCCTTAAGGTATAGGGGCCCTTGAGGTGGCTTACCTCCTTCTATCAACTCGAGGTGGAGATCATGCTCAGTATGATGGGGCAGCTTGTCTGCTTCCACCTCATCAAACACATCTTGCAGGTGTTGGTATGGCTTTGGTATGTCTGCAGCTGTCACCACCTTGTCTACCTCCACCTCCATCTCGACTCCTTTGTCTGCGCCTGTAGGTACAAAACCAAAGGCCAGGAGTGATGATGGTGGCTCCTCCAACAGCATGAACCCTATGGGTCCATCTTCTAGAGCTGCTCGTAGTATGCGCTCTGCTGAGACAAACTCGTTACCATGAAGGGTTGGTCTCCTCATGGTTAGGTCCCCTGCTCTTGCTGCTTCAGGGGGTCTCCTTGGGGGTTGGTCCTGCTCCTGAGTCTTGAACTCCAGCTGGCCCATATCCCATTGTATGGTGGGTTTGAGCCTCTGTAGCTCAGTGAACCCCAGGATGAGGTCATAGTCAGCAGTGTCAGCCACTGAAGCTTCGACCACACCCAGATTGTGTGTACCAATAGATACCTGCATGCTCGCAGAACTATTGATGGAGAGTTGGTGTCCGGTGACACCATGGATCGATCTTGTTTTTATGGGTTTTGTGGGTATTTGGTACTTGCTAATGAAAGAATCTGAGACTATGGACAAACCAGCACTGGTATCAGCTAGTATCCGAGCAGGATGGTCTTGAACCATTCCAGAGAGCTCCAGTACTGCTTTGCCTCCACTGGTAGAGAAACATACTTGACAATCTTGATATATACAGAGTGATGGTGAGGAGGTTTGTAGAGCAATGCATGCCATCAGTGCATCACCCCACTGACATTTCCCTTGTTGTCACCATCATTGTGCTCCTCCTCCTCATGGTTGGGGTCCATGGATTGCTGGTATGAGCTGAGGTCCATGGCCTCAGGGTCACCCATCTTGGTGCTGCCTGTGTGGCCATCTCCTGAGTTGGTGGCTTCTTCGAAGGGGTCTGCTGTGGTGACCATGACCTTTGGACCCATGGGTCGAGAGCTAAGAGGGTCTACCCTCCTGCTGGGGCAGTCTCTGGCCCAATGGCCGATACCCTTGCATACATGACAGGTGTTGATACCTGATGGAGCAGGGCTTCCTTGCTTCGAGATCTGGGTGGGTTGATGAGGAAGGGGTCGATTAGTTGGTCGATTTAGCGTAGTTGCTTGTGTAGTTGCTTGTGCTGGTGATCGAGCTGGATAAGGTTGAGTGGGTTGATGTATGGGGATTGAACTTTGATTTGGCCAAGACCCAGTTCTTAGTGGAGGTGACATGGCATTTGGGAGTGAGTGTCTAGCCAAGGACTGCTGTAGTAGCATCCTCTGTCGATCGATCTCCTCAACCTCTCAATACCACTCCCATCTCTTTCCAGGTGGGTTCCTCTCGAACTTCTCCTGTATGCTGTGAGTGAGACTTCCTCTGAAGAGATCGATCACTAGCTCATTGTCATCTAGGTTGACCTGTCCCTCCAAGTCTCTGAACTGCTCTACATGACATGTGGCAGCACCAGGAGCATCACTTGTGAGTCTGAGAGCCAACAGCTTGTTGTATGCCTCCATCCTAGCATTGCATGGGTTGAACTGCTCTGACAGTCGCTCTGTGAAGTAGTGCCAATCATTGAACAACCTTCCTTCTCTAGCTCTATCAATACGGAGCTTGGAGGTCCACCACTCTCTTGCTGTCCCTTCCAGTTGAGCACCCATGTGATTGATCATCCTAGACTGCTCATACACCTGGTTGAACTTAAACCATGCTTCAGCTTCTAGAATGAAGATCTCCACATCTCAGGGATTGAACTTTGGAAAGGGGGTGGCAATGGGCTTTGACTGGTTAAGCTCTGCCATGATGCTAGAGTCCTCCTCCTGATCAAGAGTGTAGTGTTCTGTCCTGCTCTTGTTGTATGGATCCACCCTGGACTTGACATATCTTGGCCCCATGGGTGAAGCATACTTCTTGTAGTTGACATCATCCTGCTCATCCAGGTTGAATGAGACTGATTGTCTTGGTCATGGAGCTGGAGTAGGAGTATGTGGGTCTCCTATCAAAGACTCATCTCCTCCTCCTGCTTGGTCTTCTGAGTGAGAGAGGTCCATCGTCTCCTCCCTACTCAGCTGAGCTCATTGCAACCGTTCCTCTCATTGTCCCTGCCTTGTAAGCTCTAACTGTGCTTCCAATAGAGTGAGTAGTCTATCAAGCTTATTGTTGAGGTCTGGGTCCATCATGGTGATTGTGAGGAGCTGCTTGAACAATCCACTCTAATGTCAGGGGTCTCACACCTGAAACCCAGGTCAGTCTGTCAAGATGCTCAGTGACTATCAAACTGTGCGACAGCTATTGTCTCGGTATCAGTCTTGATGAGCTAGTCCTTCGGCGACTATCAAGTTGCACAATGACAGTGGGTGGCATTTGTTGTATATACTATCATAGGTTTTGGCTGACCTCTGTGGACACTCCATTCAGGGGTAGCTTGGCACGATCAATATCAATGCATAGGTTATGATGACACCAAGGTCTGGTGTGAGTGTTGATGATGATGAGGTTGATGGTGTGGTGATAAGGTTGGTGGCATTAACACGAGTGTCCAGTGTGTTGACTGATGCTTGAGGTGATCCCCAGACCGCAGTGGACTACTGCCTTCGGTTCTAACTTGATCCAGACCGCTAACCTGCTATGGGCGCCTTTGGACATCAGGTAGTGGTGATACAACACATGCACTATGATGAGGAGCAACCTTGATAGATTGCTGCTATGCTGACTGAAACTAATATATACTTATGCTGAAGTGATAACTAGTTATGATGATGTGTAGAGTGGATGAGGATCCACTCGACCTTTGATGATGAGAAAGCATGGTTATATACCTCTTCACAGCATTGCCAGCGATGCTGCTCCTGCTCTCTCTCCAGAGAGTACCTTCTTCATCGAGTACTGTTCAGGAGGCCTCTCCTGCTTGCTTGGCACCCCTGTGCCTCTTGAGCTGTGTCGACTCCTTCGACACTGCTCCTCCTCCTTGCTATCCTGCTGCTTGTTTGGCACCCCTGTGCCTCCTGAGTGGTGTCGACTCCTTCGACACTGCTCCTCCTCCTCATGACCTGGTGTCGACTCCTTCGACACTGCTCCTCCTCCTCATGACCTGGTGTCGACTCCTTCGACACTGCTCCTCCTCCTCAGGACCTGCTTGCCAGTGTCCTATACACTGCTCCTTCTCCTTTGACCAGTGACAGTTCCTTTGACTCTTGTCTCTCGAGCCCCTGAGTGGTAACCATCTGCATGCTCTTTGAGCTTGGTCCCCTTCGTGGCTGTGCCTGCTCCTTGAGCTTGGTCCTCCTCGTGGCTGTGCCTGGCCTTCCTCGCATATGGCTCAGTGCTCCTTTGCATGTGAGTCCGTAGGAGTCCATGGTCTCCATGGAGACTGCACTACGACCATGCTCTCTACTGGTATCGACTAGATCTTCGATACCTGTGCTCCTTCTGTATGAACCAGTGACCCTTCCTGCTTCTTGAGCATCCAGGCCCATGACACATGGCTACACCACCATCCGATTGTCAGCAAACACCTCCGCCCACATGCCCTTCATGGAACCTACTTGGGGTTCTCCAACACCCTGCATGCTATAAAAGGCCATTGGGTATGGCTCCCCAACCTTGACCACATCGTTGTTGCAAAGGACATTCGCTTCTCCAAACTTGAACAACTGGAAATGAATGCTGCTCCCTCGCACACACCTGTGCTCACTGGTAATGGAATGCTCCTTCATTCCTACACCTGGCTCCTGCCAAATGACAAGTCCAAAGCATTGGAGCTTGATGACACCACCACCCCTTCCCTACTACCCTACTCTCATCAGCACAGTTTATCCTTACAGTCGGATTCACTGGACCTCTCCAGCTACAATCGCAAATGGGACCACATGTTGGCAGAGATTGAAGCCACTGGTGAGATTGTGGTGGACTTAGATGTGATTGCTGCTGACCTAGAGGCAGAACTGGATGCAGTGTCATCCGAGGAGGGGAACACATCGCACAACATGACACAAGCTGCCGACCCAGAAAGCATGTCCCTGCTTGACACACCTCACAGTGACACAGTGGCAAACATGTATGATGACATCTCTGTACTCGAGTTAGCTCGCACAGGATCATCAGACCAGTTGGACTTGCCAGGTTACACAGCCTTTGCAGCGACGTGCTCAGAGACCATGGCACTTACAATTGGAAGTCACCATCTCGAACATATGGCATTCATGGCCACAGTTATGAATGGTACAGTGCTTGTCGCCAGTGGTCAACAACTGCACAGTGCCAATGGGATCCTACTCGAACCCCTCTCACTCAGTGAAGCCAAATCCCATGACAATTGGGATAAATGGCAAGAGGTGATGAAAAGTGAAATGAACAGCATGAGTAAGATGGATGTCTTTGAGCTCATCAACATTCCAGCTGATGGTAAGCTCATCAGCATCTGGTGGGTATACAAACTCAAACTTGATGCACAATGATGGGCCACAAGATACAAAGCCCATCTAGTGGCACAGGGATATGTTCAACAACAAGGTCTGGACTACAACCAGACCTTCAGCCCTGTCATGCATTTGCAGACCATCTGCATGTTATTCGCCCTTGCATGAAGATATGGAATGTATGTCAATCAGCTGGATGTCAGCACCATGTTCTTGAATGGAAAGATCAACAAGGATGTACATGTTCAGATACCACCAATGTTTGAGACTGAGGAAACTGAAGGGAAATGTTATAAGCTAAAGAAGGCACTCTATGGCCTCAAACAGGCAGCATGCCTATGGCATGCAGCACTTGATGAACAGTTGCAAGCTTTCAGATTCAAGCAGTGCCAAACAGAACCATGCATATACATGCATGGCTGCAATGACATGATGGTACTCCTGGCAGTGTATGTGGACAACCTACTTGTCATTGGGGCAACAACTTCATGAGTCCAATCAGTGAGGCAACAACTCTCAACAGCCTTCAGCATCACTGATCAAGGCAGTGTCTCACACATCATTGGTCTGAGCATACACTATGAATGTGAAGTGTGTACCCTCTCTATTGACCAGAGGGGGTACATTGAAGGCATCCTAACAAAGTTTGGAATGGACAAGGCCTGGACAGCTTCAATGCTGGCAACCGAAGCAATAAACTCACTCAAGCCATGAGAGGGGGATTCTGCAAGTGCTGAGGAAGTGCAACATTATGCTTCACTCATGGGGTCACTCTTATGGATTGCTCAAGGAAGCAGACCAGACATTGCCTTTGCTGTAGGCAGATGTGCTTGGTTTGTTGCAAACCCATCTGGGGAACACCTTGCAGCTGCCAAACACATCCTGAGGTACTTGAAGGGAACCATAAGGATAGGCCTCACAGCAAAAGCCCCAGTTGGTGAACAGATACTCATAGGGTGGGCTGACAGCAACTGGGCCAGCTCACACAACAGTAGAAGATTGACCTCCAGATACATGTTCACTATTGATGGATTCATATGTAGCTGGTCTTCATGACTTCAACCAACTGTGGCAAACAGTTCCATGGAAGCAGAATACATGGCATTAGCAGCAGCAGCTAGGGAACTACTATGGGCATCAATGTTCTTGCACGAGCTGAGGCAACCCATGCTGAAGACAGCAGGGGTCCACATAAGTGCCAAGACATTGATTCTTCCCTGGGAAACTTGTCTTCAATTGAGATGTACTGATACTACACAGTGACTTGTCTGGTGTGTGCACCATCGCAAGTGACCCACAACATTTCAAAAGGATGAAGCATATTGACATTGCTCACTTCTTTCTGTGAGACGAGATTGTGAATGACCAGCTCATGATTGCCCCGGTTCGAAGTAGCAAGAACTTGGCCAATATATTGACTAAGCCTCTTGCAGCACCAATGCTCTCATACCTTTGTCAACTGTTTGGATTGATGGTGTTGGAAGAGCATAATGGATCGAGAGGGGGTGTTGAAGATTATGATCCAGTGACGACACTAAGGGGTGATGCAAAGTCAATGGGATCAGAGATTGGGGATAACCGATCTCATTAAGGATTGGGTACAACCAAGTCCCACTCATTGTCAGACTGGGTCATTGACTATAGAGTCTCCCACATCTAGCATGTGCTGCTCACATGTATATATATCTCACAGAGAGCACTAGGCTCTTGCCACATTGGTCCTAGTCAATTGAGTATATTTGTTCTGTCTATAAACTAGCAGCAACATCATACTTAGACTCTCCCCGATCACCAGTATTGGGACCGAAACGACTTAAGTTTCCAACAAAACTAGCCTCTCCTTAGATCTCCTCCTTCCTTCCTGCAATCCACTTAGTTACACCGTTACACCGCGCATATAGCCTGCGCATGTAACATCCTTTCACTGTCTTGCTTGGTTCGTCCTTGGTTTAGTACCACATCCATCCGCTTTAAGGCCTTCAAGTCTGGCTAGCATCTAGCCTGCTTGGGATTCACCGTTCCATCATGTGGTCTTCAGTATGCCCGCATATCGAGCTTCTTGATGACAACCAGATCGTTTTAACGGCAGCAGCTCATCTAGCTCAGTTCAGACTCGTCCCTAGTTGGCATACATTCATCGAATCACACGAATGCCTTTGCGAGTCGTATAAAAAGCAAGGCTCTTGGGATCGTTGCCTGCTCAAAAAGCTGGCCGATCACCTCACCCAAGAACAGGATGAGCTTCGGTATGCCATGAAAGCGCTCTTATATGTATGTAGAAATGGCAACATCGTTGGCTTGCTTGGCTCCACCTACAACGACCTCTTCTTGCGATTCCCCACTTTCAACAGCACCGAACATGCCTTTGCCGTGGTCCTCGTTCAGATTGCACAAACGAATCTCAAGCGCATGGAACCTCCAGAGGAGTTTGGTAGCTCCCGCCATCTCGCCCACGCATTTCATCGACCCTACCGTGGCGACGCACCCAATCGCTTCCTCACCTTTGTCTCTCGCGTCAAAGAGGACACTTCTGGAGGCTTTGGGCCCAAGCCTTGGTATTACGGCACCTCCATCGTTCAGTCGAGTGGCGCAGGCAAGACACGCATGGTGTACGAGTGTCAGAAACTCACCCCTCTCCTCTACGTCTCCTTTGGTAAGATGGGTGTCGAGGCAAACACCAGTGATGGCTATCCACTCGCAGACCAAAGTGTCCAAAGCTACTTTGAAAACACACATGGCGATTATCCCCAACAGTCTGACCTTCAGGTGGCCTGCTTCCTTGCTGCCTGGTTCACCACGCTTGCCCAAGCATTGAGACCTTGGCAGACCGACACCAAAAAGTATCAACATCTTTGCGATCTCAATCGATTTGAACCAGTCTCCCGTGGCGACGATCTGCCCGAGCCTCTTGACCGCTATCCCCGTAAGAACCACTTCAAGGATATATCCGATCTCGCAGCGAGCAAATTCGCAGCAGTTGCTAACACCGATCCCAACAACTGCTTCCTTCTCGAAGGCCCGTTTGTAAAAATTCTCACCAAGCCTCTTGTCGATCTCAACGAGCAGCTAACCGCCGTCTCGCGTCATCTGCGCTCGGCTCAAGAAGAAGCCGGAGTGCCAAGCCCTCCAGTGCTGGTAGTCTTTGACGAATGCATCGAGATGCTTGCCAAACAGTTCAACCGTGGCTGGCATCAGTTCGACTCCCTCCGCCGTGCTTGGAAGTTCTTTAGCCTGATCGAGGAACAAAACCACACTTTGTGTTTCTGGTTGGTGCTCATCAGCACCAGCATCGAGGCCATTTATGTCCCCGCTCATTTTGATCCATCGTCCCGTATGTTGTCCACGCTACCTATGCCTACCTTTGTCGGCGTCGGTGTCAATCTGCTCGCCGAGGAGCAATGTGCCCTCTCCTGCGCCTCGCAGGCGTCCTCGGTTGACCACCTCAGCTGATATGGACAGCCTCTCTGGCCCTCACTTGAGCCGAGTCACTTCTGGGACAACATCCTTGTCCTCCTTCAAGGCCGCAAGGCTTTCTTCGTGAACAATAGGGTGCAGTGCTTCAGCATCATGGCCTCGCGGCTTGGCCTTGGCCTTGCCCCAGTGCATGAAAAGGGTAGCCTGCTCTTTGACGAGCTGAAGGGTGTAATGGAGAAGAGCGTGGACGAACACATGCATACGATGAGCCACATATCCAAACGTGGCACCATGTACATCCATTCTCCATCCGAACCTGTGCTGGCGATCGCTGCCTCGCTCATCATGCTCCCCACTGTCAGTAAAGACTTTTTCCAGGAGCTGGCAGATTGGCAGATGGCAGTCAACACATACGGCTCCATCTTGGAATACTTCAGAATGACTTGCATTGGAGACCTGGCAATTGCCCTGGCAATCACCGGACTCAAGGGGATGCATGGACAGCTAGCCTCGCGCATCGCCTTGATCACTGCCTGGGACGCAGCAAAGCGCAAAGAGCTCGACGCGCTCGAGCTACAGGAGATCTCGCAATACGCCACCGTGCTGACCCGCGCGGTGCCTCTGGAGACCATCCTTGCAGGGCTTGCCGATCTCGACGAGGCCAACGCTGACCAATTGCGCCAACGCCTTGAAAGAGTGCAGCAGCACCGCTTGTCCACCCGTCCGGCTGGAAGATCGGCAGCATCATCAACAATCGCGTGGACCAACTTTACGCATTTTGATGTCCTGCCCGATCATATCACCAAGATCTCTCCCGAATACCTGTGGTGCTGTTGGAAGCGTGGACTTGGACTGCAAATGGCACGCTCGCAGCATGGCATCGATGGCATCCTCCCCGTCTTTATGGGCAGCCTCGAGGAGCCCTTTGTAAGCCGCACTGGCACACAGGATGATGCCGCCACCAGCAGCATCGAGATGCACGCCGCACGCTACATGACCTACATTGCATGGGAGGCCAAGAATCACGACGAACCGCAGCCAGAAGCCAGATCGGGTAAGCCAGATGTAAAGTTCAAGCTCGCTGGACCATCAATCATGCATGCCTCGCACACACTGCCGGGTGAAGAGCCACTCACTGAAAGGGCTCTGATCTGCGTTCAGCTTGACCTGGGCTCTTCGACGCCATTTGTCAGCGAACCTCAAGGATTCCGCCCGCGAGTGGAGACGATCAATGGCACCGAATGCCCTCGACTCTGCATCCGAGGTGTGACCAACAAGCACGCCTATCCTTGCCTTGACGTTTTGAAGATCCGAGCCGTCTTTCAGACGCTCTGGAACTGTATTCTCGCGGAATGCCCGTACGAGCTGCTCGATGAGGTGCCCAATTCGATTTGGAACGATCACATGCAGCCTGCGCTGCCCTCGATCTCGGCGGCTGGAGTGTCCAATCCACCAGCCGCAGCCACAGCAGCAGCAAAGGATGACAATGATGGCGCGGCTCAATGCAAAAGACAGCGTATGGATCTGGATTGACAAGTCTCATTGACAAGTCTCGTTGACGAGTATCGATCGGGTTGCCACTAGCCTGCTCTCGCTACTCTTGCACAGTATCACACCCCTTCACATGATAGTTGGAGCACATAGCACGCATTCACGCCTTTGCAAGGTTGGATCGTATATCGTATTTCATCTACCACACCAAAATATGTCAATATCATCCTCGTTAGTCGTCCAAGTAGAAACGTGAGGATGGAGAAACGTGAGGAGGGAGAAAGGTGGGCGGGGTTATCACTTGTCCTGTAAGGCAATCTCTTCTGTGTTCGTCTGGGTTTTGGACTGGCTCAACAGGGCAGGCTGTGGAATGGGTTGAGTGAAATGCGTTCTCAACTGATCATGTGCGAGCCTGTGAATTTCTCTGCCTACCGCCTTTGCGACACTCGCCAACGGACCAGCGAGGTTGAGTTTGCAAACGACATATCCACCTGCAACGAGGATCAATAAGAAGGTAAAGTAAACAGGACTGCTAATGACGGCGATAAACTCGTTCCAACCCAAAAAGACCATCAGACCGAACATCCAAAGGGGAATCTGGGCCATGCTAGGAACGGTGGATCGCTTGGCTTCGACGTAGAGTGCATCTGCTTCTTTGCGGAAGCGGGAGCTGATTTCGGCTTTGCGAGCCTCGGAAAGGACAGTGAGCGTTGAAGGGAAATCAAAGTCTTCTTGCTCGTCCAGAGAGACAGACGCTGGGTGGCAGTCCGAGGTGCAGGCAAGGTCGATGGAGAGAAAAGAGTCTTGAGGGCTGATCTTGGAGTAGAGTGGGATAAGCGATAGGGTTTCATCTCGAGCTTTGCGGAAGGCGGAATCGATGTCGTCATCTGGCTTCCAAACTCTGGGCACACCAGCTTGATCATAGCGAAATCGATCTTCGAAGTTGTTCCTCAACTTGGCTGCAATCACTGAATCCGCCGTTTCTTCGTCCACCTTGGCTTTGAGACTGAGCCAAGTCTTCCTTCTTAAGACCACCAATGCATGTTGGTTCTCCTCTTCGGTGCAGTTGAAACTCTTTGCTTTCCTCAAATACGTCGCCTCCGCCTGCTCGAGCGTGGTGCGAAAGGCGGTGAGAACTCTATCCCACATATCCGGCTCTGGCTTGTTGAGAGCCATTTGGACAGGTTCAGCCATGTTTTTCTTGAATGTCCGCTCGATTTGAGCGACCATCTTCTTGGTCTCCTCGACACGCATCGTATCGCTGATCGATTGAATTTCGCTGTCCAGCTGGGCAAGCTCGTCATCAATAGTCCAATCGGTATCTGCGAGCAGAAGGGCTTGTGCAGCAGCGGAGAACTGGCTAAGAGCGGAGGATTTCTCGCTGGAAACCACCTGGCCGAAATCGTAGTCGGTCTCGTTTCGCATTCGTTCCAAGACGTTCTTTTTGAAGGATTGCAGCATGTGGCGATCAAGGTTCTTGAGCTGACCGAGGAAGAAGGGCGAAAGGCAACTATTGAGCTTGTCGAGCAAATCAAGACGTTTCCTCTTGTATACATCTTGGTGATACCTGCCTGCATCGCGATCGAACTCCCTGAGCGCAGTGGAACGATGGAGTGCCATATCAGGACCCAAGGTCTCCAAGATGGAACCTCGTTCGATGTGTTTTCGGAAATGCTTGATGCTGGCTGCAAAGGTGCCAAAGGCGGCGTTTGCAATCTCGTCGCATCGGAACTGGGCAAGCAACTCTTGCTGTGTGGGCAAATCGAGGTCCTTGTTGGTCATGACCTGTTCCCAGATGGACTCGAGATAGTGGGGCAAACCGTCGGCGGGGATTCGCTTGTGGTATTGCGTCTTGAAGACAAAGTTGGGGTCGTTTGGATCGACGAAGCGATTGCGCAGCACATCGACGGCTTTGTCGAATTCGGCAGGTTGCAAGATCTTGTGCGGTAGGGTGGTGAACATAAAGTCGAAAAAGTCGGAGATTTGCGAGTTGCCAAGGCCGTCAGGTTTGGAAAGCGAGAGCCAGATCTTGGTCAAATCGGCCATGACGGTGGCCGAAAGATTCTGCAAGGGTGTAACGCCGATATGATCACGAATGACAAAAAGCAACAAAGTCTTATCCTTGGCTCCTGGTGTTTTGGTTTTACTGGCTTGGAAGAGGGCAAGGTTGACCTCGAAAACAGTCTTGAGCAAAGCCATGTTGGCACCTTGATAGAGACCGACTTGATGCTCCCACAGGTTCACAATAAGCACCTCAACAGAGGCCATGGAGAAGAGAGCAGATTTGCGTTCGAAATCTTGATCTTCGCCACGTTCACGACCATCTGTACCTTCGACGTCCATGACGAGGAGGTTGATTTTACGAGCTTTGCACATCCAGATTCCCTTTGTGGTCTGCTGGCGGGCGGATTGAGACATGACGTCAAAGTTGGTTCCGAAGAGTTTGTTGAGTAGGGTGGATTTACCGGTGGATTGCGAACCGAGGACGGCACAGAGATCGTAACCAAAACCTGCATCTGCAAGACCCCAGTTTTGAAGACTGGGAGCGAATTGGGAGGAGTTGAACTTTTGCTCTTGGTCGATGAGTTGCATTCGGCCGCCAGTGTCGGCAGCTTTGGAATCAGAAGAGCTTGTTGGGGCGCTGGCTGCATGGGCGGGGGCTGAGGCTGCTGAAGGCGCTGATGGACTGGCAGCGGCAGTGGAGGGGGTGACATTGGAAGCAGCACCATTGGCAGCTGAGGTGGCCAAAGTGATGGGTTCCTCTTCGAATGCGTGTGACTGAGCGCTGAGCTCTTTCTCGTGCTGAGCAAGGAGCTGCTTTGCGTTATCCACGTTGATCTCCATGGTGAAGAGTCATTACAGTTCCGATGATGTTGTGGCGAGTGGGTTGCCAGGGTGGTTCCAGGGAGATGATGCGTGATCGCAAAGCTTGTTCCGGATGTGGTCCTTGATGGACGAGGTAAGGAGGAAGAGGATAAGGAGGAAGAGGTTGAGGAGGAAGAGGATGAGGAGGAAGAGGATGAGGAGGAAGAGGATGAGGATGAGGAGGAAGAGGAGGAGGAGGAGGAGGAAGAGGATGAGGAGGAGGATGGAAAGTGTTTGTTCCTTGCGGACACGTCTCTGTCACTCTCGTACGGATCAAAGAAACTGGGGAATGGGGATTTTCCAGGAATGTTAGACCGTGCGAAACTTGCGCGCTTCCTCTGCCGGGAATTTGTTTGTATTTCCGGATAAAGATTTGTATCCAGAGCTGAGAGGAGACTAGAAAATGCAAAACAGCGATCGAAGCTGTGCCGTTTCTCGTGCGAATGGACTCCAATTGAAGATAACAATTAATACGCGGCGTTATCGGGGTCACGATCAGACTCCCTTTAACAACAGTCATATGTTCTATGTAATGCTTAGTTTTTCATAGTGCAAACCTAAATGACAAACATGTATATATACTCCATTCACCACTCTAGTCCTATCTGAGGTGGGACATGTCACTTCATTCATACTCCTATGTTGCTATGATACTGAGTGCCACTGAGCTGTTGCCATGACAACAATCATATATCTCATTGTGCTTCTCACTTAAGTAAGCCTCCTGTGCCTTGGTGTCTCAGCTGTGACACATGCATCTTGCTTGAGTTGCTGATGCATCTTCAACTCCCCCCTTTGGCAGGATCTCCAGCCCTATCATCCTAGCCAATCGTGAGGTGTTAAGACCCTGTAAAGGTTTTGTTAAGACATCTGCAATGTTGTTTGCTGTCCCAACATGTTTGATTGCCACATTGCCCTCTTGCATGTGATTGTGGACAAAGTGATACTGTGTGTCAATGTGCTTTAACTTCCAGTGTTTGGCTGGATCTTTACTCACCTGTATGCATCCCTGGCTATCAGTGTATAGTATGGGCTGAATGTCTGTGATCTCCAAATCCCAGAGCAAATATGAGAAGAACAATGCTTCTTGCACTGCTTCAGAAGCGGCGACAAACTCTGCTTTGACTGCTGACAATGCTACACATTTTTGAATGTGAGACTTCCAACTCACTGGGCATCCATACACATATGTTATTGACCCCGAGGTGCTCCTTCGTCCATTTGTGGGGTCGGATGCCCAGTTTGCGTCGGTATACATCATTACTGGTGTATCCGAGTGCTCATTTGCCTCCCCCCCTAAGTGTAACTGATATTCACTCATCTGGTTCAGGTACTTTACCATGTGAATAGCTGCCTTCCATGCACTGTCAATCAGGATCAACATGTATCATGATAATACACCAATGGTGAAGGCAATATCTGGTTGGGCTGTGTTGGAGACCCATAATAGTTGGCCAACCAACTCTTGGTACTTCTTTGCTCACTGAGGGTCACATCTCTCACCTCCAGCGACATTCACTACACTCAGCATAGGTACCCAAGATTTCTCATTTGCTCCTCCTAACCATTTGTTCACCATTTCTTTGATGTATGCCATTAGACCCAGAGATATCTTCCTCTGCCTTCTATCATGTGTGATCTTGATACCCAGAAATTCTTTGATTCTCCCGTTGTCTTGCGTCTCCCATTTGTCCATGATCTCTCACTTGGTGCAGTCTACCTCATCATGACTGGGTGATGTTATCAGCATGTCGTCCATGTATGCTGTGATGATCGTGATCTTGTCGCCTGTCCCTCTTGAATATAAGCATGGTGCACTCAGCATGCAATGAAAACCAATCATCCAGAGATGTGAGTCTAACTCAATGTTCCATTCTCAGCCCGATTGTTTCAGACCATACAGTCCTTTCACTACCTTCAAAGCTTTTCCAGGTGGTACTTTGATTCCTACTGGGGGCTTTAGATATACATCATGGTGTATAGTAGAGTTCAGGTATGCTTGTTTTACATCAATAGAGTCTATTTCCCAGTCTCATATTGCTGCAATGGCAATTGTCATGGGCCTGGATGCTCAAGAAGCAGGAGGGTCATGGGTTCATATGGAAGGAGCACGGGTATCGAAGACCTAGTCGACACCAGTAGAGAGCATGGTCGTAGTGCAGTCTCCATGGAGACCATGGACTCCTATGGACTCACATGCAAAGGAGGGCCAAGCACAAGCCACGAAGAGGACCAAGCTCAAGGAGCATGCAGATGGTTACCATTCAGGGGCTCGAGAGACAAGAGCCAAAGGAACTGTCACTGATCAAAGGAGGAGGAGCAGTGTCGAAGGAGTCGACACCAGGTCATGAGGAGGAGGAGCAGTGTCGACAAGAGGCACAGGGGTGCTAAGCAGGAGAGGCCCCTGAGCAATACTCGATGAAGAAGGTACTCTCTGGAGAGAGAGCAGGAGCAGCATCGCTGGCAATGCTGTGAAGAGGTATATAACCATGCTTTCTCATCATCATAGGTCGAGTGGATCCCCATCCACTCTACTCACCATAACTAGTTATCACTTCAGCATAAGTATACATTAGTTTCAGTCAGCATAGCAGCAATCTATCAAGGTTGCTCCTCATCGTAGTGTGTGTGTTGTATCACCACTACCTGACGTCCGAAGGCGCCCATAGCAGGTTAGCGGTCCGGATATAGATAGAACCGAAGGCAGTAGTCCACTGCGGTCCGGGGATCACTTCAAGCATCAAGTCAACACACTGGACACTCGTGTTGACGCCACCAACCTTATCACCAACACCATCAACCTCATTATCATCGACATCACCAATCCCATCACCAACACCATCAACCTCATCATCATTAACACTCACACCAGACCTTGGTGTCATCATAACATTGATATCGATCGTGCCGAGCTACCCCTGAACGGAGTGTCCACAGAGGTCAGCCGAAACCTACGATAGTATATACCACGAACGCCACCCGCTGTCACTGCACAACTTGATAGTCACCGATACCGAGACAATAGCTGTCGCACAGTCTGATAGTCACCGAGTATCTCGACGGACCGACCTGGGTTTCAGGCGCGAGACCCCTGACAGCAATCACCCCTCAAATGGATTGGATGGGCACTACTGGTGCAAAGACCTCTGTGTAGTCGATGCCCTCGCATTGGGTAAAACCTCATGCCATGAGCTGGGCTTTGAACTTTGTCAGCACGAGGTTTGCATCCATTTTGATCTTGAGTACCCAATGTGTGTCGACAGTGTTTGTGCCCTTCAGGAGGTTGGCGATCTCCCACATGCCCATCGCTTCTAATCCATCCAGCTCCTTTCACATGGCTTCTTCCCAGTGCTTTCTATCTTCTCCATTCATTGCTTCATGTATGGTTGGGTCCAGGTTCTTTCTCTGTTCTGGTCACGTCGCCACGAGTCCGAAAGATTTACTGTCAATCTGGGCTTTGGCGATTGGTCCTTGTTCCATCACTTCCGCAGTTCCTCCACTTAATCTTTCTTCCGAATCTGTCTCCATATCCATGTATTCTTGTAGTGGCCCTTCATCTGTTTTGTCAAATATATTTTCTTTGTTGTATCCTAGATCTTCAAAATTCTCTTCTGTCATCATTGCTGGGGGTGCCTTTGTGTCAACCGGTTGCCACTCCATTCTGTCTGACCAGCACTTTGATTCCATGAATTTTGCTGAATTGCTCCAGAATATGTTCAGATTATAGTCTGGGCTGTAGAATAGCCAGCCCTTTCTCTCTAGACTGTATCCCAAGAAAATGGATGTGACAGCTCACTGGTCCAGTTTCTTGTTGTCCCATTTGACTTTGGGTATGTTTACCCATGCCAGACAACCAAACACTCGTAGAAGTCTTAAAGCTTGCTCTGGCGACTTGCTGAACATGACTTGGTAAGGTAATTCATTATCAACACTCGGAGTGAGGTTTATTTTGAATGCTGCAGCTCTGATTGCATACAGCCAGAACTTCTTGGGTAGTCTCCTCTGCATTAGCAATGTCCTTGTCTTTTCTCCAAGGGTCCTGTTCATTCTCTCTACCCATCCATTTTGTTTACTGTTGTATCCTACAGTGGTTTGCCACTCTATGCCCCTTTCTAGCAACCATTCCAATGCATCATTGCTTCTCCATTCAGTTCCTTGATTGGATTAGATTGCTTTTAGCTTCCGATCCATCTGTGTTTCCAGAAACAAAACAATCCTTTTGAGTTGCATAAACACATGACTCTTTCATGTCAATGGCTGTGCATATACATACTTGCTATGGTCATCGACCAGCACTAACATGCATGTGTACTCTGTCATGTGGGATGAATCTATTATTAGATCGATATGGATAAGATCCAGGGGCCCTACAGCTCTTTCGCCGCTACCTTGCCCCATTCGAGCACTTGTGCTCTTGGATTGTATGCACTGCTCACATGTCAGAGTGGTGTTTGGATCCAGTTCCATGGTATGCTTATCTTTTAACTTGCTTGTGATTGCCTTAGTTTTATCCCTTCCTGGGTGTCCAAGATGCTCATGCCATAGTTGTTGCTTCGAAACTTTCAGCTCATTCTCAATATGCTCGAACTCCTCATCAATGCCTTCAAACAATGGTGTTGATGTGGCCATCACACTTTCTTGCCATGTGTCACCTCAGAACTCCAAAAGTCCTCACTCGCGATTCTTTGCAATCTTAAGTGTCATGCCATTTGTTAGAAAAATTTGACCACCGGTTGTGTCCAATATCACTCGTGCTCCTTCATCCGTTAATGAATTCGTTGACAGAAGGTTAACATTAAGGTGCTTCACATATAATACATTTTGTAGAGATATTTCCCCGTAATCTGTTGATATGCTTGCATCTCCTATAGCTGCCGCTTCCAAGACCTTGCTTCTGGCAGTAATTATCCACTTTCGGCAAGTTCTTGGATGGATGAGCATGCTATAGTTGTTGACCATATGATAACTTGCCCCCAAATCCAAGATCCAATGAGCTGTCTCTTTTGTGTTCGGGGGGTCTTGCCACTTCAATGGGAGGGTGAGGGAGCACCACACTTCCTATTTAGGTTTAGCAAGGCAGGAGTCTTTGGGGATGGTGACTGAGGTGTCGCATTGGCTAATACCATGCCCAGGTCACTTGCAGATCCAGCATCGGATTCAGTGTGGTCTGCCTGCATTCCTCGAGCTCATGTGGCTGTTGTCAGCCTCAGCTTCGATCTCTCCAGTCCGTTCATTTTGATCATCATTGCCAGCAGTTCTAGCGCTGGCTTGTTGGGGGTCGATCTTTTGCATGGGAACACTCTTGACAGTGGTCTGCTGGATGCTTAGTGTGGTGGTGAGGGTGTTGAAGTCAATTTGATGGACAGTAGTGACTGTCTCCTTATACACTGGATGCCGGATCGTGCATTTTTGCAGAGCCAAGAACAATGTATCATTGGCAAATGGTTTGCCGAGGAGGCTGCTTTCAGTCTGTATGGACCAGATCTCTTGAATTAGCTTTCTGACATCTGAGTGAAACATCTTTGTATCATTGAGCTGTGAGATGAGTGCAAGTCTGTGAGACGTTTTGGTGGCTTCGTTTGTGAGACTGTTTTCAATCTTTCTCCATACTTGATTGAAAGTAAGGTACTCTTTGATTACATCTAGAACAAGGTAATTTACATTGTGTTCTCTGGTAGTGTCGATTGTTCCATGCAGGGCATTAATTAAAGCATCATCGAGGGAGCAGCTCCATTTCGGGTGCTTCTTGTCATATGTTCCCTCGAGATGTTTCATCGCGTGGGGCACAGATCGGAGGAAAGATTTCACATGAGTGCTCCAGCTATAATAGCTGCATGATGTGAGCTTTGGCATGGGTTCGAGGAGTTTTGCTAGGGTGCAAAAGTTATATTGCTTGTTGCCATCATCGAAGTCAGAGTCAGAGTTGGTGTCTTTGTTGGCTTCATTGTTGATGACCTCCAGCTCATTCTCATTTGTGGCATCATTGTCTACCCAAACCTGGGTGTTCTTGCCTTTTCTGCTTCCTTTGTTCCTTATTTTGGTGTCTTCTACCATTGTTGTTGATGAGTTTTGGTTGGCTCAGTGATAGCTTCTTCAGACTCTTAATCAATTGAAGATAACAATTAATATGCAGCATTATTGGGGTCATGATCAGACTCCCTTTAACAACAGTCGTATGTTCTATGTAATGCTTAGTTTTTCATAGTGTGAACCTAAATGACAAACACATATATATACTCCATTTGCCACTCTAGTCCTATCTGAGGTGGGACATGTCACTTCATTCATACTCCTATGTTGCTATGATACTGAGTGCCACTGAGCTGTTGCCATGACAACAATTGTATATCTCATTGTGCTTCTCGCTTAAGTAAGCCTCCTGTGCCTTGGTGTCTCGGCCGTGACACGTGCATCTTGCTTGAGTTGCTGACACATCTTCAACTCTCCTTCTCGTGCGAATAGAATGCCAGCCGTAAGTTGCTTTGTACGACCTTCTCATGATCCTTCCTTGCCGCCATCCACTTTGGCATGTTCTGTCTTGCTTGTTGGTCTTGCTTTGTGCCTCTGGAGCGATCAGGTTGGTTGCTGGGAGGCTGTCCATCACCCATATCCATCCTACTTGTGGCATTCGATTGAGAGAGAGAGGGAGAGAGCGGAAAGAAAGGCTTTACTTGCAACATGAGCGCCCTTCTTCCAACGCTTTCTCCCACATTCCTGCGCAAAGAGAGCGTCTGATCTTGAGAAGAGTGCGCAATCCTTCGATCATTCATTACTATCACCATCACCATCACCATCACCATCACAATCACACACTTCTCTTCTCTTCTCTTCCATATCACTCTTCTTTTCTTCTTCTTATCTCACTCTGCCAACGGTCACTCGATAGCCAAGGGCGTAGCATCTCTTTCGCACTTTCTTGGCAAGATCACCTGAGCCCTTTGGTTTCAGCTCGTCAAATCCTCTCCCGTCTTGCACCACCATAATCATGTCTGCCGCCACCGCCTCCGCCGCCAACGGCTCCTCCTCTACCACCTCCACCACCACCACCAACAACAACAACCCAGCATCCTCTTCCGCCGTCACCCCTGCTAACAACAACAACAACAACAATGGCGCAACCAAACCCGCCGTTCAGCCTTCCGAGGTAGGATGGCTCTTTGTCACGCAATACTACACTTTCCTCAACCAGAATCCTGGTCGTCTCCACTGTTTCTTCACCAAGAAATCCACCATGGTTCACGGCACCGAACAGGATGAATCCTCGCCTTGCTTCGGTCAGCAGCAGATCCACGACAAGATCACCAGCCTCAACTTCCAGGACGCTAAAGTCTTTGTCTCGAACGTCGACTCGCAGAGCTCTGCTTCCGGTGGTATTCTCGTTCAAGTCCTTGGCGAACTGAGCAACAACGGTGGAGCATGGTGCAAGTTCGCTCAGACCTTCTTTTTGGCTGAACAGCCAAACGGCTACTTTGTTCTCAACGACATCTTCAGGTATCTCAAGAATGACGACGAGATCGAGGCCGAGGCTGAGGCCGTCGACGAGGCCATTCAGGATGAGATTGATGAGGCTGACAAGAACCGCGTCCAGGTTCCTCACCAGATTGAGGTCAACAACATCGGTAACGCCAATGCTATGCCGAAGCTTCCTTCTTCCTCCTCGACTTCTTCCTCCTCGACCGCCGCCGCCGCTCCCTCCGGTGCTAAGGCGATCCAAGCTGCCGAGAGCAAGTCTTCTTCCACCGATCCTGCTCCTCTCGCCCAAGCTGTAGCTACCTCTACCAAGGCTGAGCCTACCAAGGCCGAGGCTGATCATGTCGGTGTCGACGACAAGCTTACTACTGCTCTTGAGGCTGACCAGGCTCCCGCTGCCACCTCTGCTCCAAAGAGTGCTGGTGCTGCTAAAGACGCCGCTGCAGCTGCCAAGACCGGGACCGCCACTGCTGCTGCTGCTGCTCAACCCACCGCTCCTCCCAAGCCAAAGACCTGGGCCACTCTGGCCGCCTCGGACGCCACTCGTTGGGGATCCAACGTCTCTACCGAAGCCAAGGGTGTTTCTACCTCTCGTCCCACTCCCACTCCCGCTGCTGCTTCGACCCCTGCTAAGCCTGCCGCTGCCACTACTGCCGGTACAGCCTCTGCCTCGGTCTACATGAAAAACGTCGTTGCTGATCAGGTCGACGATGCTTCCCTCCGTCAAGCTCTCGAGGCATTCGGCACGGTCAAGGATGTTCAGATCATTGCTCAGCGTTCCTGCGCTTTCGCCGAGTTCACCAGTGTCGAAGCTGCTCGCAAGGCCGCCGCTAAGGGTAGTGTAGCTGTCGGTAAGAATCGTTGCATTGTGCACATTGAAGAGAGGAGGAAGAATGTTGCTTCGGCTGCTAACGCTAGGGGAAATGCTGCTGGTGCTGGTGCTGGTGTAGGTGGACGAGGTGGTGCTGGTGCTGGTAGGGGTGGTGCCGGTGGAAGAGGTGGTGCTCAGCGTGGTGGTGGTGGTGGTGGTGGTGCCGGTCGTCCTGCTCCCCGTGCTGCCAACTAAGCTTTCCGAACAACGTTCTCCTGCCAACTCACCTTGTCTCATCACCATACATGCTCCTTTCTCCAATATGCCTACCAAGCTCAGATCCCACAGACAAGAACACTCAATTTGTACACCACCATCATTGACAACAGGCATCTTGTTCACTGCACATTCGATGTTTCTCTCTGGCATTGTAATATCAGTGATTCTCTTGCTCACTCGCGTTGCTCTTGCACAAACACGATTGCGTCTCTTGTCGCTTTAGCTTTCCTCTATCGATCATCTATAGGTGGCTGCATCTACAGCTTGGCCTTGGTCTTATTGACATTGACAGCAAAGGGTAATACCAGGGCTGTCTGTCTTGCAATTGCCAAGATATAACTTTTTCCAACCACCCTGCTCGCTTTTCCTTGTCCTTGGACGACATGTACTGCAGCTTGCTGCCCTTCGAATAGGTTGGCATCGTCGGGGTGAGACCAGAGTTCGCCATCGGTTTCGTGTTGGCCATTGATCATAAATCTGCCTTTGCTGTAGGTGGCGCTTCTATCGACGACCTTGTTGCTTGGCATTTGTCTTTTGAATTCGATTGTTAAGTGTAGCGTTGGATACCAATGAGGCTCGTGTTTGCCTGCAATCATCATCGGTGGACTTAGAAACATGTCGGCTAGAAAAGGAATCAAGTTGATCCCCTCTGCTAGCCTTCCATTCTTGACTTGATCTTGCGGTAGGCTTAGCGGTGGGTGGGGAGTGAGCGTGTAATATACGCCAGAGGTTAGCGTGTTGCCTTTCAGTGTGGATTCTACATGTTTCCCGTCTGAGCAGGTGGTTAGCAGTTTACCAAAGCCGAACTTTTTACCGCCCTTGGCTTCAATGCTTTCGTCAAAGTAAATGGCAGGCTCACAAGCCGACGGTGGGCATAGGGGGAATGAAGGGGCCCATTGAGAACGAGAGGTTAGAGTATAACCGTTTTGAGTTGCATCATCGGCGTCCCTGCCAACACGGCTTTTATCGGCCGACTCCTTTTGAAGGACAAAGTTGGTCATTAGAACTTGCGTGGTGATGCGCAGTTGGTCGTCTTGATAGAGATCTGCTTGAATGTTGCTCAAGCTTTTACCCCGCTTTAAAACGCGAATGCGCACCTCGAATGGGGTCCATGCGACAGCTTGGATATACGTCGCACTCAGTAGCAAAGGATCGTGGTGCGAAAGGGATGTAACGTCGGTCGAAGCGACTTCAGGTGTCCGCATAAACGCGAGAACAGCATTGAGGATAAGGGAGAGAGAGTAGCCGCCTTGGGGAACCGAACCGATACACCATGTCGTATCGATCGTGCCCGTGTATGTGGCGCAAGTGCCCGTGATCGTCGATTCCTTTAGGCGAGATTGGACTGCTTCTTGTAGACTTGGCATTGTTGCTGAGAGAGAGGCGGTTTGATATGGAAGATGGTGAGGAAGATGGTGGGAGTAAGATGAGCCGGAACACAGTTCGGATATTGCCGGTTCGCTGTTTGCCGGAGAGTTGGACCGAAAAGCGACACTCTGTGAGCTCGGACAGAATTTAACATTGTACTTCGGTTGGAAATCAGAATCTCGGATCTCGGCCAATTCAACCGAGAACCTTGTCTTGCCCGAATCGTTGGGAGCCTTTGTTGCTCCCCAACTCCATCAGAGCATCAAGCGCTTGCCAGCAATGACAGCATCCACCTCAGCCGCCGCTGCAGCGCAGGAACTTTCCTCCCTCCTGCCTCCCTCCCGAATGGCACGCAACCTCGAACTTCATCTCGCCGCAGAAGCCGGTGATCTACTCCTCGTCAAATCCCTCCTCTCCTCCTCCCCTTCACCCGAAGAAGACGACGAAGGAGGAGTGGATGTATGGTATGAAGACCCTTCCTCCGCCAACTGGTCGGCCTTACATTTCGCAGCAGAAGGTGGACATTTGGAGGTGGTAAAAGTGTTACTCAGACATGGAGCGATATGGAATGCCGTCGACGCAAATGGGTTTACTGCTGCCCAAGTTGCGTGGTCACGAAACTATACAAAGGTTTACGAAGCCATTTTTGAAGAGGGTGTTCGGCAAATCTTTCTTCTCAACGCACTCCAAGGTCGAAATGATAGCGAAGAAGAGGCCGAGGAGGACATCGAAGAAGAGAGTCCCACTGACGCAAAGAAACGTCGAACAGAAGGAAGAGCCATCACCAGCGCAGACGGAAGGCAAATCACCCTTAAACCTTGCTCACTCGATGTCGCCAACGATACAGCCAAATACCTTTGCACTCCATTACGATTCCTCCCTGACTCCCTCGGACAAATAAGGTGCTTGGATGAGGACAACAACATGGTCATGGCGCCATGGGAAACCGACATTATGAAACTCTCCACCTCCCTTCTCCTCTCCCCACCGCCAATCCCAGCAGATCAAACCTCTCTATCCGTCCTCAACGTAGGTTTTGGCCTCGGAATCATCGACTCTATTATCCAAAGCTACAACCCTACCCGACACGTCATCATTGAAGCTCACCCTGACGCCATCGCTCACGCCAAATCCCTCGGCTTCGACAAAAAACCCGGAGTGGAAATCTTTCAAGGTAGATGGGAGGATTTCATCCGAGACTCGGACTCGGAACAAGATATCGCTCGGATGACGGCCCTAGGCACATTCGATGCGATCTACTGGGACACCTACTCGCAAGACTATTCTGATATCAAACGCTTTTTCGAATCGCTCCCAAACTTACTCAATGGTCCAGAGAGTAGGTTTAGCTTCTTCCACGGACTCGGTGGCACGAATCAATTCTTCTACGATGTCTACACGAGAATAAGCGAGTCAGATCTAAGAGAGATCGGCTTGACTACCAATTGGCAGCTCATCGAACCGGAGATCAAAGAGGAGCAATGGGAACAGGTAAAGCAAAAGTATTGGACTCTCGACCGCTACTATTGTCCTCTAGCCAGGTTGGATCCAGAGTTGATGTAGAGGTTGCGCGGAGGGGGGAGGGCTAATCGATCTCTTCGGGGGCGGAGAAATACATTACTTCCAGACCGAGACTTTTTACTATGCCCATTTTGCCGTGGGATGCATGCAAAGATGCTGTGCTGCGCGAATGAGGCGAGAGCGAGGTGGATGAAAGATCTGCTTTGACGCCTAGCGAGACAAGACAGTTGGATAAACGGCCTTGCCAGAGTAAACGAATGTCGGAAGTGGTCGAGATGCGCGCTTTGAGGACACCTGTGATTGGAGAGAGCATCTTGGAATGTGCGCTGCAAGCAGGAGCAGTGACTAGCTGTGGTGGCATTGCTGGGCAGAGATGGGAAGGCGGCGAGAGAGTTTCATGCGGTTCTAGCGATCCACTTGCAGTTTTGCCATCTGGTGCTGCAGTTTCGTCTGAAAAGTTGGTCCTTGGTGATCCTGCATCTCGCAATGATAGGTTTGGAGAAGAGGCAATCACAGGTCTCGAACAAGTAGATTCTTTAGTCTCAGCAAGTACCGGTTGCACCATGTCGCTTTGCCCTAGCCCACCTGTATTGCCTCTCAACCAATATTCTCCACCAAGAGACCATTCACTTTCGTAGCTATAAACGTTGAAATCGAAGCGGCTACACACCACCACATCTTTGGCCATCCTAGCTGCATACGCTGTGCTCAGGTGTCCCATCATTGGGTTCAGTGTTGCCGTGATCACTGTGGGAGGTTGCGATGGGCCTTTTTCAGGGGTGCAGTCTGGGCTGATGATTGGCAGTGTCCAAGAAGATGGTGTATCTGGTAGCGTGGAGAATCGAATGCCGGTAGAGAGACCAGCACTCTTCTCGACAGCACTGACAAAGACTTCTGCTCCTGCTGAGAAGCGGCCTCTTAGACCTCCTCCCGCATCCGTGTCCACTTCTGTTGCTGTCTGCGCTGAAGTTGAGACGGATTCTGTTGAGTGTACGGCATCACTATTGGAGGATAAGCAAGAGGGGTCCGAGGGATATGCAAAGTTGTGTAGCACTCTAAACCCCCACAAGGCATCATCGACGGAATAGCTGTATTCTGTAAACCACCTTCCTGTATCTCTCTGCAATGTGAATTGTAGGTTTGTTGATCCTGGTGGACCGAGATCACTTGTTGCAGTTGCTACTGCTGCTGCAGTCTGAGATGTCGAGAGGTTTGCGGAGGAGGAGGAAGAGAGAGTTGCGCTTGAAGCCTCTACTTTCTCTACGCTTCCTGCTGGACCTCCGGACTTTGCTGCGGTGGTGGATGAGGAGGCGGTGTATGTCGCTGCATCCTGTATCGCATTCAATGGATACTTTGGCGGAGTAGACACGGCTGTCACAATCAGTTGTGTTGTCCGGGTCACTCGACGGCTCCATAAAGCATCTAGTCGGGCTGATGGAACATGCATGCATCCGTATATCAGATACTCTCCCGCTCCTTCTTCCTCCTTGCCTCGAAGCGGCGCTGGTGATGTTGAATCGAGATCTACTTGTCCAGCTAGCCAATAACACTCGTCTTGCTTGGTCCTTGCTACTGATACTGGTCGTCTAGGCGATTCGACTATGCGAAAGCGCTCAATAATCTCCTTCAACCTCACATCCCTCGAACTTTTCCCAAAGTCAATCGGCTCCCTTGTACTGGCATAGATATACCCAATTCCAGCACCAAGGTTCGGTAGCGCACCCAATCGGTATGTTGTAAAGAACGGCGGGGTTGGAGAAGCGGATATCGAAAGGGATAGACCGGTGGGAACGCGAAAATCAAGGATCGCCGAGGAAGAAGAGGTAAGATGGAGGTAGGAGTTGTACTCGTTCCATGATGTAGCCTGGAAGTATTGTCGTAGGATGTGGGATACAAAGTCGTGCATGGCGGCAAAGAGGGTGGAGTGGCCAAGCAGGTTGGTGGCGAGGTGAGGATGAAGGTGGTGATGAAGCAAGGAGCGATGGTCAAGACAAGCACCCAAGTCGAACACTTGCTGCTCGTCAACACAGCCAAATTCCGGCTTGTCGCAGATCCCACCTTTGTCGTCGACGTTCTTCTCATCATGACTTGGTTGCACAGAGGCTCATCAACGAACACCGCTACCAAAGAAAACCTTGGTTGCATATCCAGCGACCCACACAATCACAATCAGCACCAACCACTCTCACAGAAGGCGAACCAAACCCAGTCTCTACGCCCGCAAAGGCCATATCTGTAGGATTGTTTGTGTCCAGGTACAGTACAATGCAATTGCCCCGCCTTGTTACAATCAAAGTCTTGCTATACTGTATCATCCTCCATCCACTCTACGCCGCAGGAGGCACACTAGCCATTAACCCGCTCATACTGCCAAACGGATCCCTTACACTCCTATTCACCGCCTTGTACCATTTGGCATAGTCCTTCTTCAACGCCTCCACCTCGGCATGCAATAGCGCCACCTCTCCTGCCAACGTCATAAAGCTTTCATGCTGAGCATGGATCGCATCTGAAATAGCCTGCGGTGTATACGTTTCTCTGCAGTTCAAACTCTCAAGATGGTGTTGGATCGTCTCGACCGTGCTCGAGTATCGGGCGATACGATCGCGGTATTCGATCGCGAGATCGGAGAAGAAGGTCTGCAACCATTCGACGAAAGACGAGCCATCGGAACGAGCCTCCTTGGCGTTGGCAATGATCGAGTAGAGCGTCGAGGTTGTGGTGCGATCACCTTCGAGGAGGCAACAAACGTCGTTCGTTTCGTTCTCGTCCGTGTCGAGGGTTGCTGAGAGCGATTTCAAGGCCTGCTTGTGTCAAAGAGCAAGCACGGTTAGCAACGAGATTAGTAGGCAGCACACCATGGCATACAGTCAATGCTCGATAGGAAAAGCGAAACATACAGAGTCAAGCTCGTGCCACTCAGCAGCGCACTTTCGAATCTCTTGACCAAAGTTTTTCGTCTTGAGCTCCTCTCTCAGCTGTGTCTGTGTTGAGATGTGACTTTCTAGCTCTTCAACCAGCTTTCTTGCCTCGTCGGGGAGATCATTGAAGCGCTCTTTCTGGTAGTAGCCGAATCGCGCGAATGGAGATTGAGCCCCGGCCTGGTTCTGTGCTTGCCCTTGCAAGCCTCCGAATGCGATTTGTGGTCGTTGTTGTTGCTGTTGTTGTTGTTGTTGCTGTTGTTGCTGTTGCGGTTGCTGTGTGAAAGAGCCAAATAGGCCGCCAGTTAATGTCGAAGCCGTGTTGCCGAAAGAGAATCCACCAGCCGCTGGTGCTGCGGGCTTGCTACCAAACAGACCACCCGAAGTAGAAGCAGTGTTGTTCGATGCTCCAAACAGTCCACCGCCGAAACCTGTTGATGGCTGCAGTTGTTGCTGCTGCCCTGGTCCTGGTTGCTGCTGCCCTGGTCCTGGTTGCTGTTGCCCTGGTTGCTGCTGTTGTGTTGTACTGGCGCCAAAGAGGCCACCTGTTGCAGGCGCAGTGCTCGTTGTCGTAGCTGGTTTGGCACCAAAGCTGAATCCACCTGCTGCTGGAGCAGCAGACGGGGTTGTATTTGCCGTTGCTGTGCTTGTGGCGGTATTGCTGGCAGCGCCTCCGAGAGAGAATCCGCCCAAAGTGCCAGAGAAAGGTTTGTTCGCTGGTGGTTGAGAGAAGGAGAACGACGCGGATCGTCCCAGTGTGGAGCCGGTAGACGCGGCTGGAGTGGAGCCGAACATGATGCCCTCGTGCCGTATATCAGCTCAGGTCTCTGCTGTGCGATGGTGGCAGGGTGACTAGGAAGATGATCGATCATCCACGAGCCGATGGTGTTGGTAGAAGCAGGCTTACATGTGCACAGACTTCGATCTAACAAAACTACATAAACTCAAATCGCAACTTTCTGCCAAATGATGATCTCCCGATTCCCACTAAATCGGGCAACAATTTCACAGATTCCAATTCTCAATCGCCATTACTTTTAGTTGAAGATGCGTCGGCATCTCAAGCAAGATGCACATGTTACAGCCGAGACATTGAGACACGGGAGGCTCACGTAAGCGAGAAGTACAATGAGGTATGTAATTGTTGTCATGGTGACAGCACAGTGGCACCCGGTATCATAGCAACACAGGAGTACAAATGAAGAGACACATCCTGCCTCGAATAGGACCAGAGCAGTGAATGGAGTATATATATGTGTTTGTCATTTAGGTTCGCACTATGAAAAACTAAGCATTACATAGAACATATGGCTGTGGTAAAGGGAGTCTGATCGTGACCCCGATAACACCGTATATTAATTGTTATCTTCATTTGATTAAGAGTCTGAAGAAGCTATCACCGAGCTAACCGAAACTCGCCGACAACCATGGTAGAAGACACCGAAACGAGGACCAAAGGAAGCAGAAAAGGCAAGAACACCCAGGTTCGGGTCGACAATAATGCCACGAGCAAGAACGAGCTGGAGGCCATCAACGATGAAGCCGACGAAGACACCGATTCCGACTCCGACTTTGATGATGGCGACAAACGATATAACTTTCGCACCCTAGCAAAGCTCCTCGAACCCGTGCCAAAGCTCACGTCACGAAACTATCATAGCTGGAGCGCTCACGTGAAATCTTTCCTCCGATCCGTGCCTCATGCGATGAAACATCTCGAGGGAACGTATGACAAGAAACACCCGAAATGGAGCCGCTCCCTCGACGATGCTTTAATCAACGCCCTGCGTGGAACAATCGACACTACCGGAGAACACAATGTAAATTACCTCGTTCTAGATGTAATCAAGGAGTACCTTACTTTCAACCAAGTATGGAGAAAGATTGAAAACGGCCTCACGAATGAAGCCACCAAGACGTCTTACAGACTTGCGCTTATCTCGCAACTCAACGATACAAAGATGTTTAACTCGGACGCCAGAAAGCTAATTCAAGAGATCCGGTCCATACAAACTGAAAGCAGTCTCCTCGGCAAACCATTCGCCGATGATACATTGTTCTCGGCTCTGCAGAAATGTGTCATGGGCCTGGATGCTCAAGAAGCAGGAGGGTCATGGGTTCATATGGAAGGAGCACAGGTATCGAAGACCTAGTCGACACCAGTAGAAAGCATGGTCGTAGTGCAGTCTCCATGGAGACCATGGACTCCTATGGACTCACATGCAAAGGAGGGCCAAGCACAGCCACGAAGAGGACCAAGCTCAAGGAGCATGCAGATGGTTACCACTCAGGGGCTCGAGAGACAAGAGCCAAAGGAACTGTCACTGATCAAAGGAGGAGGAGCAGTGTCGAAGGAGTCGACACCAGGTCATGAGGAGGAGGAGCAGTGTCGACAAGAGGCACAGGGGTGCCAAGCAGGAGAGGCCCTGAGCAGTACTCGATGAAGAAGGTACTCTCTGGAGAGAGAGCAGGAGCAGCATCGCTGGCAATGCTGTGAAGAGGTATATAACCATGCTTTCTCATCATCATAGGTCGAGTGGATCCCCATCCACTCTACTCACCATAACTAGTTATCACTTCAGCATAAGTATACATTAGTTTCAGTCAGCATAGCAGCAATCTATCAAGGTTGCTCCTCATCGTAGTGTGTGTGTTGTATCACCACTACCTGACGTCCGAAGGCGCCCATAGCAGGTTAGCGGTCCGGATATAGATAGAACCGAAGGCAGTAGTCCACTGCGGTCCGGGGATCACTTCAAGCATCAAGTCAACACACTGGACACTCGTGTTGACGTCACCAACCTTATCACCAACACCATCAACCTCATTATCATCGACGCCACCAACCTTATCATCAACACCATCAACCTCATTATCATCGACATCACCAATCTCATCACCAACACCATCAACCTCATCATCATCAACACCCACACCAGACCTTGGTGTCATCATAACATTGATATTGATCGTGCCGAGCTACCCCTGAACGGAGTGTCCACAGAGGTCAGCCGAAACCTACGATAGTATATACAACGAACGCCACCTGCTGTCACTGCACAACTTGATAGTCACCGATACCGAGACAATAGCTGTCACACAGTTTAATAGTCACCGAGTATCTCGACAGACCGACCTGGGTTTCAGGCGCGAGACCCCTGACATTAGAGTGGATCGTTCAAGCAGCTCCTCACGATCACCATGACGGACCCAGACCTCAACAATAAGCTCGATAGACTACTCACTCTATTGGAAGCTCAGCTAGAGCTTACTAGGCAGGGTCATCGAGAGGAACGACTACAACGAGCTCAGCTGGGTAGGGAGGAGACAATGGACCTCTCTCACTCAGAGGACCAAGCAGGAGGAGGAGATGAGTCTTTGATAGGAGACCCACATACTCCTACTCCAGCTCCACGACCAAGGCGATCAGTCTCATTCAACCTGGATGAGCAGGAGGACATCAACTACGAGAAGTATGCTTCACCTACTGGGCCAAGATATGTCAAGACTAAGCTGGACCCCTACAGCAGGACTAGGACGGATCCTTACCCCCTGGACCACGAGGAGGATACCAGCATCATGGCAGAGCTTAACCGGTCAAAGCCCATTGCCACCCCCTTTCCAAAGTTCAATCCCCGAGACATGGAGATCTTCATTCTAGAAGCCGAAGCATGGTTTAAGTTCAACCAGGTGTATGAGCAGTCTAGGATGATCAATCACATGGGTGCTCAACTGGAAGGGACAGCAAGGGAGTGGTGGACCTCCAAGCTCCGTATTGATAGAGCTAGAGAAGGAAGGTTGTTCAATGATTGGCACTACTTCACAGAGCGACTGTCAGAGCAGTTCAACCCACGCAATGCTAGGATGGAGGCATACAACAAGCTGTTGGCTCTCAGACTCACAAGTGATGCTCCCGGTGCCGCCACACGTCATGTAGAGCGGTTCAGAGACTTGGAAGGACAGGTCAACCTAGATGACAATGAGCTAGTGATTGATCTCTTCAGAGGTAGTCTCACTCGTAGCATACAGGAGAAGTTCGAGAGGAATCCACCTGGGAAGAGATGGGAGTGGTATCGAGAGGTTGAGGAGATCGATCGACAGAGGATGCTACTACAGCAGTCCTCAGCTAGACACTCACTCCCAAACACCACATCACCTCCACTAAGAACTGGGTCTCGGCCAAATCAAAGTTCGATCCCCATCCGACAACCCACTCAAACTTATCCAGCTCGATCACCATCACAAGCAACTACACAAGCAACTATACAAAACCTAAACCGACCCCTTCCTCATCATCCCACCCAACCCTCGAAGCAAGGAAGCCCTGCTCCATCAGGTATCAACACCTGTCATGTATGCAAGGGTATCGGCCATTGGGCCAGAGACTGCCCCAGCAGGAGGGTAAACCCTCTTAGCTCTCGACCCATGGGACCAAAGGTTATGGTCACCACAGCAGACCCCTTCGAGGAGGCCACCGACTCAGGAGATGGCCACACAGGCAGCACTGAGACAGGTGACCCCGAGGCCATGGACCTCAGCTCATACCAGCAACCCATGGACCCCGATCACGAGGAGGAGCACGATGATGATGACGACGAGGGAAACGTCAGTGGGGTGATGCACTGATGGCATGCATTGCTCTACAAACCTCCTCGCCATCACTCTGTATATGTCAAGATTGTCAAGTATGTTTCTCTACCAGTGGAGGCAAAGCAGTACTGGAGCTCTCTGGAATGGTTCAAGACCATCCTGCTCGGATACTAGCTGATACCGGTGCTGGTTTGTCCATAGTCTCAGATTCTTTCATTAGTAAGTACCAAATACCCACAAAACCCATAAAAACAATATCGATCCATGGTGTCACCGGGCACCAACTCTCCATCAATAGTTCTGCGAGCATGCAGGTATCTATTGGTACACACAATCTGGGTGTGGTCGAAGCTTCAGTGGCCGACACTGCGGACTATGACCTCATCCTGGGGTTCACTGAGCTACGGAGGCTCAAACCCACCATACAATGGGATACGGGCCAGCTGGAGTTCAAGACTCAGGAGCAGGACCGACCCCCTAGGAGACCCCCTGAAGCAGCAAGAGCAGGGGACCTAACCATGAGGAGACCAACCCTTCATGGTAACGAGTTTGTCTCAGCAGAGCGCATACTACGAGCAGCTCTGGAAGATGGACCCATAGGGTTCATGCTGTTAGAGGAGCCACCATCATCACTCCCAGCCTTTGGTTTTGTACCTACAGGCGCAGACAAAGGAGTCGAGATGGAGGTGGAGGTAGATAAGGTGGTGACGGCTGCAGACATACCAAAGCCATACCAACACCTGCGAGATGTGTTTGATGAGGTGGAAGCAGACAAGCTGCCCCATCATACCGAGCATGATCTCCACCTCGAGTTGATAGAAGGAGGGAAGCCACCTCAAGGGCCCCTATACCTTAAGGGACCCAAGGAGATGTCCGAGTTGAGGAGATACTTGGATGAGAACCTCGAGAAGGGGTTCATAAGACCATCGAAGAGCCCGGCACGATCACCAGTGCTCTTCGTACCAAAGAAGGATGGAGGTCTCAGACTCTGTGTGGACTACAGAGGTCTCAACGAGATCACTGTCAAGAACAGGGCACCATTGCCCCTCATCGAGGAGCAGCTGTTCTTACTCAGGAAGGCAAGGATCTATACCAAGCTAGACCTTAGAGCAGCATACAACCTCATCCGGATTGCTAAAGGAGATGAATGGAAGACAGCTTTTGGCACTCAGTTGGGACTCTATGAGTACCTAGTGATGCCCTTT